TTTACTAGAATGCCCTTTGGTCTTCGAAATGCGGCGCAAACATTCCAACGCTTCATTGATCAAGTATTACGTGGATTACCGTTTGTATGCATACATTGACGACTTGCTTGTAGCCAGTAGTACAGTAGAAGAACATCGTTCTCATCTCAATGAACTGTTCCAAAGATTAGACGAGTTTGGCGTAGTTATCAATTCAGACAAGTGCGTATTTGGGGTAGAAAGTGTAGAGTTCCTAGGACATTTTGTTAGTGCCGAAGGTGTCACTCCCATACCAGAGAAAGTTAAGGACATCAGAGACTTTCCAGTTCCCAGTTCCTTTCGACAATTGCGAAGGTACTTGGGCTTAGTGAATTTCTATCGACGATTCATTCCGTCGTGTGCTCACATTATACAGCCACTTACGGTTATTCTTAAAGGCAAGAAGCACAACAAGGCTATACAATTATCAAACGCTGAAATTGCTGCATTCGACAACAGTAAGGCCGCACTTGCGCAAGCTACACTGTTGTCACATCCTAGCCACAATGCTCCTTTGAGTCTCACTACTGATGCATCCAATGCAGCTGTAGGCGGCGTACTGCAACAATTAGATGACTCCACTTGGCAACCGCTCGGTTTTTTCTCGAAACGGTTGCAACCTGCAGAAACAAGATATAGCACTTTTGGCAGAGAATTGTTGGCTGTATATTTGAGTGTGCGACATTTTCGACACATGTTGGAAGGTCGCGAGTTTTGTGTTTTCACTGACCACAAACCACTAACCCACGCGTTCAATACAAACCTTGACAAGTATTCTCCACGTGAAATCAGACATCTAGATTACATATCCCAGTTCACAACTGATTTTTGTCACATAAAGGGAAAAGAAAACGTAGTCGCATATGCACTTTCGCGTTGTGTTATAATTATAGACACATTGAACGTGGAACCTTCCAACATCATTGATTTGGACCAAATTGCGGATGAACAAGAAGGGGATGAAGAGTTCGAAAAACTTCGAAAATCATTTTCCCTTCAATTTGTAGATGTGCCTTCTCATACTTCAGAGTAAATGATCACTCGTGATATCTCAACTGGTGTAGCTCGACCCTATGTACCGCGCAAATTCAGAAAGACGGTATTTGATTCACTGCACTCACTATCACATCCAGGTATTCGTGCCTCACAACATTTAATCACAAAAAGATTTGTTTGGCCTTGTGTAAATCGAGATGTGAGAGATTGGACTAGATCATTTTTAGCGTGTCAGAAAGCTAAAATTCATCGACACATTGCAGCTCCGATAGCTACTTTTGCTAAACCCGATTCACGCTTTAGTCATATCCATATTGATATTGTAGGACCTTTACCACCATGTGATGGTTGCGCTTACATTTTGACTATCATTGATAGATACACACGTTGGTCAGAATTGCTATTCCAATCCCTAACATCACAGCCGAGACAGTCGCTAAGTTGTTCATCAGTAGATGGGTTGCTATATTCGGCGTTCCAGCATTTATAACCACAGACAGAGGTTCACAATTCGAGTCACACCTGTTCAATCAACTTGCACAACTGCTAGGCGCAAAGCGAATAAGAACCACCGCATACCATCATGTAGCCAATGGCTTAGTAGAACGATTCCACCGTCAATTAAAGGCAGCAATCAAAGCTACTGATGATCCAAATCATTGGGTGGACAGCTTACCATTGATCTTGTTAGGCATTCGCACTGCACACAAGGCGGATCTTAATTGTAGATACATGTACATGTACATGCATTAAAAACATGTACAAAAACCATCTCAAACGCTACAGGTCGATTGTGTCTATACATGCAATAAAACATGTACAAAAACCATCTCACACTTGAACGCCACAGGTGGATGAGCCTGAACATGCATATAAACCATGTACAAAGACCATCTCAAACGGCGCCACAGGTCGATTTATAAACCATGTACAAAAACCATCTCAAACGCCACAGGTCGATGCACTCATGCAGATTTATTCCGCGGCCAGTGCCAAACACAGGTCGACTTATTCGTTATAACTCCACAGAAATACATGAAAAAGATTCAGGAACAATAAACCACTGAAGAAGTACCGGGTCCGAACGCCTGAGAATTATTTTGGTAAGCACCACCTCCATATAAATTGCATGAAATATTGATAATATGCACTTAATTCAGACGTAACTAATAATACAAATTAAAGCACGATAAATTTGGCAAAAAGGACACGTAAAACAATCCAAAATTGTAATCAGCCTGTACATAATAAAGAAAAACACACAAATAATTTTTTTTTTATAACGAAACACTTCCAGGCTAAATTATCAACGCTAAGCCACTGAATGACTTGATCAAGTCTAAACCAGCCTTGCACGGCGCCCTCGTGTGGTACGAAACCCATTTTCCTTCGGATCTTTCTGGTAGCAGACCAGTAAATAAACTTCCATAGGCCCCAATGGTAAATGCTCCCACTTCAAAAAATCGGGAAAAATACTCACAACTCTCCAAGGTATTCAAGACACACATCAAATTAAAGCTTATTTCATCATCTTTCATTTTCTGTTCAATTTACGGGGGGTCAACTGATGACTTTTAGGAGAAATTTCAATCTGAAGACGATCACCCCTGAAAATAGTCCTGAAGCCCATCGCCATTTTGAAAAACGATGCCTACACTCCATTGCAAAATAGAGCGCTTTTAGGGTCCAAATTACATCCAATTTACACAGAACTGCAAGCTCCCAGTCCTGTGCATGGCTTCCACCCATATTTTTTACAAACCCTCAAGTTCATGGCCCACAGCATGCTCAAATACCGAAGATTTTTGAAGTGGGAGCATTTACCATTGGTTGTGCGAGTCACGCCCATTTTCCACAGGTGGAAAATGAGTGCGCCCTCTTGTGAATCGACCGTGCGGTGACCACGCTCCACGAAACTTGCAGCTAATCAGGGATAAGGGAAGGGTAGAACAATCCAATCACAATTAAGGGGGCGGGGTTTAGGACAAATAATTGTAAGCATCTTTGATTGTAATATAAAGTATGTGTTGACTTAAATAAACGAGGAGAACTGGTTTAGATCTGAAACCATACAGACGTGTCTGTGTCTCTCTCTTGCTGTTATAGGCTATCCAAATACATGCAGTGTAAGTGATGATTTCTTGTCTGCAATACTAAGCAGGGAGATTGGAATCGGCACTGTCGCCACGCTGCCCAATGACAGATCGATGCCGATTCCAACCCGATAAGACTACAAATACCCGCGGATGACAGCAAAGGTCTGTTAGGCCAAAAAAAATAATATTCGGTCTCTGTTCAGACCAAAGCTCCGGAATTGACGCGGGGACGCGGCTTTTTTTTTTTTCCAAGCTTGGATTGTACAGACAAGGTGGGGTATTTTTTTTTGCTTTTTTGGTGTCCTCATGTACATTGGTGTCCTCCATAATTTGCCTTGGTGCTCTCGATCATTTGCCTTAGTGCAATTTACCATTCCTTGGTGCTCTTTGGTAAAAAAAAGTGAGGAGGTGCGGCAATAGAGGGCGCTGTTGGAGCTACCGCGGGACATTTTGGGAAAAAAAAAATTGACGCGCATGATTAAAATCGACGCGCGCGCTGACCAGAGACCGACTTATTTTTTTTTTTTGGCCTTTTATAACAATATCATCTGATCTTTTATACCATAGAGATATTGGTATGGACATAGGGCAAGAGGAAGTCTGGTTACACAAAAAAGTGTGAAAATTGTCAAAATTTAGTAAAAGATAACCATTTATTACTGCCACAGCAGTTTCTTATTTTGTCATTTTAAGTAATTCGGTTTTTTTTCCATTAGAAATTCAGGTAAATATTGTGTGTGCTTCGAAAACGCACGGGCATTGCATACTTTGTCAATACATACAGGGTGAGTAAAAAAAAAAGCGAAACCCCAATGTCGGGACCATTGTTTTAGTGAAGTTCTGCATGTAGCACTTTCAAAATCTAGAATATGAAAGCCCAATTCATAAGCTTTCTTTTAGTACATGAATCATTCAAATCACTCATGTACTTTTCAAGTTACTGAATTTTTAACACAACCACCGTTTTAAAGTTTTGCTGAAAGAACACTTACCTTCTTGTGATTCGTGGACAGAACTTAAAACGGTGGTTGTGTTTAAAATTGAAAAGTACATGAGTGATTTGAATGATTCTTGTACTGAAAGAAAGCTTATGAATTGGGCTTTCATATCCTAGATTTTGAAAGTGCTACATATGCAGAACTTCACTAAAACAATGGTCACGACATTTGGGTTTCGTTTTTTTTTTTTTAAGCTATAGTCCATCATTTGTAATTAGTGCATTTTGTTCGTTTGAAGCAACAAAAGTGTTCAAAATCCAATGAAGGATACTGAGCAACTAACCTGATGAAGTTTCAGCTAAGCTTCAGCTGTACATTCCGAGAACAACAGCATTCTAAGATCTCAATTTCAAATCAAAAGTTACTGAATCATGTTTTGAATTGTTTTGAATTGCAGCTATACGCGACGTCGCGCACTGATCCGACGAATTACAACAACCGCGCGCGCGTGTGCGTCGTTCCAATACTTGTGCGCGCTGCGCTGAATAACAAAACAAACTACTAATTTAAATTTTCCTACGGTGCTTCTTAAGAATCACCGTTGGAAATGCCTTCTTTCGTTGATTACTTCAAAATGACAGCTTCCCAGAAAGAATAACTTCATAGGGAGTTTAGTTCCCTTACTATCTTTCAACCAAGTTTGTTTTTCAGCAATAATTACGCCAGTTACTTTTCGGATGGCTGCAAATGATGGACTATAGCTTTAACTCACCCCGACTATGAGGTTTGAATTAAAACAACAACACTTGTCATGCCTAACACTGGCTGTCCTAGGGCATTCACTGTATATCCAGAACTCCCTTTCTAGAATTGTCCTGTGGATACACTTGGATCCATCCATGACAGAATACTTCCCAGGAAAGAAGGGCAGGCAAAGGCGAATACAACATCATTTGGACAAAAGAATCAAGTGTCTCATCAAACCGAACTGGAGCAAAATACACATTTGATTTGTGTGATCATAGAGCAAGGAACATACTATATGGCGTGATTCACTTGTTTAGAGAACCAGAGTTCCCACAAACATCTGAAAACCAAATTCCACGACTTTCCAAGACTAAAATATGACAATTTCCATGACATTTAAGGCCATTATGCAGGGAAAGGTTGTTTGGTATTATGATACTGATGAACCGCTAATGTTAAGCTAACCATTTGTTATCTTTTAAGAACAACTTTTAATTCATAACGGCCTCCTCCTCCCCTTACTGCCATCCTTAAAGCGGCCCATCAAAATTAACACTTTCATGATCTTGATTTCCATGAATTTTCCCCCCAAATTTTCAACGACTTTTCCAACTTTTTGTCCAGGACTTTCCATGATGTTTTCCATGACCGTGGGAATCCTGAAACACAAGCACTAAGTTGAGCCATTATGTGCGTGAACATCTGTTAATTCAATCTGAGGTCCTTCGTAATCATTCCTTTGCTTAAACTCCACGGCACTACATGTAGTTCTTGAAAACATGAGAGTCTCCAGAGTGGCCACACTGTTTATTATCCAACGGGTCAAGCCAACGGGTCAAGCCAACTCTTTAGCCATGCACATTCCACAATGCCATGAAATCCAATGGTCCAAGATGCAAGTGTCAAAAACAAAAGTTTAAGGCTGATTCATTTCTTGGGTTTCTTTGGGGGTGGCTCTCGATCTCCCTGGCCTTCTCCATTTGTTCCACCTTCATCTTCTTCATCTTCATCTTCGTTTTCTTCCTCTTCTTCTCCTTCTGTGAGCAAATATAGTAACTTGTGAAAGTTATGAATCCCTTCCTTTGGTTCTTTGAGTTTGAGATCAGATGGATTTACCCACATCGCCCCATCCCCACATCGCCCCATCCCCACTTCGCCCCGCCGCCATAAGCGCGCCAATTCGCCCCATTTCCACTTCGCCCCGGCCGTGCTGGATGTGTTTTAAACTAATATGGAAAAGGAGTTACCCCAACGGCCAGGGTGACCGTTTTAGCAGTTTACATGTACCTCATCGTGGATTGTACGTTTGCACTTCCAGGTTTGTCAGGTTGGATTGATAGGACTACATTTTTTTTTGTTTCTGCAAATCAAAACTTAATAATGGGGCATGCAATTGCCAATCTCCTAATGCTTTTCAATTACTCCCACAGACGAGATATATCACTCCCCAGATGCAGACTGGATCCTCTGAAGGCCTCAACCAACATGCAAAAGTCACCTGAAAACTTATATTTGGAGCCGGATCAGGAATTTCCCCGTGTTTTTTCTCAAAAGGATTTTTGTGGGGTTTTCGCCCATCCCGCAATCATGCCTTATAGTTGAATGTTTAAAATGTGTACAAAGTACAGTGTACAAAATGTACATAGCTTTTTTTCTTTAATATCTCTTAGATACATGTACTTGTATTTGAAAATATTTATGTTCGTTGTATGTTACACATGTAGTTTTCCTTATAATTTAACTTTACTTAACATTATAATTTGTAAATGTGCTAGTGGCGCGGGTGACTGACGTCATTGCAACACTGATGACTGGCCTTTGTTGGTAACCGCAGCGCTGGGTAGACGAACCGTGGACGTTGCAGCAATTGCCTAGGTTAACACTAAATGAAAAGATAATAAAGGGTTTACATTGGGGTGAAGTGGAAATGGGGCCAAGTGGGGATGGGGCCAAGTGGGAATGGGGCGAAGTGGTTAGGGGCGAAGTGACATGAGGTGAAGTGGAAATGGGGCGAAGTGACCGACAACCCATGTACATGTAGTTTGCTTACAAATAGTAAAAAACATAGTGGCTATTAATGAGGGCAGCACGTCTGACAAATTTTCAGACCAGTCTCATACTCATAGTCATACTCATACATAGGCTTTGTGCACAGGGTGTCAAGTGATGTCCAGGTATGGAACTCTTTCTGCGATGTTCAACGCAACTGCATTACGACATTGCAAAAACACCATTGCGTGGCCTTTTTTAACATTTGGACATGGTCTGGCGACAGCCAACAGACGGGCCGGGCTCTGGCATGTCCGGAGTGCTCTGAAACGTGCAAAACTAAATCAGGCCAACTTAACTTCACAGCCAGCAAATTTCTCCAAAAATTCCACTGGGCAAAGAAAAGGTCCTCAGTATTTCACCAACCAAGTTTGCAGACTCAATTCAATTTTTAAAGGAGGCTTTTCTTCAATATTTTGCACATGAGAGGGAAGTCAAACAAGTGATTTCAAACAATTAATAGGCGGGAAACATTATAGGCGCATTACTCGGACAAGTAAAGCGCCCTCTGCGTTGTTACGAACCTTCATCAGCATTATCGTCGTTGCTTAAATCATTCGATTTGGAACCCTTCTCAAGATCAACTTGAACGGTAAGGTACTCATTCACCTCCTTCTGTATAACCTGTATAGATTCTCGTAACTTATCATGCGTGATTGCGTCACTATTACTCTGAATTTGGTGGCTAAATTCCTGCTTTTCTCCAGATCGCAGAGTTACCGTGGAAGTCACCATGGGGGCCGCCATCTTGCATCCGTACAGCTCTCCTTCTCAGAGCTAACATTTATGGGCTAACGTTAGGTGTATGTATCGTTTGATAATTGGGAACGACATTGCATTGGAGGTTGAAGAGATAGGCACTGTACACTTTAGTATGTGTATGAATTCTTTCTTCCATTTCCAAGGTTTGTGGCAAAAATTGTGAGATTATGTACGATATTTATAACTAATTTATATTGTAGATCGTGCATTCAATATAACTGAATTTTATCACAAGACTTCTCTTCAGTGGTGGCTGGTGAAAAGGTCCAACAAAATCGTCGAGGACTAGTCAGCTAGTTGCTAGTATACTACTTAGTAGCCCCACTAGTGTGGCCGTCGGTATGCTGCGCTAGCCCCACTAGTGTGGCCGTCGGTATGCTGCGCGCAGCATACCGACGGCCACACTAGTGGGGCTAGCGCAGCATACCGACGGCCACACTAGTGGGGCTAACTACTTAGTAGTAGGCTAGGCCCTATAAATAATTCATTCATGTGTTTTTTTCAGACTGGGACCTCAACTAGTGCAGAAAAAAAAAACATGCAAAATAAAATCAGGCCATTTTGCTCATTCTTTGGCTGATATTCAAGAGGCAAAAAAAAGGTCCTCAGTATTTCACCAGCCAAGATCATGAAGATTGAAGTAATCAAGTCAATTTTTAAAGCAGAGCGTGACTTGTAAACTCCACGTTCACGGGTCTAACTTTTCTCCAATACTTTGCACCATGGAGGTATAGGAAACATGTTTGCACCTGAGTACTGAGAGGGAAGTCAAGTGATATCAGCTTGAGGCCAAAGACTAGACTGGTACTGTTTGAAGAGAGTGACCTCTTCTTTAGCCAGGTGTTTCTTTGGCACAGTTGATTGACGCAGTACTGAAGGGCAGGCGTGGTTCTAGAGCCAATATTTTGGGGGGGGGGGGGGGGCTAGCAGGGTGGATCTGTTGTGCGCTTTCTTGAAAATCACGCAATCTTAAGAACGCGCGCATTCTTAAGAATGAGCGCCCATTCTTAAGAATGAGCGCTCATTCTTAAGATTGCGTTGGAATATCACGTGCGCAATTTATGAATTTTGCGCAATCTTAACAAACATTGCACGACATAATTATGTTAAATGAAATGTATAGCGGTTAAAAGGGAAATAATTCATATAAAGAGGAAAGAAAATGTTCTATGCTTCTGTACTCGTATAACTACTATAAGGCAAAATAAAAAAAAAAACATGTTTAGCGTCCTGCCTCTTTGACAAAAAGGAAGGAGGAGGCCCTTTTTTTTTTTCTTTTTTTTTCAAAATGGCCGCCCGACACATTTTTCAAGACAACGCGGCCGGGCTATTTTTCAAGATGGTTACCAGCTTTTTTCAAAATGGCCGCCACTTGGACTCATTGACTATTTCCACAGCTTTATACACGGTATAAAGTCTAAAAATAAGATTTCTTTCGTCAGAGATCGTTAAAATTTATCAATTTTTGTCTTTAAAAAAAAAAAAAAAAAAAAAAAAAAGGAGGCGGCCTCTAAAAAGGAAGCGGGCGGGGACGCTAAACATGTTTGTTTTTTTACTTCGCCTAATTTGAATCAAATTAAACCTGTTATTATTGCTTTTTTCTGCCCACTATGGGAAGTTTTGTAATAACGGAGGACTGGAAACTAGTCTGGGAAGTGCTTTGTTTAATTAGGCTAGACAAGTTACAAGTCCCTGTATGTATCATATGCATGCCACAAAAAAAAAAAAAAACGATGTCCAGAAGCTGCCAAAATTGCTCTTTTGACTAGATAGAATCCAGCTCTGCGGCGTAATGGTGGGGGTGTGAACAATTAATTGGTGGCAATTTAAATGGGAAATAGCATAGCAGAAATTGATGGAGTTGGGTGTTTTTTGGGGTCATTTTTCCCATAAAAAAAATTGGTTAGGGGCTGTCAGAATAGGGTAGGGAGGGAAACTGGAAGCAGAAGTAGGTTTTTTTGCCTTAAATAATATTGCATAATTTTTTTTTTGTAGAGTCGAGATTTCAATGGTGAGTGATTAAACCATGGCAGCTGCTGCGTCAGCACCCAGCAGGGAAGAGATGGCAGCGCACGTCTTCCAGCAGGAACTACGGACAGTGATTCACTGGTTCACAACATGGAACCACTATGAGCGACAGGACTTTATGACAGACCTAGTCAACAAGGCCATCCCAGCGGATGTCAGGAGTCTCTTTGAAGCCTTGGAGACCCTCAAAGTGAACGACAAGCCCCCGAGTATATTCCAGTGTCAACTGAAACTCTTCTCAGAATGGTTTGCCGAGTGGTCCGACGAGGAAAGAGATGTCCTCGTGCACAGACTCGAAGAGCTGGCTCCAGAATTTATGAATGAGGTTAATGTAAAAGTCCATGCAAGATTGTTGGAACAAGTGCGGAGCTGATGCTTGCTTCCCAATTCAACTTGAAGCAAGGAGGATTCTGTATCTCCATGCTGCACTCCAGAAGCGTTTCCAGCTTTGGATGTCAGGGGCCTAACCTCACATCCACGCCAAAATGTAGACATGTTTTTTCTCGGGACACTCTGTAAAATCCAAAAGGGGGGGGGGGGGGGGACCCACCTTTCAAATGGGGGCGCTCTTCAAAACTGACCATTATTATGCATACTGCAAATTATATAACCAAATTCAAGGCGCATTGTAATGGTTTTTCATTAGGTTTTCTTTTTGGGGATTGATGTCAGAACTCTCTAACCATTTATTGAAATAATTGCTGAACAAAACAAATTGTGAAAAGGGGGGGGGGGACAAAGTGCCCCCTCTGCGCCCCCCTCCCCCTCCCCTCCCCCCCCCCCCCCTGTCTGGATACGCCACTGCCGCACTCCATCGCATGTGGTTCTACTTGTTATAAGTGTGCATCTGTAATTTTTCAGAGCAGAAAACTCTCCGGAACACGCCCCTCACTATTTACATCTAACTTGATTTTGGTCGTATCGTTCAGAAACAACACTATGAAGCAATGTAACAGCAGGCAGTTAGATCGTCGTGTCCATGCTACAAGGTCGTACATGTATCTCGTAAAATGGCGTGTGACGTCATGTACGTGAAACCCAAGTTTTCAATGTCAAGAGGTTGTATCTCGCTTCAAATAACCTGGATGTACAATGAACATGTACACACAAAGTCAGTGGACGCCCTGATACGCGAGATACGACCTTGTTGCACGGAGAGTATTTGCACGAGATACGCCCTTGTTGCATGCATGGAGAGTATTCGCGCGAGATACGACTTTGTTGCCGAATCGAGTTACGACCTTGTTGCACTGACGCGACGAAATGTTCATTTTAAAGTCAGACTTTTGCGTTTAAAAACTTGATACCCCATGACTTCAGTTTAAATGCTGACAATGTGGTTAGCCTTAATAATGGCAACAGTGCAGAAATGAAGGAATTTGAGATTGTTCGATGGAGACCCTGATATTATTCCATATTGGCGTGCATGAATCTAGGACAATTTTTGTCAATTTACCAATTCCAAGCTAATGTAATGGGCACAATATGTTTTGTTGTACATTTGATATGCTAAAAGCAAACAGTACTATCCCTGGTGTCGACTACATGTATATGTATCTACAAAATTCTAACATGGGATAGATAGAAAATGCATGTAACTTTTTCCACATTGCATTTAGTGTCCACTTCAAGAATACTCATGCATATGGTAAGAGTAGTGCCTCTTTATTTTATTATGTACATGTTTGTGTAAGAGACTGACTTTTTAGGGGGGGGGGGTTATTGCTCTACTCAAAACATGCTACATGTATAACCCAACACAACCTATTACCCTAACCTTCCCAAATCTTCCAAAACCCTCTTTGCAAAATGGAGGATTTTGCAGGATTGAGGCTATATGGCAAAAATGTGTGGCTGATTTTAGAGGATGCACTGTGTGGTCCACTGTGTCAAGGTCTTGGGACGGACCTTGTGTTGTTTATGCTCACCCGTGCATAAATTTAGGCCTAGATTATACTTGAATTCCTCTGCGCTGGTCCAGGATGTCACTGCACTGGCTCAGCCTCAAAATATTGACGGTGATTTTGCAGGATTGAGGCTTGTGCAATTTTTACATGAAGGCAGTTGGAGGATTTCTCAGTATTGAGGTTGCGTCCTAGCAAAAATGCCTTGGGAGTTAGGCCAAATAAAAAACAAAACATGTTTAGCATCCCCGCCCGCTTGCTTTTTGGAGCCCACCTCTTTTTTTCTTTTCTTTTTTAAACCGAAAAAATAAACAGTGACATCATTTTGACCTCTCTATCTGTTTCATGTAGCCCATATAAAGCTGGTATGTCATTTCCTGAGTCCAACGGCGGCCGTTTAAAAAAACAGCCGGTGGCCATCTTGAAAAATAGCCCGGTTGGGCGGCCATTTTGGAGGGGGAAAAAAAAGGGCCTCCCGCTTTCTTTTTTCAAAAAGGCAGGACGCTAAACATGTTTTTATTTATTTGGCCTTAGGGTTAAAGAAATAAACTGGAAGGACGTCACATTCAAGAGTTGAGTTTCAAGATTGGGCTACACAAAAATAAAGTAGGATGCAGTACTGTGTTATTTGGGAGTTGGCAAAGTCGGAAGAGCACCTTCGTTGTTAAATAAAATAAAACAAATATGGAAATTGATGTGAAAGTAAACAAATCGTGTTGAATTTGCGTTTTTTTGGCCACTGAAAATGCCAACGTATCAGTATCTTAAAGGGAATATACATCATTTGCTTTTGCTGTAATTTTCAGAAATGGATGGAATTTGGGGGTTGGAAATATAAAGCAAATATAGTTACACTGACTTTTTGGAGGTTTTAGGTTCGAAAATGCTATAAAAACCAAGAAAAACGATCATTTTCCTGTAGTCTGGTTCCCTGACTCCATATAAGAAGAAACAGAGCAGTTTACATATATTGGGGAATTGTAAGGTCAGGGAACCAGTCTAGCTGGTTCGTACCCGTTCATAGGTTTGTAATCGATTGCAAACAAGTGCAATGGTCAATTGGGGCCAGTATTTGAAAACAAAGCCAGTTGTTTCCAACGCTGATCGGCCGATCAGCGTTGGAAATTGATACAAAAATACCACTTTTCTTGAAAATGACAGTATACCAGGTGCCATAATTTTACAGGATGCTTTAGACTGTCATTTACCAACATCCTATTAAGGTATTTCGCAAAAACTTGGTAGTTTTATTTTTCGATGTTTGCAAATGTTGTATATTCCCTTTAATGTATGTAGCCCTTCCTATTCCTTTTCAAAGATTTCACATCTTGTCAAGGATAAAAATGAAACTGTTAATATTTCTCAATTAGCAGTTTGCTAAGCAGGAATTACTTGGTGGTCCAACTCGACCAAGGCATCCTGGGTTAAGCTTGTCCTGGCCTTGGGTCTAGAAATCACAAGGTAAAAAACAAAGCACAATCTGTAGATAATTTTTTTATTCGCTTTTTTCTTCTTATTCCCAATTAAGGTTAAACATCTATTAACAACAATTCATTTTTTTTTTATCATGATGACATCTAATGAAATGACGCCGCCATTGATTAGACATTGATTCTTCACATATTGAGATAAATTTGCATGTTTGCGATCTCATTATTTTGAATTCAATGAACATACTGTAATGAAAGTCAACTGCAATTTTTTCTTTGATCAGCACAAAATGAATTGAATTTCATTGTTTCAATAAGCTAAAACTTAATAAAAAGAAAAAAGACCTACATACATGTATGTGTACTGTATGCCAAACACAAGTGCAGACAAACTTGTTCACACCGTCGATCGTGGATGTCCTATCGTCCCTCTTTTGGTTGTACTCTAACTTTTAAGGAAGACATTCATATGTTTTGTACATGACCCCAATCGCAGACGTATGCTGGGAATCGTGGACAATATTGTTCTCTTTTGTTCTCTGGAATTTTTCGTCCACGGTTTGAATGGATGAACATGCCCACACATACATGCACGAAGTTCATCCTGCACAGTGCATACTTCAACTTCTGTGCCTACTGTTCATGCACAGAATGAATATACCAGACGTAAGTGCCTTAAAGATATAGTCCATCATTTGTAATTTGTGCATTTTGTTCATTTGAAGCAACAAAAGTGCTCAAAATCTAAAGAAGGGTGCTGAACAACTAACCTGCTGAAGTTTCAGCTCAGCTTCAGCTGTATATTCCGAGAAAAACAGCATTCTAGGATCTCAATTTCAAATCAAAAGTTGCTGAATCATGTTTTGAATTGGGCCTGAATTCAGCGTCCGAGACACGTTCTCACAGCCGATTGCAGCTACGCGATGTCGCGCACTGATCCGACGAATTATAACAAGTGCGTGTGCGTCGTGGCAATGCTTGCGCCCGCTTCGCCGAATAACAAAACGAACCACTAATTTAAATTTACTACGGTGCGTCTTAAGAAGCACTGTTGGAAAGGCCTTCTTTCGTTGATTACTTCAAAATGACAGCTTGCCAGAGAGAATAATTTCACAGGGAGTTTAGTCCCCTTACTATCTTTCAACCAAGTATGTTTTTCAACAATAATTATGCCAACTACTTTTCGGATAGTTGCAAATGATGGACTATAGCTTTAAAGTCAGATCAAGTTCTTTCAAACCTATTATTAGTGAAAGTTTAAAACCTACAAGGGAGTCAATGCAGTCCTTGGAAATATGATGTTCAGGATGTATGAATGACAAGCAACGCCAATAAATTTCTGGCTCTGTAATAAGCAAATATTCTCTTGTAGGACACAAATTGGCATGGGCTTCAAAGTGAATTCAAGAGTTGAATTCTACTGAAATCAAAGGATGCCACGCATAAACAATTTTTTTGCATGTTGCTAAAACACTTTCCTGAATCCTCCAAAATCTAACCCACTGCAGGAAACAAATGGCAGCTTGCTCATTCAACTTTCAACTTGGTAGGTCGAACCCATCACGTTCCAAGGCTCTACCTTCCTCAATCCTGCAGGATCCTTTAATCCCGGTGGATTCTGAAGGATCTGGGAGGATCAGGGTTCAAATACACATAATTGACATTTGTACACGCCCTTTTTACGTTTCTCCTCCATGCTTCCGTCTTGCATAATTCAGGGATGTGATGTTTTTGCCTGAAAATTGAGATATAAAGATGAGTATGCACACATGTACATGTATGGTGCCACTGCACTATGTTATTTACAATTTGAAAAAAAAAAGCCAGAAATCAGGCAGTTGCAGGAGGACGTACATCCCTGATAATCCTAACATTAAATATAGTCTCCTCAGACTGGATGTAAGAGTCTTGAGCATGTCACGGAATAGCAAAGTGTAGGGTCTCTGCCCTAAATGGGTCCCTGTCACCCGATATGCCGTCAAAGAGGACCCAGTGTTCGCCTTTTGCTAGAGAAACCCTGGCAGATCCCCGAAAAGATTCTGCCGCTCTCATCACAGTTCTGGTTCCCTGACTTCTCTCAGTCCTTCTTGGTCAGTGTGTGGGGTGACGATGTCATGTGGATGGGGTTGGGGTTCTCTGCTGCGGCCTTAATGGCATCCAGAAATGCCTGGCTCCTGCGTCTGGATTCAGTCATAACCTTCGGATCCGACTCTGGCAGTACCTGTTGGTTTAAGTGACAGTAGCAGTAAAATAAGTTCAGGTGGGAAACCAAACACCGATTTGTCAAGTCTTCAAACAAAAAGCACAATGTTATTGGACACTAGGTCCTGGAACAGCCCAATTGGGCTACAAAACGCACTTTGAATGAGATTATGTTGATCGGAAAGAACATTTAAAACTACATGTAGGATAGAAACATCCACACAACTACCCTTTAAAAACTGGGCGTTTTTGTGTTATTCCTGTATTATGTGTGCGAGAACGAATTTCGGGGTCCACTTTTGCGACCCCATAAATTCGAGCCGTTTGGATGCTAGTTGTGATTTCATTCATACGCGTAAAGTGTTCGCCTTTTGCGGACATTGAAGAAACCAATTTTTTTGCATTGGTGATTGGTCACCACTGATCCTGCGACACACAACGTGTATATCATACACTAGAGAACGACACGAAAAACGTATTCGTACTCCGTCGTGTCCGATGTAAACAACCAGGGTTTTTTCGTCTTTTCTCGGGAACGGTAAGACATTAGGTTGGTTTTCAAACCATGCGTCTCGCCTGCTGTCACAATTATCTTTAAAGAGTGGCTAATCAGTATGAAGGTTGCCATGTTGCATCTTTGACCCAAGTTTGGTTCCAATTGGACTTCAACTTCTCAAATGAGACCAATTTTACATGTTCAGCCTATAGTAAAAATTGACCTTAGATGACCTTTGACTTCATTATTATATGAAAGTTGCTATGTTGTGTCTATGACCCAAGTTTGAAATGACTCAATGAGACCAATTTCACATGTTCAGCCTATTTTACAACTTGACCCCAGATGATCTTTGACCTTTATATGTGACCTTTGACATCATTATTATATGAAGGCGCCAATGTTGCATCTAGGATTCAAGTTTGGTTCCAATTGGACTTCAACTTTTAAAATGAGACCAATTTTACGAAACTTTAACCACATACGTACAGACATTGCGATTGCATAGTTTCTTTCTGAAAAGTTCAGGCGAGACAAAATGTGAGAGTTCAATTGTTTTTTTCTCGAATGATTCAAAACTTTCTTGTTAGTACCTTTAGCATGTCTTCTCGAGTTGGTGAAATAAGTTTCATGAGTGCCCAACCAACTCCACCGGCTGCTCCTATAGCCCCTAAACTCAGCAAATATGATGTGAGTCTTCGTGACATCTTGAAGTGTTCATTAACTGTGCAGACACTGCAGAAATATGAAAAGAACAAAATCAAAATTATAATTTTCAAGATCATTTGAGATTTTTTTTTTTATCTGGCTGCATCCTCAGTCATGCATCACACCACTCATTGACATCTTACACTGAAAATTAATGTACATGTACACTCAATTACAAGAAGTGGCATTTTGAATACCATTTCAAAAGTCAGAATCACGGACAACGTCAACTGTGGATAAACTGGCAAATTTTTTAAATGTTCCCATCTACCAAAAAGTCGTTCAATTTAAAGGCACAGCTAGTTGCAGAGTACCCTGCATAGCCACTTCGGAGAAAACACATCGGACTTTGACTTTTCTCAATAGTCCCCATTCAATTTATGCTGTTACTTATTTATTCCATCCTTTCAGGGAAAATAGCGACCCTTTTCCCTTTCCAATCCCCCCCCCCCCCCCCCCCATCTGCCACCCTGGGTTGAAACACTTTCGACTGTCTGCTGACGATTTTTCTGTTACAGGGTAGTCCCAGTAACTTAGACCCTTCTTCAGGCCCGTTGCCAAGGAGGGGGGGGGGGGCCTGGTGGGGCCGAGCCCCCCTTGACGAGCAATTGCTCCCCCCCCCCCCCCAAACGGCAAATGCCATACATGTGTATTTTTTATGGTAGTGGGCCCCCTAGTTGGTAATATGGGCCCCCTGATGCTCAGGGCTGGCAACAGGCCTGCCCTACTTATTGCCTTTTGTAGCCCTAACAGTCCTGAATCCTCCAATTGTAATACCATTTTTCACACCCCCTAGGGAGTTAGGGTTAACATTTGGACATGATTTGGCGATGCGGATAGGATCGCCATGGACACACGCGCACACAAGCACGAAATGCATAGCAACTGTGTTGCATGCGTGCGCGTAAGTCTTGTTTACACAAAGTTTGTACCGAGGATTTTTACAATGAAAGCGTGGGTCTGCATCGTATTTTCTCGCTCACGTTTACATCGATAACTCGGCAGGATCCATCAGTCTGGATGTAATGCCAAGGGGGTGATTGGTGCTCATATGCAGTGCAGACTTATAGGTGCTTGAAGACAAAAATAACTTGAAGAAACAATGGTGTCGAAACGAAGACGAAGAAAAATAACATTTGTGCAGGATCCAACAAAGTGCAAGTAAAATTCAGCAGCTCTGCTTAGCAGCTGGTTGGTGGTTGGTACATCTGGGAGGGTGTTTCATAGGCGAACTGATCTGGGGAAGAAGGAGTTCCCGTGGAGTTGGGTGCGGCTGGTGATGAGCTGTAGTTTGCTGGGATGGAATGATCTGGTGATACTTGGCATCATGGGTGACAGATAGAGAGCTGGGTTGATGGCGACAATGCTGTGTTGTGTCTTGTTAAGCATGACCAGGCCTGCTGCTTGTCTCTTCATTCAAGGGAATTCCACTGGAGTTCTTGGAGCATAGCTGTCACACTCTCCCTTTTGTGGTACTTCTGGAGCACAAACCTGGCTGCACGGAGTTGTAATGCTTTTGACTCTAGTGACATCTTTGGAAAGAATTCCATACTGGGCCACCACTCAGACCTCCTGCATTAAGTCTATGGGCCATGACAGACAAAGTTAAAAGTATTTTTAAGAATTTTTGCTCTCCTTAAATAGTTTTTCTTCATCAGATTTACAACTTTTGGTACTTTTCAGGTCTTTTTATTAGGGAATATGAGTGGTGGCCCAGTATGGAACTCTTTCCGTTTGTTCTCATATCTTCTGGGAGCAGGTTCTCAGGTTGCGGCACAAAGTTAAAGACCAAGCATTCGGAAAGATTTCCATATACGAAGTTCACTCGACACTCTGTGTACAAACCCTATGAGAGTGGACTGAAAAATTCTAAGTGTTTTCTAAGAAAATGCTTGTATTTTCTCACTGCTCAAATTGACTTTGATGACATGAAATTGCTATCTGGGGGCTTGTTAGTCAATACAGAGGAAAATTAGTGAACTTCGCATATGGTAATCTTGCCCAAGCATTCTGTTGGCTTTGTTGGTGACTTTAACTCGATGTTTATGATACTTACATTTACCACCGAAGGCATGGTCATACCATCGTTGGTAAATGTAAGTGTACATGTACAAAGTGTACATGTATGTAGGCCTATATCTGTATTTGCCTTAGGGTACCCCTTAAAATACCCATTTTTCTTTGTTCCAGTTAAACTATTGGAAAAAATGTTGCAACCTGATGCCACTTTTTCCTTCATATAATCATCTCAATGAAGGTCATTCATTGCAAAGATGATGATAAGACATGAATCTGGGACTGAAAAACATTTCAATTGGTTAGAAAATACTAAGTTAGAAAATGTTCTTGACTCTCCGTAGACTTTGTACACAATCGCGCAAGCGGCGTCAGGTTGCAACATTTTTTTCCAAACTTTTTAAAACCACTTTATGAAAAATACTCAAGAATTCCAGAAAGGGATTCTTAAATCATGCAAATTAAACAGTGTTAACATGGTTAAAAAATACTAAAATCAGGAACAAGGTCAATCTTGACAAAAAATCCTGAAATCGGGAATAATGCTGACAAATCTCACAAGGAATACTTATGGTAAACAAAATTTCAGCTTTGAAGTAATTGCAGAATACCCCGCTATTCGGAAATACACCCCTAAACTCTTTGGCTACGCGGTTGGGATCGCTGGAATAGAAACAATTCAAGTCCATTGCCAGCTACGCGGATACTGAGTGGGGGTCCATTTGAGAACGAAGGAACACAAAAGGAATGGGATTGGGAGTTGCTGAAAAAAGTGTAAGTCCAAACCAACTAGCTTGAGTAACTCCAGCTGACATGCTCATATTCATTCACATGTGAATGAATATGAGCATGTCAGCTGGAGTTCAACCAGCCATGGATAACCCGCAAAATCAAGCAGCTCAGTAGGCAGAAACAACGTGCTTACAACAAGGCTTGCTCCCATCGCCGTCATCGCAATCACCGTCACTGGGCCAGGTACAACGTCGTGAAGAAACGTATGCAGAATGCATGCAGAGAAGCATACAACAACTACATCAACAACATTGTGTGCCCAGATCTCAAGTCAAATCCCAAGCGTTTCTGGAGCCATATCTCAAGCAAGCGCTGCGACAACAATGGTGTTGCCCCTCTTCGTGGCCCCAGAGGAGCTACATACACTGGAAGTAAGGATAAGGCAAATATTCTCAACGACCAGTTTTGTTCAGTCTTCAACAAAGATGAGGATCCATCCACCATGCCAGTCCTTGGCCCTAGTCCATTTCCTACTATGGATCACATACAGATAAATGTCAACGGCGTAATCAAATTGCTGAAGAAAATAAATCCTCATCAAGCCACCGGCCCAGAAAATATTCCAGCTCGTCTACTGAAAGAACTTGCTAACAGCCTTGGACCTGTACTCTCCATCTTGTATCAAGCCTCTTTGGACAGTGGGGATCTCCCTGAAATATGGAAATCAGCCACCGTTGCACCTGTATTCAAGAAAGGAGATAGGAATAAACCAGCCAACTACAGGCCCATCTCACTCACAGCCATCTGCTGCAAACTTCTAGAGCATATCATACACAGCTCCATCATGCAGCACTTCCAGGCTTACAACATCCTGTCTGACAATCAACACGGTTTCCGTAAGGCCCGCTCATGTGAATCCCAGCTCATCATCACCATGGATGACATTGCCCACAACCTGGATGAAGGTCTTCAAACTGACCTCATACTATTGGACTTTTCGAAGGCATTTGATAAAGTTCCCCATCTTCGTTTCCTCCATAAGCTGAAGTACTACGGCATCGATGGCAGTGCACTTACCTGGATCAGCAACTTCCTTCAGGGTAGAGTCCAGAAAGTTGTCCTGAAGGGGGAGTCGTCAGCTCAATCCCCTGTGTCATCCGGCGTACCCCAGGGTACTGTCCTTGGCCCCCTTCTATTCTTGGCCTATATCAATGACCTCCCAGGCTGTATTTCTGAAGACTCCAGTGTTAGACTGTTTGCTGACGACAGTGCTATCTACCGTGTCATAAACAACATCGACGATGCCAACCAGCTCCAGCAGGACCTCAACACCATGCAGGAGTGGGAGAGGAAATGGCTCATGGAGTTCCATCCAGAGAAATGTCAAGTACTTCGCATCACCAAACGTCGCAAACCGGTAAAGTTCACTTATTCCATCCACAACCACCCTCTGAAGGCAGTACCATCAGCTAAATACCTAGGGGTAGAACTCACTGACAACTTATCCTGGAACAGACATGTAGACACCACCTCCAAGAAGTGCTTGAGATCCCTTGGCTTCTTACGATGCAACTTGAGCAACTGCCCTCGTGAAGTAAAGACCCGCTGCTATACCACCCTTGTGCGGCCTATTGCTGAGTATGCCAGTTGCGTATGGGACCCTTCCACAAAAAGGAACATCACCAAAATTGAATCTGTACAGCGTAGTGCTGCCCGGTACATTATGAACAACTACTCCAGAGACAGCAGTGTCAACACCATGCTGAGTAAACTGGGTTGGGAGTCTCTACAACACCGAAGAGCCATCTCCAAAGTCGCAATGATGTACCGGATCACCAACAAACTCATCGACATCCCTGACAACCACCTTATCCCGGTCAACTCATCTACCAGAGGCAACAGCCAGAAATTCCTCATCCCACCCATCCGTACAACCTTACTGAAGGGCTCCTTCTTCCCAGACACCATCCGCCTGTGGAACTCACTGCCCCAGCAAGTTGTTGAGTCACCAACCCTGGATATCTTCAAGACCAGAGTGAACGGTGTCACCTTCAGATAACCAACCTGTCCCAAAATAGCTGTTTTTTACTTGCACATATGTGTCTTTTTATGCCTCGAGTTATGTCTGCACCTGCTTGTTTGCACTTCAACCAATGTGCGAGTATACTCCAGCGGAGGTTTCTGCACTGTAGTACAGGAAGATGATGATGATGATGATGAGTTACTATAGCCCCACCAGCATACCGCGGCCACACTAGTAGTAGTGGGGCTAGTGATTAGGCCTACCCGATTATATTCGGATTTTTAGGGCAACAGGGGTGCTATTTTTAAACGCAGTGGCTATTGTTACGGCAGCCGTAACGCATTTCCCATTTTCTATCGTTACGGTAGACTGCAACTTTTATAAAAACATGACAAGAAAATATAAAATTAGAAGGAAAAAAGTGAATTTGAACGTTATGAAATTCGGACTTTATTTCCCTTTTAAAAAAAATCCTCCAAAGCCTCAGGTTAGAAAAGGGAAAAAAATTCGAGTGCAAAACTGAGATTCGAACCCGCAACCTCGCGGTGCAAAATCCTACCCTCTATCGATTGAGCTGTCGCACTGCTTGCTAAAACGTGTGGAAACAAATAACTATATACCTGCGTGCGTATCAAAAAAATATCGTAGAGGGCGCTAAACAACGACTGCCGTAACGATAGCCACTTCGATTTTTAAAATGGCGGGGTAATGTGGAATTACTCCAATTTAGAGTCTAAACAATTCATTAAAAAATAAGAGAGCTTAAATTACGAGGAGGGATAAAATTGTTGAGGAACTTACCGATCGCAGAATTCTCCGTCGACTGCATGCAGCAGTGCAGGCCCGACGCGTCGAGACGATTCTTCTTGTGTAATCGAAAAAATCGAAGCTAACTAAAATACCCAGATAGAGGGCGCATTATTCTTTTCATCGTTGGAGTTTGCACTATGCATGGATGGGGACGAGGGGTAACGACGTCAGGTACATCTTGCAACGGGAAATCCTTTCATTTTTTCAAAGTGTTCAATATTTTTCTAATAAGATTCACAAACACAATATAATAAACTTCTACAATTATTCGTTTGTAACATTAGTTTTAATTTGCTATATAATCATGGTAGATTTAACCCTTACAAATAGGTCTTACCTATTAAGATATTTGGAACAATCCTGCAGTGACGCAACAGTCGGGTCTCATTTTATTTATTACATAATATATGCGTGAACGTGTAAACAACAACAAACAATTTGTGTCGATGATCATCGAAACATGTGGGTGTTTGGCTACGGATCTTTGATTTGGAAAGTGAACTTTCCATATCAGCAAAAGGTAGCTGGATATATCGATGGTTACGCGAGAAGATTTTGGCAAGGCAGCACTGATCACCGGGGCCATCCTGGCAAGGTATCGTTTCATCATCATACAGTCTGCCAGTGGTGGTGCTATGTGAATTTGCAAATCAATGACTTAACCACATCATCATGACTTGCAAAACGCGACGTAGCGCAGCCGGCCGGCGCCTGTAGGCCCCAGGCTACACAATACACATAGTGACATACCGTTTCAGGCTGTATTACAAAAGTGTATAGAAATGTTATGCCACTGCCAGCCTGCAATACATTGGGACTGATTGATTATTTTAGAAAATTCAATGAAACTTGAGCTTTTTGTGGTGCACATTGTGCTAAATGATTTTGGTGTAGCTTGAGTCAAGCTCCAATGTTCATCAGGAATTCGACATTTAACTTTCCGACAGCACTGGACCTGGAGTTACTCAAGCTAATTCGGGTGTATAATACAGTATTATCAGCAACTAGTGCCCTGCAACTTGTTCAACTTTAAGATCCAAAGTAAAAATATGAAAGGTAACACACAAGTATAGACTCCTACCAAACCACCCCTAGTTCCAAAAACACCATGAGTACATTTTTTCCTCACTGACTGTAATTTTTTTTTTCCTCAGCCAGGGCGTGTCGTGACCCTTGTTCCTGATCCACAGGTACCTTATTGCAATGTATTGATTTTTTTTTAACAATTACTTTAGTACAGATGGAAATAAAGTCAACTGTGCTTCTTAAAATGCCTGATACACAGCTATGCATTCTAAATTCTAGGTTTTACCACCTCTACTGGCTCTCATATCTCAACTTACACTTGTATTTAAAAAAAAAAAAATTGCCATTAAGAGGAAATAAATATGTGATTTGATTTGATTTGAAAATACCTTTTCTTTCTTTTCTTACATGTCTTTGTTTTCATCAATTTTACAAAAATACCGGTATAATGTTAATTGTTATGATTATATGTTTTCAAAGCTTTCTGCATTTTCTTCATGTATCCTTTAGGAGCAAGTATGGGGCATTGCATATCAAGTGGCAGAACAAGACGTACCCCGTGTCCGGGAGTACCTGGACTTTCGGGAAAAGGGCGGCTACACTATCACCTCTGTAACCTTTCATCCAAGAGACACCAGGGTTCATCAGCCCTTTGATGTCTCCATCTACATAGCAACACCAGATAACAAGAACTTCCTTGGTCCTGCATCCATGGAGGATATAGCCAGGCAGATTTTCCTTTCGGTCGGACCAAGTGGAAAAAACATTGAGTATCTTCTCAATCTAGCCGAGGCGGTCCGGGCATTGCTTCCAGAGGCCATGGACCAACACTTGTTCGAGTTGGAGAAGCTGGTGAGGCTACTCAATGAGGGGAAGACTCCAGATGAGAACAAGAACATTGAGGAGTACTTGTCTTTTAACTCAAGTAGTTCTTAACAGAGATTAGCATTGTGGGTTCTTTTGCTCATTTGATTTGACATATAAATACTATTAACAAAAAACTGAGTCTATACTGAGCAGGCAGTCAAGGCATACATGAAAAAAAGTATCAGCCATTTTATAATGCAAACAGGAGTCAGCGTGCTGTGTGGACTTCACACTTTGGACTGTCAAACATCCATTATCGCAGAAACAATTACACTGCATTGGTGCGGTCTTTCTGTATGCAAAATTGATAGATTTATTGTAGAGGGCTACATGTACATCCTGTGCATCTGAACTCGTTGTACATGTATGAGTACATGTACATGTATGAAGACTTCAATATATTTTAAAACATATTTTAATAACATAATCTCAATGGGATTGTCAAAAGTCACCTGCCAACAATGTGTCAGGGAATATCCTCTAAAAGTTGTTAAGTTTTTTCTCAAGTTGCCGAACTTTTATAAATAATACCAGGTGTCACATGTATGCATGTACATGTAACTTATAAATCCTAAATGGGCTCAAATTCTAAAATTTACATTTTTTTTTTGGAGTTTGAGATACAAACACAACCTAAAGACAAGTTTTTAATAAGCTATTCTTGTTTTCCAACTTGTATTTGTCACGTGCAATATGCTGCATTTATTACTGTTGGATGAGAAAATTTCACTTTTTTTTTGTTGGGCATGTCAATAGAAAAAGTGCAAACTATGTTTTACGTGGAAAATATCTTGAGTATATTGTATTTTCTTCATGCTTTTATTTTGCAGTTTATTTTTTGTGTGTGACAAAATTGAGTGTCGATGCGTGGCTCGTGGTTTAATTTAAATGACCTGTTAATCTTGACTTGCTTTAATACACGTATTTATCTGATACATTTATTACAATAAATTCTTTTTGAACTGAATAAGACTGAAACCAAATGGAATCAATTTCTCCACACTTCATTTTGTCTGAAATATAAATTTACAAAGACGAGACATGCTCAGCTCTTCACAAGAAAATTCACAGTAGATTATCAATTTAAGACAAGATTAAATGATTACAGTATGTTAAATAATAAGGCTTTCAACTTTTTTTGCTGAAAAGTAATTGCACTTAATGTTATCAGAGTAAAAAAATCTTGTTCATGTGATACGTCCTGCAATATACTGGTTCATGTAGATTGCTTACACTGCAGCAATCATTGAGGCTTGTACTTTTGTTCAACATGGCATGATTAGATCTCTTGTGTATTCACTATTAATGAATTAACATACATGTAACAGATAACACCTCAAACATGACTGACCAGTGCAGCCATCTTTGTTACTATCAAAGACCAAACAAATTGACATTGGTAGCACAAATTGCTGTATGAAGTGTACCTACATGTAACAGTTTCCAAAAAAGAGCAATGTCATGATGAATAAGATCAAATAACTACACACTGCACAATTATGTGGAATGCAAAGTCAATACTGATTGACAAATGACATGGATTAAATTATACACCTAACCCTTGGGTATACTAGAAAGTATCCTGGATCTGCCAAAATACAATGTACATCAATTTTGCCATGCAAAAATATGGTGGATAGTGAGTCCATTAGAATCCACCAGTTAGGTGGGAGTAAATCTGTTGAGATCCTGAATCCACCAAAGCCCCCCAGCTGCTCAACATGGAGGTATCCTGAATTCATCAAAATCCTGCAGTATATACATGTAGCTATGCTTCATGTCCTGAATCCATCAAACTCCCCCAACTGTTTCAATCTCAAGGTATCCTGATTCTGCCGAAATCCTCAAAAACAAGGGTGTGGATTTTGATGGATTTAGGTTCGTTAGCGTTTAAGAACATTTTAAATATCAATTCATAAATACCTCAGACAGTTTAGCTATTCCTATTGGTCGAGAGCCCGTCACGTGGCCGGTCTTAAACGGATGATAAAGACATGGCTAGCTGGTCTTAAACACTTTTCCAGTGTCACAATAAAATGTGGACTCCTAAAAATCCAGTGCCTCTTACCGTTTCATTGGTTGAACGTTCACAATCCTCACGTAGGCATGCGCAACACTACAAGCGAGTCAGAATTTTATAGTTCTAAATTCAAAACGCAACGCCCCAGGTGCATTCTGCGTGACATCGCGCAGAACATGTTACGCGCGCGTCAATCTCCATAAAAGGGTTGTTTACATCTTACTCGCCAGCTGAACACTCCATTATTTTGCTAGAGGGATGTTTCAAAAAGCATGAAGTGAACTTGTTGAACAAAATCGGGATTTTTTGAACGAATTATTTGATATTTTTTTACGGATAAGGTATTTATGAATGGGAATAAATATGTGCTCGGTCGGTATTTATCACTCTGTTTAATACCGCTTAGAGTCTGGGTGCTGATAATTACCCTCGCCTCCGGCTCGGGTAATTATCAGCACCCAGACTCTAAGCGGTATTAAACGAGTGATAAAAACCTCCGGAGCACACATTTATTCCCTTAATGTATCATCAAAATGAGGCATACTATTCAAACTTCTTTCATATTAACCAGCAGTATAAGCCATCATATATCTCATTTAGGGTCAAGGAAATACAGAATGTCACCTCATCTACCGGTACCCTCTAAATGTCCGAACAAAACTTGCCTGAAAATGCCAAAATTAACAGTGACATTGTAGTACTCGTACTCGAGTACATTTTATCTCATTTATATACTTGTTCCAAAATTGTTTAAAGTTACGGAATTTTAAACACAACCACCATTTTAAGGTTCTGTCCACGGATCACAAAAAAAATTGAGTGTTCTTTCAGCAAAAGTGCGAAACGAAAACAAATCTCATAGGGATGTATGTGAATTGTTTTCATTTTGCTGAAAGAACGCACACTTTTTGTGATCCGTGGACAGAACCTTAAAACGGTGGTTGTGTTTAAAATTCTGTAACTTGAAAAGTACATGAGTATTTGAATGATTCTTGTACTAAAAGAAAGCTTATGAATTGGGCTTTCATATCGTAGATTTTGAAAGTGCTACATGCTGAACTTTAATGAAACAATGGGCCCGACCTTCGGGTTTCGCTTTTTTTTACTCGCCCTGTATAAGGGGCAACAACTTGGCATAAAGTAGTTATGACTTATGGCTCACCTTCACATTAACATGACTTGTCTGTATCTGTATTAATAATTGAAGTCCTTAGGTTCGGACAATTCCACAGAACTGGATCACAGCATATTTTCCATCCAGCATCCAGTCCTTGTCGCCAGCCTCAATTTGTTCAGAAACGCCCTCCTCCAGTCCCACAATGACGTCAGCCTTGCTGGTCCGCAAGGCACAGTGGGGTGCAGGGTGGAATCCGCATAGTGCCTCGGCATAGGGGACGGTGTGCTCCCACTGCCGGTCGCCAACTAACTTCCTGTAGTTCAGATCTCCCTTCAGGAGGATCAGATCCGAGTTGGACAGTTCGGCATGCAACTCGGGGCTCACTGACCGCATCTCGCTGAAATCATGCGGTGTTGTCCAGAATGGATGACCCTGCAGGATCCAGGATCCATCTTGCAGTCTCTGTGTCCATTTCTGGCCAAGACTTTGCAAAAATTCATTCTCGTGGCGTTCCAGGAAGTCGAGGGTGTGCTTGAAGTCACTGTGCCCCACGTCAGACACGAACCAGGGCATGTCTTTGTCATGCATGACAACGACATCCACAGTCCGCAGCGCAAACTCGGCCAAGCACAAGTCCGTGAACAGCTCAAAGCCTGCGTTGTCTAACACGATGTCCAATCGGACCCGCCCATTCTCAGCTTTGTGCTCCCGGGCTTTCTGCAAGACCTGCCACAGTTTTTCAGTGTCGTCCACAAGAATTTTATCCTTCAACACCTTGAGCTGAGATAGCGGACTTATCTTCTGTGAGTTTTCAACGCCAGCTGAGATGGACAAATCACACTTGTTTCCCCACAGAGCGATCTGCAAAACAAATCACAAAAACAAGCTTTTTGGATAATAATGAAGTTTGACTTGAAGCTACCTGCTAAAAAAAACTAGCTGCTTTTAATTCTTGTAAATATTGATTGATTCAGCAGGGTTGATATCTAACAAATTCCGGATGAATTATGCATCCATTTGGTCAAAACTACATGATTTCTGACACTGTACATGCAGATACGCTCCAAAAGCAGAATAAAATTGATTTTTTTTTTGTACATTTTTTTTGACTAGCAGCAACTTATGAACTTACGGGAGTTTTCGGCATTTGCCTGCCTTTTTCAGCACTAATTCATGATACGAACTGGGTATCCCTTGTAGTCCCACTGTTTATCAGGGATGTGAAATCTCAGCTTTAAAGCTGATTTCAGCTTTTTTTTGTTTTGGATTTCAGCTTTTTCCCTCACTTGCTGTGTACAAAAGTATAGGAGATTTCCAAAGTTCAGCTTTTTTACACCTTTTTCAGCTGTTTTCAGCTATTTTTATCAGTGGTTACTCACACCCCTGGTTTATCTGATCAGGGGTGTGAGTGACCACTGAAAAAAATAGCTGAAAACGGCTGAAAAAGGTGTAAAAAAGCTGAACCCTTGAAATCTCCTATACTTTTGTACACAGCAAGTGAGGGAAAAAGCTGAAAAAAAGCTGAAATCCAACACAAAAAAAAGCTGAAATCAGCTTTAAAGCTGAGATTTCACACCCCTGTCTGATCCTGAAAACGCATCCAGGATATCCTAGACAATGGGGATCTGGGCAACAATTAAATTTGTTATACCTCTGTCTTGAATACTGTATTTTCATTGGCCTAGATCGATCACATGTTTAGTTTATAAAAAGTCATGGCACACTCCCTGTGGGATATCACGTGCGTGATATCCCACAGAGAGTATGCTATGACTTTGTACGTATGCGGCACGTACGGTGTAAAACGCTTGTATCGTTATGAGTGGGAGCAGCGAACCAGCAGACGATCAGCTGTTTCGAGCACGCGACATGCATGTGAGTTGCCGTTAGATTGTCATGATTGTTGTGTTTACTGCCGTTTGTTTTCGTGATTTCTACATCAAAATCCAAAGAATCCAAGACAGAGGTATAACAAAACAATTGTTGACTGCTGTGATGTGGGATATGATGTTTTGAGCGCCCTCGGGCACATATGCGCCCCTCGGGTGTTGAAAACCTCATATCCCACATCACAGCAGTCAACAATTGTTAAGTAGCCATGATTACAAAACTGATATCTTCTAGTGCATCAATATATTAGTGGGAAATTTTACACCATAAGTTTGTTTTACCATATCATGAAGTGGGGCAATTTCATGGTGCTGCTTAATAATTAGCAGAAAAGTTGTGCAAACCATAGCAGAAAATCTTGCTGACTACTTTCTTGGTTGTGCGCGCATGGACATACATCACAGATTTTAAGCAACTGAGCTTAGCGTGCCTTTTGCTGTGCTTACTGCTGACTGTCTCCATGAAATAGACGGAGGCTCGGTCAGCAAAAAATTGTGTGCTTCACAGCGCCACAAATTTGGGCTCTGGTTTTTAAGAATGTGTAGTGAACATGTGTAGTAATTCCACCAGCCTCACCTGAATAAATTCAGCAAACAGGTTGTACACATTTCCATTTTCATCTGAGGTGCTGTCTAGATACTTTGCAAGGATAACAAGGGCATCCTGGGACTTCTCTAAGGCTGTGTCCTTCATTTCTCGGAATGGGTCAAAACTCTTCAGATGCTTGCTGGATGTGGAAGGAAAAATGGGAACAAAAGCAATAGCAATGTTCAGTGTTTCCCCTGGCTAATGAACTGAGCGCTCACAAAAATGCACGTTGATTCCAAAAACACATCGAAATTGTGAGTTCACATGGAGGTCAAGGAAAACGCTCATAAATTACACAAAATGAAAATTTTTCAATTAATATTTCCTTTTTTGTAAATCTTCTTCTTCTTCTTCCTTACAAGTGCAGACTTCATGGGTGAAGATAATCGCACTGCCAGAAACACCGGGGCGAACCCCTTCTCTTAGCAATAAGTGTACTGGGTTCTTTAACGTGCATTTTACATTATACAACACACGGGACCTACGGCTTTACGTCCCATCCGATCGCGAAGGACAAAGCAATTATGGTTAAGTGCCTTGCTTAAGGGCAAAAGTGTCCGGGCCCGGGCTCGAACCCACGCCACTGTTGCCTCTGAAACACCAGAACATGAATCCGGTGTTCTTAACCGCTAGTGCCATGGCAAAGATACATGTAGGTGGTGATATTGACAAAAAGTGAGTGAGGTGGTCACTGAAAGTAGCGAGGTGGTCACTGAAAGTAGCGAGGTGGTTACTGAAAGTAGCGAGGTGGGCCACCTCACGTTTGAATGGGCAGGGGATACACTGGCAATGATGATTGATGATAAATGAAGGCGGGACAAGATGAGAGACATGATGTGATTATTTGTTGTCATTCTTTGTTGGCTATTTTTTGTAAGTGGTGTTCTTTTTAATGGATATCGCCCAAGGCCAAGGATGTCACAGGTGTGTTCAACCTACCATCATCATTTATTTCACCCTAACCTTCCCAAATCCTCCAAAATGGGCTTCGTGCGCCAACGAAAGAGGGCGCCCTTTTACCTAGCAACGATGTCCCGTCTGCGGGACATTTAGCTGGTTGACGCGCACCGTTCCTTGTGTGTGACGCACGTTCACCAGGGGATTTGTACTATGTACACGCAGTGCAGTGGCAGGCCGCACATCGCGGCAAAATTGTAGTCGGGCAAGATGGCATCAGTCGGTTACCCCCAACTGTGCTTTCTTTGCCGGTGAGGGGGTACTTGTGAACGGAGCGGATAGTCTTTGCAAAATGGAGGATTTTGCAGCATTGAGGCTATATGGCAAAAATGTGTGGTTGACTTTGGAGGATGCACTGTGTTAAGGTCTTGCGCCGGACCTTGTGTTGTTTATGCCGAGCCATGCATAAATTTAGGCTTCTAGATTATACTTGAAATCCTCCGCACTGCTCCAGGATGTCACTGGCTCTGCCTCAACATATTGCCAGTGGCTGCTGGAGGATTTTGCAGGAATGAGGCAGTGGTCACCCCTCCAAGGACCGCATTCAGGAAATAACAGAGGATTTTGCAATATTTGCATTTTGAGGCTGTATGCAATTTTCACATGGAGGCAGTTGGAGGATTTTGCAGGATTGAGGTTACATCCTAGCAAAAATGCCTAGGGAGCTGGGGTTAAAGCAGGAAAAATAGGAGACGAAATAATGCATGGAGGATGGAGAAAAGTGACTTTGCTGCCTTATAATTGATGTCTGCTTATTAGGGCCTACTTAACCTGGCAAGTGAAATGTGCAAGTGTCACAATGCCAAATAAGGAAGCATGTGCAGTTTCAGAGGAGGAACTACATGTAAGTTCATGGAACTGTAGCTCCAACACAAAAGTTTACGCAAAAACCACTTCTCTGACAAGTGTACATTTCACACGTCCCCTCTTTATTAACTCTAACCACGCAGGCCCTTTTGGCTAGGAGCCATCCCCAATCCCGCAAAATCCTCCGATTGCGGCCACCGAGTACAAATTGGATACAGCCTCAATCCTCCCAAATTATCCATTATTTCTTGCATTTGTGCAGTTGAGGAGCGACCACTGCCTTCATCGTTCAAAATACTCCAACAATAACTGTGAAGTCTGTGATACATTGAGGCAGTGGGGATGATTTCCAGAAGCAGTGCGGGTGATATCAAGTATAATGCAGGCCCCAATTATTCATGGCTGAACATAACCAATGCAGGGCACAGCCTACGACCTCGAAGCAATGCGTCCCCCAAAATCAACTGACACTTTTTTGCCACTCGGCATGCTCGGCCTCAATCCTTCAAACTCAGGACTCCAAACCGCCTGGTTGATTTTGGAGGATTGAGGAGGATTAGGGTTGAGCATTATATATCCCTACCTTTGCATCCCCAAAATCAACTAACTTTTTGGCCACTCGGCCTCAATCCTTCAAACTCTTCCAAAACCGCCTGGTTGATTTTGGAGGATTGAGGAGGATTAGGGTTAAGCATTATATATCCCTACCTTCGCATCCCCAAAATCAACTGACTTTTTGGCCACCTAGCCTCAATCCTTCAAACTCTTCCAAAACCGACTGGTTGATTTTGGAGGATTGAGGAGGATTAGGGTTAAGCATTATATATGCCTACCTTTGCATCCCCAAAATCAACTGACTTTTTGGCCACTCGGCCTCAATTAATCCTTCAAACTCTTCCAAAACCGACTGGTTGATTTTGGAGGCCTGAGGAGGATTAGGGTTAAGCATTATATATCCCTACTTTTGCATCCCCAAAATTAACTGACTTTTTGGCCACCTAGCCTCAATTAATCCTTCAAACTCTTCCAAAACCCCCTGGTTGATTTTGGAGGATTGAGGAGGATTAGGGTTAAAGGGAAAATACAACATTTGCAAACATCAAAAAATAAAACTACCAAAACATTTTGAAATACCTTGCTGGACTGTTAGTGAATGACAGTGTAAAGCATCCTGTAAAATCATGGCACTTGGTATACTGTCATTTTCAAGAAAAGTGGTATTTTTGTATCAATTTCCAACGCTGGTCGGCCGACCAGTGTTGGAAAAACTGGCTTTTTTTCAAATACTGGCCCCAATTGACCATCGCACTTGTTTGCAATCAATTACACACCTATGAACGGGTACAAGCCAGCTAGACTGGTTCCCTGACCTTACAATTCCCCAATGCATGTAAACTGCTCTGTTTCTTCTTATATGGAGTCAGGGAACCAGACTACAGGAAAATGATTGTTTTTCTTGGTTTTTATAGCATTTTCGAACCCAACACCTCAAAAAAGTCAGTGTAACTATATTTGCTATATATTTCCAACCCCCAATTCCATCCATTTCTGAAAATTACAGCAAAAGCAAATGCTGTTTATTCCCTTTAAGCATTGCACATCCCTACCTTTGTCTGATGTAGTCCACCATCCTCCGATACATGTAGCATTCAAAGTAGAGCCAAGGGGACTGGAACCAGCTCGGGGGCTGCCCGCTGTTCCTCTGAGTCTCCTCCTCCAGGTAACGCTGCCATATCTCACTGTCCTCGTCCTTGTCGCTCACCAGAGGAAGGATGGGCTTATCCGTTTGCATCTCGTTCCTGAGTTTGGCAAGGCTGGCGACGATGGATTTGCAGTCCCTTGCTCCTTCCTGCAGTAAACAGATGGAAGGAAAGGACTAAATTGAAGAACACTAACTCCCTAGGCCTTTTTGCTAAGATGTATAGCCTCAATCCTGCAAAATCCTGCATTTGACCTCATGGGAAAATTGCATACCCTCAATCCTGATAAATTCCTCCACTGTTTCTTGAATGGTCTGTAGAGGGGTGACCACTGCCTGAATCCTGCAAAATTCTGCGACAGTGACTGTCAATATGTTGAGGCTTGGCCAGCGACATCTTGGAGCAGTACGGAGGATCTCAAGCATAATCCAGGTCTATATTTATGCATGGCTGAGCAAAAATAACACACGGTCCGGCCCAAGACCTAGTTGACAAAGTGCATCCTACTTTTGCCATGTACATTTGTAACCTCACTCCTCCAAATTCTTCCACTTTGGCAAAGAGGATTTTGAAGGATTCAGGGTGGTTAGGGTTTAAAATTCTATTCTTTTTCAAGACTGTCAAGTAAACTGTATACTTCCATTCGGTTAATATCTCATCAATTGTGTGGATGAAAATAAATGTATTTGGGTATTTCCATGCCAAATCAACCAAATTTAACCCTCCTGCTGACAAAAGTCACAGACAGTAACAAAAATCAATACTCCTACCATGCAATTTACACAGGCTAGGGCCAAAAAAATAATAGTTCTGCTTCCGGTTTCCCTACCTACCCTATTCTGACAGCCCCTACCCTATTTTTTTTATGGGCAAAATGAGAAAAAAAACACCCAAAACCATCAATTTCTAAGTTTTACCCTTGACTACACACAGACGCCTCCATATGATTGTACACCAAAAAAATTGGCCCAAAAAAAAAAAATCCCTACCTACCTACCTTATTTTCGAATGCCATGTAATCGGAAGCAGAACTATTATTTTTTTTTGGCCTAGTCACCAACAGTCAGATCAGTTTTCGTGCAAGCCCTGTGACTAGTCAAATTCAGTCAACAGACAAAAGCGGGCAAGTGATGGGCACAGCTGGCTTATCAATCACCTGCAGTCAAAGCATAGCTGTATCAAGTTACATGTACATAAACAGTCACAGCCAGTCAATCCTGCTTTGTGTAGGCCGGGAGCTCTTAACTGCTAAAAACAGTCACTTGATTGATTTTGACTGAAAGGACAGCTTTGCAAAGAATGTATGTTTGCATAGGAGGGTTAACAGAAAAAGTAACTCGACTGATTCATATTGGATTCACCTTCATTTAGAAACACGCTGCAAATTTGATCTTAATAGTCAGTGCTATGAGTCCAGAAAAAAAGTCATGTTCCTTTTACCTACAGAGCGTGCAAGCTGACCTAAAAAACCTGCGGGATTTTAGGAGAATATAGCGCATCCGGGAACCATATATAGGATCTCCGACATGTGTCACAACCTTTCTTATGGCATATATATTAAGTGTCCTGACTGGGCCCATCCATTCAAGGGCAATAAATGGGTACTTCAAAGGAAAAGAAAGCATTACAATTTGCGACAAATTGAAACCATTGCGAATTGATGATGACTCTCATAAAATTAAAATTGTTGACCTCAACTACCGTTTGAACAACTGATCACGCAGATAACACTTGGGTAAATTCAAACAGGGGAGTCTGTGACTAGACTAATCAGTGTTTGGTACCAAGATGTTCACATAAAAAGTGAACTTGGACTGGTGAGACTTGCACGCTCTATTCCAAATGGTGTAATTTTTTTTTTCTCATTTCAATGTGGGCAAGTAACTTTACAATGCAATTTTTCAGCTGATAAATAACAGAACTGCACTGCACTGTCAAACATCAGAAAATTCACGGACATTACGAAAGTAAATAAGCTAACGTGACATAACACTGGCACGGAAGATACAAATGCATTGAAAGGGATTCCACCGGTTTCCAGACTTCTCATTGGTTAAAAACAGTCACATGATGTACAATGACATCATTTTCCAATTCTCTATAATCAATACTGCAGATTCTCGTTTACTGCATTGAAATTGGTCATTTCTCTACCACGTCACCACCATTTTTCTCATCGCATACTCGTAAGGTTTTCTATGGTTTTTTGGCCAAAGTGCCGTAATTTGATGTTATGGTGGTCTTTCTTCGATTGTTGTACTTTTCAGGAATGTATTCAGGAAATGAATCATTTTGTGGGTGATGTGGAATATGTCTGTTTCTGCTCTGTTCACAAGCACCCCCTCACCGGCAAAGGAAGTACAGTTGGGGGTGACCGACCGACGCCATCTTGCCCGACTGCAATTCATTTGCCGCAAAGCGCGGCCACTGCGTGTACATAGTACAAATCCCCTGGTGTACGTGCTTCACACACAAGGAACGGTGCGCGTCAACTAGCGAAATGTCCCGCCCATGGGACGTCGTAGTTAGGTGAAAGGGCGCCCTCTTTTGGTAGCGCACGGAGCTCATACACATAGGCACGACTGATATGCAAGAATGTTGCGAGTGTAAAGTGCAAGTGAATGAGTGCACATTCACATGCATGTGTGCGCATACAATGCTCATTAAATAATTCACGACTTTGACCCGAGAAGTTGACCTTGCCATTGCGCGTAGTAACAACGCGATCGACTTATCCTACACCGTCAGTTGGCGACGTTTGTAAGTGTACCGAGTACTACTGACCGATACGTTTCCAACACCTCACCTCTCCATATTGTTGCGTTGCCTTGATGCGATATGTGTACACAGTGTCCACCACTCTCGTAAGGATTACTGGCAAGCGATCTCTGATTGTGTAGTACGCAAAAGACCTGAACAGAATGTAAAAGTGGTCACTCATGTCAGTAAAATATTTTTCAAAATGGACTGAACAGTCACCTGCAATGTGACTTTTGAACAGAACTCGTAAAATAATAGAGGTGTCCTGAAGATAAAGGTTACCAAAAAAGCTTCAATTTGAGGTACCGCTTCAACAATAGAATATTCATAATTCCAAAATACAGGCCATAGCTTGATCTCCAGCTGACATGCTCATCAGGAATCCTGATGAGCATGTCAACTGGAGTTACTAAAGCCTCTCAGACTAGTGATACATGCATCGGTACGGGTTGACGAGGCTAAACCGACCCAAGACATTCATTTTATAAACCTAATCCCAACCGAATCCAAACTGAACTACCTAAAACCGACCCAACCCGACAACAATTCAAAGAAAACCGACCCGAACCGACCCCAAAAAAAGAATATTTGGCTTCGGCAAATGTGTCCGCTTTTTGCACCTAAACTTGCCCGCTTCGAATAAAAAAATTGTCCACTTTCAGTAACTGAATCAAGCCGTGCGGCACTCACAATATATCACCTACTGGTGGGCCTACATGTTACAGACCGTTCGTCGAGAGAGGCAGACCGCAACCCATTTTTTTATCGCTCCGTGCACAGTGACTCTGCACTAAATAGTGCACCATGTGAATTTCCATGCTGTTTTGGTTCATTTCTGTTTATTTTGGGTTATCCAAAATGGCTCAACCGATCTGACCCGACCCGAAAATCACAAACGCAAAACGGATAATGACCCGACTGAAATGATGGATAAAAACCAACCAGACCAAACCCGACCCGAAGTCAGTTTCGAGTTAAGTCAGTTTTCCATTTGGGTCGGGTTTTCACAAAACCATGATTTAGACCATTGCACATGTTGTCGTTGCAGTCCTGGACTGGAGGCTAAACACTTGCACATTTTACAAAAAAATTTATCGTCAGACCCCCTGAAACGACAGGGTCTTATTTTGACAGACCCGCATTCAATTTACATTGGACAATGTGCGCATTGCAAGCGTTACCAATGCCAATGAATTATGGTGACTCGATCGAGGATAAAGAAATTTTTTTCAGAGGAAAATTATTTGGTTTTTGTTTAAAGGGGCTGGATAATTTTGATCATCCCTCAGCCAGGGGGGGGGGGGGGTTCTTAAAATCTCGGCCATCGAACATGTCGAATGACAAAAAATTTGAAACTCGGTAGGGCCATTTGGGGCAACATATGGGACCCAAAAAATTGGACTGGTATGTGTGTAGCTACATACACTCTACACAAAAAAACTTGAATAAAGCGCCCTCATCGGACAAAAAATGCTGCACAAAATTCCCATGTATACGTAGTACCCTTTGCATAGGGTGATGGTAGCCTTTAATTACAGAAAAAAGACTTTCTACAGAATTATGTCGTGCGCTAAACAGTTAAAAAAGTCTACAGGCATCTACCCTGTACAGGAAAAGTCTACACGCATCTACTCTGTACAAAAAAGGGTCTACACGCATCTACCCTGCACAAAAAAGTCTACAGCATCTACCCTGCACAAAAAAGTCTACAGCATCTACCCTGCACAAAAAAAGTCTACAGACATCTACCCTGCACAAAAAAAGTCTACACGCATCTACCCTGCACAAAAAAAGTCTACAGCATCTACCCTGCACAAAAAAAGTCTACACGCATCTACCCTCCACAAAAAAGTCTACACGCATCTACCCTGCACAAAAAAAGTCTACACGCATCTACCCTGCACCAAAAAAGTCTACACGCATCTACACTGTACAAAAAAGGGTCTACACGCATCTATACTGTACAAAAAAAAAGTCTACACGCATCTACCCTGCACAAAAAAAAGTCTACACGCATCTACACTGCAGGAAAAAAAGTCTACGCGCATATTCACCGTAGGAAAAAAGTCTACGCACATCTACCCTGCACAAAAATAGTACCCATGCGTGTTGTTTCTACAGGGTATGTAGACCTTTTTTGTACAGGGTAAATGCGTGTAGACTTTTTTGGTGCGCAGTTCGGATGCATCTAGATTTTGTTTCTACAGGGTAGATATGTGTAGACCTTTTTTGATCAGTGTAGATTAATGATGTGGAAACTCGACCCGAAACCGACCTCGGGGCAGTTTAGCCATCTTTTGAAAAAAAAAAAACCCCGAAATAGCCGAGCGCACTATCAAGGTCCCACGGTATTAATTTCTCCAGTCGGATGGGACTGACAGTGAAATAGATACATTGTAACAGTTTTCATGATACCGCGTGATGATACCATGCGTTTGTTCAATAAGCGGAGTTACTCTCGATCAACCCACTGAGTATGACAGAGAGAGAGACAATGGTTTTGCAAAAGAATTCATGCAACGTGGGTAAGGGCAGGCACCAAAAAAGTGATCACTTTGTCCAAGCAAGGTATTTTTTCGGGTTTTTTCGGGTCGGGTCGGTTCGGGTCTATTTTACCTTCCTTTTTGTCGGGTCGGGTCAGGTCGGTTTGAGGGAGTTAAGATCGGTTTCGGTTCGGATTCGGTTTATATCTCTAATGTTTCGGGTCGGTTTGGCCTGGTAAACCCGACCCGATGCACATCATTAGTGTAGATGCGTGTAGACTTTTTCAGTACAGTGTAGATGTCTGTAGACCTTTTCTGTACAGTGTAGATGTCTGTAGACTTTTTCTGTACAGTGTAGATGTCTGTAGACCTTTTCAGTACAGTGTAGATGCGTGTAGACTTTTTCAGTACAGTGTAGATGTCTGTAGACCTTTTCAGTACAGTGTAGATGTCTGTAGACCTTTTCTGTACAGTGTAGATGTCTGTAGACCTTTTCAGTACAGTGTAGATGTGTGTAGACTTTTTCTGTACAGTGTAGATGTCTGTAGACTTTTTCTGTACAGGGTAGATGTCTGTAGACCTTTTCAGTACAGTGTAGATGCGTGTAGACTTTTTCTGTACAGTGTAGATGTCTGTAGACTTTTTCTGTACAGTGTAGATGTCTGTAGACTTTTTCTGTACAGAGTAGATGTCTGTAGACTTTTTCTGTACAGTGTAGATGTCTGTAGACTTTTTCTGTACAGTGTAGATGCGTGTAGACTTTTTCTGTACATGTAGATGTCTGTAGACTTTTTCTGTACAGTGTAGATGTCTGTAGACTTTTTCTGTACAGTGTAGATGTCTGTAGACTTTTTCTGTACAGTGTAGATGTTTGTAGACCTTTTCAGTACAGTGTAGATGCGTGTAGATTTTTTCTGTACAGTGTAGATGTCTGTAGACTTTTTCTGTACAGTGTAGATGTGTGTAGACTTTTTCTGTACAGTGTAGATGCGTGTAGACTTTTTCTGTACAGTGTAGATGTCTGTAGACTTTTTCTGTACAGTGTAGATGTGTGTAGACTTTTTCTGTACAGTGTAGATGTCTGTAGACTTTTTCTGTACAGTGTAGATGTCTGTAGACTTTTTCTGTACAGTGTAGATGTCTGTAGACTTTTTATGTACAGTGTAGATGTGTGTAGACTTTTTATGTACAGTGTAGATGCCTGTAGACTTTTTCTGTACAGGGTAGATGTCTGTAGACTTTTTCTGTACAGTGTAGATGTCTGTAGACTTTTTCTGTACAGGGTAGATGCCTGTAGACTTTTTGAATGACGCACGACATAATTATGTAGATGTACCGGTACATGTAATTTTTTTTTCTGGAATTATAGGCAATGGGTACTATGTAGACATGGGTATTTTGTGCAGCATAGTTTTTTTTGTTTGATGAGAGCGCTTTATTCTAGTTTTTATGTAGAGTGTATGTAGCTACACACGTACCAGTCCAATTTTCTTGGTCCCATATGTTGCATGGTATAGGTAGGGCCTACATGCATCTATAGAGCAACTTATCATAAACCAGATAAACATACCCAAGAAATTTCATGACTATAGGTCAAAGGGTTTTGGAATTATGGCTAATTAATTATTCATATGCACGAATGGTTATACTGCTCTGTGACACTACATACATAAAATTAAGTCACACCGGAAAATTTTTCGTTGCGCAGCAACCCGTGGTCCGATTTTTATGTTTCGTGCATATCAAAAGATGAGCAAGGCTCGAGGCTAAAAAGTCATAACAGCTCCGGTCGCGATTTTTTTTTAAGGCCACTACGAAAAAAATTGAGGCCCCCCCCCCCACCCGGCCCTTTAGGGTTAAGGACATTTTATATCATCTGCATACGTGTGAGAATAATTGTACTTGTAGCATGTAGCAGTGCTACAAACACAGACCTTGAATTCATTTGTCTCAAAACTGGCTGGGTATAAATTAATCTAGCAGATTTTTTAAGTGCAGCTAGCAGAATTTTGTCAAAATACGGTCGCCTGAACAGCGCCCTCACCTCATGCCTAGCTAGCTAGCTAGCTAGCGCAGCCTGCGGAAAAACGTAAAGTCATGAGTGCAGCCCGCGAGCACGGGCAGGGGTACTCGCTGTCGAGTAGCCTACATTTACAATAAGATTGTTATAGTATGTAATCAGATTAATCCAAACTTCACTAAATTTATCTTAACTATGTCTTGTACTTAACGCTAATCGATGAATGTTAAAAACATATGCATTACCCTTTGAATTTAGCTGAAAGTCTTTGCGGAAGTGTGCTGTTCATGCTGGACGACATTTTCGGCTAGTACCCCCGGGTAAGGTCGATTCTTAGTATCCGACAATTTCGATATTTTCTTGTGGAATCGTCTATTTTCTCATTATGTTTGTACAACAAGCGGTGCGCGCCCTAAACTTAGCTTTTCGAAAAAAATGATAATCGATTTCACGTGGCGCTGGCTTGCACTTGCATCTGCGCGCGGTGTCGCCCCAGCCCTTTGCTATGTCCCAATGTTAAAAAAGGTGGTAGGTCCAAGTTACCCGGACGAATGACTGACCATCATCTGCATATAACCCTGTGCTGATAAAAACAAAAATGGTGGCATCAGGATTAATATTTGCATATCTATTTCTAGTTCTACCCAGGCAAATGTTATAATAAGAAAAATTCAATTGCCCCCTCCCCCTCCCACTTGCCTCCCCTTCCGATCCCCTGCACTTGCCTCCCTGCGACACCTGTTCGGGAAAACATGCTGGGATAAAAAATCTCATACCTGTTAACTTTTATAATTTGTTTCCTTATTTTATCTGAGGGATAGCAACTCAACAAATAGTCATGTCTCTCCATTAGCATCCATTATAGTTAGTAACAAGCGTTGACATTGTCTATTGCTCCTAGTCCTACTCCTAGTCCTACATATTTTGACCGATTTCAACCAAACTTTGTCAAAAGCAGGTATCGGTAGCCCAGCCCCAACATGTCACATGACCAAACTGGGGTCAAAGGTCATCATGGAGTCACTGGGGTATATAACCTGATTTTTTTAATCAAGACTATTTCTGGAAATAACATCATGCATGAACACGAATTTGTTGGCCCGCAGCTTCTGAGATCCAATGGAGCTTGTTAAAGGGAAAATATAACATTTGCAAACATCAAAAAATAAAACTACCAAATCATTTTGAAATACCTTGCTGGACTGTTAGTGAATGACAGTGTAAAGCATCCTGTAAAATCATGGCACCTGGTATACTGTCATTTTCAAGAAAAGTGGTATTTTTGTATCAATTTCCAACGCTGATCGGCAGATCAGCGTTGGAAAAAACTGGCTTTTTTTCAAATACTGGCCCCAATTGACCATCGCACTTGTTTGCAATCGATTACAAACCTATGAACGGGTACGAGCCAGCTAGACTGGTTCCCTGACCTTACAACTCCCCAATGTATGTAAACTGCTCTGTTTCTTCTTATATGGAGTCAGGGAACCAGACTACAGGTAAATGATTGTTTTTCTTGGTTTTTATAGCATTTTCGAACCCAAAACCTCAAAAAAGTCAGTGTAACTATATTTGCTATATATTTCCAACCCCCCAATTCCATCCATTTCTGAAAATTACAGCAAAAGCAAATGATGTAGGCCCTATATTCCCTTTAAGTTGTTTTCAATTGTGTATTGGCTAAAAAACCTTGTGAACAGGTACATCTACCCATGACCCTGTCCCATACATTCCAATTTAAAGGGGCACTAGGCCCTGAAATCCCCGAAAATGTTATGTTTTGGATTGTTTACTTAGCGTATTTCAAACATCTGGTTGAAAGGAAACCAACCTAATGTCTTACCGTTCCCGAGAAAAGATGAAACAAAACTGCTTGTTTACACTGGACATGACGAAGTACGAATATGTTTTTCGTGTCGTTCTCAGTGTACGATATCCGTTGTGTGTCTCGGAAACAGCAGTGACCAATCACCAATGCAAAAAAAGTGGTTTCTTCAATGTCCGCAAAAGGCGAACACTTTACGAATGAAATCACAACTAGCATCCAAACAGCTCGAATTTATGGGGTCGCAAAACTTCAAAAGTGGACCCTGAAATTCGTTCTCGCACGCATAATAAAGGAATAACACAAAAACGCCCAGTTTTGAAAGGATAGTTGTGTGGATGTTTCTATCCTAGTTTTAAATGTTTTTTCTGGTTAACATAATCTCGTTCAAAGCGCATTTTGTAGCCCAATTGGGCTGTTCCAGGACCTAGTTCCCTTTAAAGTAATTGAAAACCTTTTCTGTGTTCCAGCAAGATGAATGCAGATACTGGTATTCATATGGAGCCATTGCACAGGCGGCCAGATCTGATGGATGCCAGTGTGGAATTGTTGAATGCCCAATGGCCTCGCAGTAAAGCAGCTAGGTAAGCAGTGTTCTTCTGTACTGTGTAAATTCAGCGGCATATCTAATGGGGGAGGGGGGGGTGTGGCATTGTGGCTCCAAAAATCTCACCATTTCGAGGGTAATCAGTCATCAGAACTACCTTTCATGACGTATTTTTCACCCATGTGATTATACAGGCTCCACTCTTTGGACAAGTCTTGCGAAGGCCTACCCTATTCTCTTGTGATGGTCAACGCTAACAATGCGGTGATTGGCTACTGCAGATTGGCTAAAGTCATCAGTGTACCCAGCAGCGTACTGATTGAGTCTGGTGAGGCCATTGACAGAAACGTGGATTTGTAAAGAAATCTGGGATTTTCGGTTATTGCAGATAATTCGGGCGATTCACAATGCAGTGCGCCACCAAGAGTTTGCCATGGAGAGTCCAGTTTTCAAGTTTACGGTCGACAAAACATGGCCCATTTGAATGAGTGTCAGTAGACAACGAGCTAATTTTTGTTATAGATTGGGGCATAGCGTTCAGCCGCCTTACAAAAAAACTCCGTATTGATAAAAGGCAAAGAAAAGGGCAAACAGATACTCGAATCATGCTTACGAAAGTAATGACTAGAAAAAAACTAACAATTTCAAATATCCCGCGCTGCAAGTTTGTCGATTATTTCCCACAATGCACCGGGAAAAATGAACTCTCCGTGGCAAACTCTTGGTGGCGCACTGCATTGTGAAACGCCCGAATTGTTTGGTCATCCATAGTGGTGGTTCCTGAAAACCTCCGAGGACGAGGCTTGGGAAGACGGGTCATGGATCTGGCTGAATCGCATGCCAAGAGGCAAGGCTTCACAACGATGTACCTCAGCACCAAAGATAAGCAGGACTTCTATGCGCACCTGGGATATGAATTCTGTAAAGCAGTCAACACATTGGATGCACAGGTAGGAAGAGAAGACGAAGACTGATCAATTTTGGTAAAGCTGGGTTTTCAGAGAGAAATGATCCCATATGTGTCACTGAATTACAGTGGCTTTGATCATTAGCGTAGGGAGAAGTTTTTCAAGGAGGGGGTTTGCCAAAAAAAAATGTCTCCCAAATTTCAATACGCCGGACGGCTGTGTTGATGGTTTAAACCAGTGTCCGCCCGATAGTCTGAAGGTTTGATAGTCCGAAGGTTCTTTAGTGCGAAGGTTCGATAGTCAAAATGCACAAAATTCCCATAAGAGGGGGTTCGTTAATTCCGAAAATGAAATGAAGTTTGTTAGTCCGAACATTTGAAGCAATATCTGCAGGTTCGTTTGTCCGAAGGTCCATTTGTCTGCAGAAGGTTTATTATTAGTCTGAAGGTTGGTAGTCCGAAACGAAAATAAGGTTCACTAGTTCGAAGGCTCTTTATTCCGAATCGACAATAAGGTCCGATAGTCCGAATCGACAATGACTAATAAACCTTCGGACTAAAGAAAATTTGGACTATCGAACCTTCTGACTATTGGGCTGTTACCATTTAAACATGGACCACAGTGTGCCATGCACAAGTGGGCTGTGTGCAGAGAACACATCGAGCAAGTTAATCCTAATGCACAGCTAACCCCTACCTCCTCCGCCTTGTTTTTTTTTTTGGGGGGGGGGAAGGGGGTGTTAATATTTTGCAGTTTGTATAAAAGTCGTTTTGCTTTGGGAGAGTGGTGAGGGGATGGCTCCCTTGATGCCCATACAAGTTACACCGTAGATATTCCATTGGGTAGATATCACCAAAGTTTATCAAAAGTGAAGAAAATGTTGATGCATGTACATCATTAATAATGTCATCTGTAACATCATTGTTACATTTGAGGCTTTTGGGGATGACATCCCACCTTGTTTTTCTTTTCTTTTCTTACCTTGAAGATGATTGAGACCTGTGACGCCTTCCCAGCTGGTTGCAACTCGACATCCTTGAAGTCTGCTCCCTGTTCCATGAACTCCAAATGCTCGGCAAGAGACAATCAACCTACCTCAGGCTGTCAGCAAGTCTCAGGATGCGACTGTCCCAAACCAGCTGATAGCATCTCAGATGGTACAGGCCCAAATCCCGACCCCAAATCTGAGACAGATGGAAGTGCTCCATCTGAAAATGTTCCCCCTGCTCCGCCTCCCCCTCCCGTGAAAGTGTCCAAGACCCCTGCAACGGTCGTCTACTGGATGAAAAAAGAGGTCACATGAGGGATACACGGAGTCAACAACCAGAGACTTTTATTACTGTACAGTACTAATTTCAATAACTCTGATTCTGGAATTTATAATTGGTTCTTGTGTTTATCAGTTTAATTAGGTCTTAAGGTGAGGTTTTAAGAAGGTGCCTGTATGTTATGTGTCAACCCCCCCAAAACACCTTTTCTTGCCACCCTTTTCAGCATTTTATGGAAATTGTGGCCTGTCGTTATTCATTGCCCGTGTCTTGGACTTGATTGCCCTTATATGACCTACCACAATTAAATTCACTGCCGCTGGTCAAGTAGATGAATCTGGTATTTCGACTTAAAAATCCTGTGAAGAGTCATGATTACTGCCATTGAGAAATTCCTTCATGACCCTACACTGTTTTCTCTCAAATAGTTTGTGTGGATTGTGAGGAGGGCCAGTTTCAGTCTTCCAGCATTTCTTTAGTACTGGAGCTGGAGCTCCATCAGTTTTCTTGCCACAGTATTATACGGTTCTCCCTGAGTAACATGTGGTCCATTTGAAAAGAATAAGTATCATTAGGAATTATCCAGTCAACGTCTTGGAGGCAAACTATCTGTGTAATAGTGCACGATAAAATGCCCCAACAGGACCAATGCAGAATAATTTACTTCTTGTGATGTCACTTCAGTGAAAAAATTACAGATAGCGGCATACCTTTTCTTATGTCTACATTTGAATACTTCTACATTTGAAATTACATTTAGTTGTAACTCTGGAATGGGTGCTTCCTTCTGCATTTGTCCCTTCAACACATTTTCTTCTTTGCATAGCGCAGACTTGTATTATCCTAGCAGGATTTCTTCTGCGTTACAAAATTCAGTCTATCTTGAGGTGTCATCCTTTTAAAGCTATAGTCCATCATTTACAGCCATCCGAAAAAGTAACTGGCGTATTATTGTTGAAAAACATACTTGGTTGAAAGATAGTATGTGGACTAAACTCCCTGTGAAATTATTCTTTCTGGCAAGCTATCATTATGAAGTAATCAACGAAAGAAGGCCTTTCCAACGGTGCGTCTTAAGACACACCGTTGGAAAATTTAAATTAGTAGTTCGTTTTGTTATTCGGCGCAGCGCGACGCACAGGTGCGCTAGGTTGCTATAATTCGTCGGATCAGTGCGCGATATCGCGTATAGCTGCAATTCAAAACATGATTCAGCAACTTTTGATTTGAAATTGAGATCCTAGAATGCTGTTTTTCTCGGTATATACAGCTAAAGCTGAGCTGAACCTTCATCGGGTTAGTTGTTCAGTATCCTTCATTAGATTTTGAACACTTTTGTTGCTTCAAACGAACAAAATGCACAAATTACAAATGATGGACTATATCTTTAAACTGCTGATATCAGAATATTTTTTGCCGTACCTGGTCTTTTACCTTCATATGCTATCTTCCATTTACTGGATATTACAATTTGGCTTTTTTCCCCTGCACTACGGTGCAAGAGTTCCATTTATGTGCTCTACAGGAAAAGTTGGGATGCTTTTTTTCATTTCCTATACAGTTTGAAGGGTTTTACAAGACTCAAAATTTATACGCCAATTCTCTGACAGCTGTGCTGTCATCATGTGGGGAGAACAGTAATGTAGTATGCTCATTCCATCACAAGTCTATCAAAAGCCCACAGGTACTGAGCAACTTAAAGGAATGCTTTGCACAGATCAGTTGAATAGCTTGTAACTAGACTGTAGGACTTGTAAGAGTGCTTGTGATGGACCGGACTACAACACTGGTGGGAAGACTATCTGGCCGTGGTGACCCTTGGAACCAGACATCTGTAATAACCTTCCTTGCTTTTTCAAAAATTGTCTCTTCTGTAAGGAAGGTATGTCCCTTTAAGTGGCCTCAATCACAGAGCATGATTTGTACCGTTGCACCATCCACATTGATTCTCCAAACATTCAGGGTGCTCTTTCACAGAACATCAGATTTGCCTTAATTGGTAACTAAGTGGTATCTATCAGTATCAAATATTGCTGCTTCTGTTTCGTCTGATGCATAATTTTGTTTGACAGGTTCATTTATAGCAGTACGTTTCTCATTGTTACACTTGCTGCTTATAAATAGGATAGGGTATCGTTTCATTTTGTCTGATCAGTTCGAAGTGGGGGACAGCCTTCGCTTTGGGACCTTGATTCCACTTGACTTCTGGTCTTCAAGTAGACTTTTCTTGTGTTTCGGCACAGATGAGCTTTGCCTTCAGCTGAAGTCTGCAGGATGTCCAAGCTTTGTAGCTCAAGCCCTTGTTCCGCAAGAGTCTCAACTTTGTAGCAAGTGCAACATAAAATTCTGGCATCTGCAAATCCATATTTATCGCGGTATCATTCCTTCAGCAAGGCCACTGCTGGCACTGTGGTGTCAGTCTGCATTATGTAACTTTGAATCCACTTGACTTTTGGTCTTCAAATTGCACATAGAAATTCGACCTGTTCTGCTTCAGCAATGCTGACTTTTGCGTTCTATTGAAGATCAACCTTCCTCTGCTGGTGTCATAGCTCAGGTAGCTCTTGCTGTAGTTGTCTCATTAGAGATTGAATATTATTACAACAAAAAGGGTCTGGCAAAGTGTCAATCGGTTTAATGCCAGCATTTCCGTTACTATTCCCATGTCCAGGGCAAAACTAATATTGATTATTGATTTACATCACTCCTACGCAAATTCCATCTTTATGAATATTCCCATGCCATTTTGCCTTTTAGAAGGATTCTTCTAGGATCCAAACGTCAGGCTACCTAGTATACTATTAAATGTATCAAGTCACTCCCTTCAGTTTGGAGTTTAAAAAAAATTCTTTCTCATACAGTTGTGCAATTTGTTATTATTGAAATGCGTATTTGGGATAAAGAGGCAATAAACATATCTGCTTCATGGCCTTTTGTGCTGAAATATAATATGAAATACGGATTCATTTATAAAGTTTACCATGTAGTCTTCCTCATCAGTACGTTGTCTATTATTTTCTTTGTAATAAAAACTAAGTTGAATTGATGTCCAACGTATAGACTGCCTCAGAATGACTCGACCGACTTGGATCACTGCCTTGAATGACTCAGCTGTGACGTTCGGTGACTCGCTTTAAGACCATACCCCTAGCCTCCCAAACCATTCCCTATTAAAAATAGTTCCCGCCGTGGTCCAGAATTCCTTCGGCCCAATTACCGTTGAATAACCTATTTTGAAATTAAACCAGTCGGGAATCGAAGATAACCTCTCAACAGTAAGTAGAACTAATTACTATTAGTATGAGAACGCATATTATTCTATGCTTTACTCGATCAACTTTGAGATCCGTCAGGAAAAATATAATCATAAAATTGAACAAACGCAATTATAGATTCTATAGGCATTGGGGTAATTGAACCAGCTTTTCTGACTGAGATATACCATGGAGTTCTTATTCCTCCATGGATATACACGGTGTACGTACAGAACAAAATATAAGCTACAGTTAATTCGGGGACAAAAAAGTGGGCCGGGGACAAACGATATGATGCCCCCCCCCCCCCCAAAAAGGGGGGGGGGGGGGGGGCTGTCCCCATCGATCCCGGTCCCCATCGATTGACGCCCACCGGCCGAGAACACGTGTTTTCCCCGCTACAGTTGGCACTCTTCTAAATTAATTCGACAGGCAAACAAACGCTAGGTGGCGCTATTTAAAGCATGATGGGGAAGGCGACGCCCGTGGTTATGTTGTGTGTAAATAATCCAGAAATTTCTGGTTTAGCGCAGTAGTTGTGCATGGTTTTACAACTTTCTGTTATAGGTATAGGGTTTAGTTAACAAATTGTCTCGAAAATGAAGAAAGTGGGGTACTGGATGACGGAAAAGAAGCTGAAGAAACTCGATTTTCATTCGATATTCAGCGCTATGTGCAGGTACGTACGAAGAAATGGCAAACAAACAGTAGTGCACTGCCTGCATGCAGTTTCCATCATGTCCATGGCCATGGCCATGTTTGTGGCATGTATCATCAGGCCAATCATGATGCAAGCATCATTGTACTTGTTAAGCATAGTCTAGTAGGGTATATTTCCGGTCTGGCAAACTTCACTGTGCATTTTGTCGTTGTAAATTCTGAAGAAAGGAGTAGCAAACATTTTTTTTTTTTAAAGGGGGTGGGCCGGGGGGGACTGAATAACATAATTTGTTTAGAACGTTAACACCTTGCCCCATAAACATGTATCAAATTTCAAGTACAGAACGTCCCCCTTGGCCTTATTTAGAACCTAGTCCGAAAATTGGGGACTTTCATTTAATTTTTCAATTGATACTGTGTATGAGAGTCCCAAAACTTAATCCTTTAAGTTCAAAGGTATTGAAAGCTTCACAAGTCACATCACAAGAAAAAAGACTGGCAAATGAAACAACCAGTTAAAAACCCCAGTATCCTCGTTCCTCCATGATCTGTGCAGATAACGCTTTGCAAAGCATGTGTGTTGTCAATTGTAAATCAAAGGCAAGTGCATAGAAATAGGATCGCGCAGTTTTAAAGGGTCTGACGATACTGTATCCATCAACTGTAAATGATAGCTTTGGTTTCGTTTAAAAATCCATCTATTGTGTTATGCACAAAAAATTTGGTGTTGCTGACTGCTCAGTATGGAGGTATCCTGAATCCATCAAAATCCACACCCCTGTTTTGGAGTATTTCGGCAGATTCAGGATACCTCTATATCAAAAACAGGGGGATTTTGATGGATTGGGGATTGTAAGCCAAGCGGTACTGCAGGATTTTGATGGATTCAGGATACCTCCATACTGAGCAGTCACCAACACCAACATTTTTGTGCAGGACACAATAGGTAGATTTTGGCGGATTCAGGATACTATCTAGTAAAAGTACTCAAGGCGCTAGGGTTAAATAAATCCTTTAATCCACCTTTGTGTCAAATTCAACCCCATTTTCAATTTTCGTTTTGCCGTTTTCAAGGGTATTTTAGTGCCTTTTTGGTTTATATGCTAATGCAAATTTCCATATTCATAAGCAAAAGTGTGATGTCATTTCAGGCAGAAACCTCAATTTTGGAGCAATTTCAGCACCAAAAGCTGACAGAATTTTCTCTTCTTTGGTGATTGGTTGGTGTGTCAATACATGGCAGTAAGCTAGTGAGCAAACTTTCCTCACCATTTTGTTTCAATCAGCAAATTTTTGGGTTCGCAAGTGGAGCAGAAAGCCCTAACTTAACAATTCCTAAGAAAAGTTCACTTAAAGCGAAGTAATAAAAAAAATGTTTCTCGTCCCCGCCCGCTTCCTTTTTGGAGGCCGCCTGGATTTTTTTATTACTTTATATTTTTGAAAAGTGCTGTAAAAAACACCGAAAAAGTCCACAAATGCATCGGAAAATAAATACCAATACCCATACAACTCTAAATGACTCTGTAAATATGTTCAGTTCTCTTGTGCAACTTGCCTTTCATTTTAAAAGTGTCTTTGAACAGTGGAAACACACATGTTTTTTTTTTTATTCGGCCTAACCGACCCTTAAAAAGGGTTTCAGTTTAATAGTTAAATAAACGGTGGTGAGGTATTTGACGCCTTTAATTAACTTCCCCATTTGAATTTCTGCGCTGGCTTGTGTCTTAATCAGGAAGCACAAAGAGATTATGCATGTGAATACGACTTTCCACAATACATAGATCCTAAATATTTTCCTGATCAGGGACCCCCCCCCAAAAAAAAACCCCATAGAAAATAAAAAAATACACATGAACCGGTAGGGGGAAATAATGGTTTTCTATTTTAGAAAGTGTGTCTCTGATACCATTTTTTTCTAACCAGGAATTTAAAACCATCGGTTTCCTATTCGAGAAACAATTACTCAGAATGCTTCCTAGGCCTGATCAGGAAACCACTTTGTATACATTTCCCATTTCAGAGACAGTTCTGGTGGATCATTGAAATATGAGGAAATGTGTTACGAGATTGGGAAATTTGTTTCCTATTTTGGAAATGCAACAGATAAAGCTACATGTAGGAAAGTGAATGCAGTTATTGGCTGTTTTCATAAAGCTGTCATCAAGTTATTATATCCCATACTGTCTGCTCAACTTAAATTATGCACTACATTTACTTTCTATCAAATGAAGAGGTATTGATGAAATGCATACTCGTACATGTGTACATAACAAGTATCTTATTTTGGTTTTCTGTTTCAGGTCAAGGGGTATTGAACTTGTCAAGGTAAGATATATGACCTTCAGAAAAGACAGAACTAGATGGGAGGGTGGTTTCAGTTATTGAAAATAAAGTCTGAAAAGTCATGGTCTATGGATGGAATGGAAGACATGGATATTTGTACACATAATTTTGTCGGAAAATTTTGGACTCTTAATATTTTGTAAATTATAACCACTAGGCTTTCACAGCTCGGAAGCAGTTAAGATACTTCAAAGCCAGGAGAATTGTAGGGTAATGAAGGTTCATGAATGCCACAGTTTTATGCATTTTATTGTCAAATACAACTTACTAATCTTTTTTAGGGGCATGGAGCTTTTCATACGATGGAATTCCAATATTGGGTTTTGAAATAGTTTTTGATTTTTGATTCCCCCTCAGATTGACCTCCTTCAACCTCTGGAATCCCAGGGTCCCTTCAGTGCCATCATCCACAAGTTGACCGATGTCCTTAGCTTCGCTGCCGATGGAGACAAGAAGTCACAGGAGATGATCGACAATCTTAAGGTAATACAGACTGGTGGAAAAAGACTTCTTCCCTAGCGAACGTTCACCCTCATCCTCAAAGAGAAGTAGCACTTTTTGTGACTGGCGTAGTTTCTCTAACAAAGCATCCAAGTCAGTTATAATGCTGATTTGGGAATTCATTGCAGTGTACACCTGTATCCGACAGTGTTTCCCCTGGCTAATGAAATGAGTGAGGTGGTAAAAATTCAAATTGATGATTGAAATAAAATTGACGCAGTTTGCAAGCTCAAAACATGCTGCCCTTACAAAATGCGAGTTGATTCCTTTTACACATCCAAATTGTGAGTTCTTGATACATAGAGGTCATGGAAAACGCTCATAAATTACACAAAATGAAAATTTTTCGATTAGTATTTCCTTCATTGCAAATCTTCACAGTGAGGTGGTGATATTGGCAAAAATTGAGCGAGGTGGTCACTGAAAGTAGCGAGGTGGGCCACCTCACATTTGAATGGGCAGGGGAAACACTGGTATCCGATAACCAGTCATGTATTCTGGCCATTGCGCTGCATGTATGATAGCATTTTGAAGCATCACACTGTCTTGGTATCCAGTTTATTTTTGTCGTGTTACTCCTTCCCAAGAGCCCAACCCGAGAACTCCACCCGTATAAACGTACATGTATAAATTCTTCAATATGTACGAACACAACCTGTGGCAAGTACGTTGACATGGGTATGTACACAAAAAGCTAACAAATGTCTATAGGGCTCACTCAATGACGGCCATCTCTTTCGTATTTGACGCAATCAAGCACGCATTGCGCAGTGTTGAAAATGTTCCAAATACGCACGCCTTGTTGCTCAGAAAAGAAAGGATTACAATTTACAGTGTATTGAAACTAGTGCGAATTGATGACTAATATAGAATTAAACTTGTTGACCTCAACTTCTGTTTAGTCAATCATGCGGATAACGTGTGGGTGAATTCAAACACCGGAGTCTGTGACTAGACTATCAATTTTAAAGGGAAAATACAACATTTGCAAACATTGAAAAATAAAACTACCAAGTTTTTACGAAATACCTTACTAGGATGTTGGTAAATGACATTCTAAAGCATCCTGTAAAATTATGGCACCTGGTGTGAAGTCATTTTCAAGAAAATGGTATTTTTGTATACATTTCCAACGGTGGTCGGCCGACCACCGTTGGAAAAACCTAACTATTTTTCAACTACTGCTCCAAATTTACCATTTTTTTAGTCCAAATTTTATTTGCTATTGGTTACATGTTCATGAACGGGTGCAGGCCAGCTAGACTGGTTCCTTACCTTTCAATTTTCCGGCATCTATAAATTGATCCATTTCATTTTTAGTGGAGTCAGGGAACCAGACTACTTGAAAATTTTAGTTTTTCTTGGTTTTTCCAGCATTTTCGAACACAAAACTTCAAACATGTCAGTGTAACAATATTTGATCTATTATACTAACCCCTCAAATAGTTCTTTTCTGAACATTACAGCAAAAGCCAATGATGTACATTCCCTTTAACATGCATGCAATACAGATTCTCAATTTGAAATTCGTTAAAAATTGAGTCACCATTTGTTTCTGCTGAAAGGGAAGATACAACATTTGCAAACATCAACAAACGAAATGATCAAATTATCACAAAATACCTTACTGGATTGTAAGAGAATGACAGTCTAAAGCATCCTGTAAAATGGTGGCTCCTGGTGTGCTGACATTTAAAAAAAACAACTGTATTTTTCCAACGCTGGTCGACTGACCAGCGTTGGAAAACACTGGCTTTTTCAAAAACTGTTCCTATTTTTTCATTTTTAGTTATTCCGCATTTTCTTTGCAATTGATTACACACCTGTGAAGGGGTACAAACCTGCCAGAGTGATTCTTTGACCCTACAATTCCCCAAAGTCTTTACGTTTCTCCGTTTCATCTTAAGTGGGGTCGGGGAACCAGACTACAAGAAAATGATTGGTTTTCTTGGTCTATCCAGCATAAACAAGCCCAAAACGTGAAACAAGTCAGTTTAACAATATTTGCTATAACACACTAATCCTTCAAATCCATTTATTTCTGAAAATTGCAGCAAAAGCAAATGTTGTACATTCTCTTTAATTTCCTGTCCTCCTGGCCATACATGTACTTAACATACACATGTACATGTACATGTACATACACATACCGGTATATTTATCTGATACAAAGATGTCAATAAGAACACGCTTTGAATGTTTTGTAATCTTTTGCAAACATTATGTCACATCTCCTTTAATCACATGTGTGTTAATAATTTATTTTGTATAATAATCACCTTTGACTTACATACAACAGTTTCCGTTTTAAGTCCAAAATGTTGCTGTGTTCGGTCATGTTTGTGGGTTCGTTGTTTTAAAATGTCTTAAACTTGTTTTTGTATGTGGGTTTAAATAATTGTTATACAAGTTTTGGGATTTTGTTATTGTCGAAGGGAGTGAGATTGAGACCATGTTGGCAACCAATACAAATTCACACTGTCTTTCTTCAGTTCTTACTGGAAGCTTAGACATGATTGAGCTAGCACCAGACATTTACCATGTTTACATGTTCATGTTCTGACTAATTTTCCAATACTCCTTTTAATGCATGTTGCAGCTCCAACATGTTGAAATTGATTACGGTGCAAGGTCAAATTTATCCAATCAGTTTTTGTGTCCAATTTCACCTTCTTAGAAGGAATTGAACATGTTAGTAATACATTGTACGCCTGGAACTACGCCAGGCCTCCCTGTGCCTTTGCCTTGGTGCCCCTTTAGAATCCCATAGCTACTGGTACAGGTTCATGTACTTTTTGATACACGAGGTTTTTGTGTCCTTAAAGAGCCTTGCTACCTGATATTGCGCGACCTGGAACACGATTGCTATCTTTAACCTCATTCACCAAGTACATGCTGCTTTAACTCCGGAGCCATACAGATTTGCGTTATCTCTCCGCACCCTCCAGATAACATGTGGGTTTGTCCTTAGAAAATAGTGCAGTTCTGACGGCATCACGCCCACACTCAAGCCAACATGTGTGCACTATCTGCAATGCCGCACATTATCTCTTTATTCAGCCTATGCAAACACTTTGTGCACAAAACAGCCAAGGGGCTCCAAAGTACAGACCTATGCGTCATGATGCACATTATAGCAAGCATTTGAAGTATATCGATATAGAAACAAATCGTCTCGTAATGAACGGATTTATCTTTTACTACATGCTAACTGCCCTTTACATTTCTCCTACATGCAGACTGGCCATTTTAATGTGCAATTTGGATCCGTTGAATAAACGGTCGTTTTCCAAAGGTCGTGAAAATAAATCTCCTTGACTCCAACATTAAGTGGAAAGTTTACAGGGTTGTTTCAAGAAAAAATACTGGTACTTTCATTTTAATTTTGATTTAAAGGTAATATACATGTATACAACATTTGCAAGCATCAAAAAACAATACTTCCAAATTATTAATGAAATACCTCACTTGACTGTAACAGTTTCCCAAGTACCCTGTGAAATCATGGCACTTGGTATGCTGTCATTTTCAAGAAAAGTGGAATTTTTATATTGATCAATTTCCAACGATGGTCGGCTGAACATCGTTGGGGAAAAAAAACCCTTTTTTTGAAATACGGCCCCAAATTCAGCAAATGTAGTTAGTCCGCATTTTGTTTGCAATCGGTTACACGTCCGTGTAATGGGTGCAAGCCAGCTAGTCTGGTTCCCTGACCTGACAATTCCCCGACAGAAGTAGGGTCAGGGAACCGGACTACAAGAACAGCATTGTCTTCTTGCTTTTTCCAGCATTGATGAACACAAAACTTTAAACAGGTCAGTGTAACGACATTTGCTGTAAAATTACAGCAAAAGCAACATGTTGTTACATTACTGTTAATAAGCTTAGAACATTCAAAGAAGTGCTAAACCCACCCTTGTAATTACGGTGCAAAAGGTATGTACATGTACCAGGTATTCTTGGTGATGTTTACCTCAGAGTGTACATGTAGGTGTTTGTCTTTAGTCCAGTTTTACCCATGTCTCCGTCAGCCATGTAAATATTTACAAATGTATGTTAAACTTGTTTTCTTTACCTACACCATAATTTACGCTTGATTTCCGTGACTTGCTTCTCATGATCATTGTCATCTCTTCCTTAGTCATAATCGTTGTTGTTGTTCTACTCATAACTGACATGACTGAGTATCCGTGACCTTCTTGATGAATTGTCTCTATTTATAGCGATTTTGAGCTTTGGCGTAGCAGCTGTATATATTGACTTCTTTGTTAGAGTAGCAAGGCCAAAAAAAAAGAGTTCTGCTTCCGGTTTCCCTACCTACCCTATTCTGACAGCTCCTACCCTAATTTTTTTATTGGAAAAATGAAAAAAAAATACCCAAAACCATTAATTTCTACCTTTTACCCTTGACTACATGCAGACCTCTCAATATGATAGTTCACACAAAAAATTGGCAAAAAAAAAAAATTCCCTACCTACCCTATTTTCAGATGCCATGTAATCGGAAGCAGAACTATTTTATTTTGGCCCAACTCCATCTGTCAATGGGAGTTTCTGCCTTCCCTGTTTCTTTTCCCTTCCTCTTTACCAAACATAATCAGTTTCTCCAGATTGTCTCCCTCACGCCTGGCAATGTGGCCAAAACATTGCAAGTTTTGTTTCACAACTGCATTGAAGTTTCATCTCCAGTTTCAAGCAGGACACTCTCACTGGTCCTTTTGGCTGTCCATGGGATGCACAGAACCTTTCTCCAACACCACCTCTCAAATGCTTCAAGTTTTCTCTGATCTGCAGCATTGTTTGCCCAGGTTTTGCAAGCATACATGTATGTTGCAATCGGAAAAGTCAATGTGTTACTGTGCAAAATGTGGCCCTGCTAAGTTTGCCAAAGTTTGCCAAAGACTTTTGTTAGATGACACTAATCTGCTGAAGTAAGCAAAATAATTGGATTCACATCTGTTATTTTTGTGTTTTCTTCTTAATCCTACAGAAGTACACCAAAGACCACCCTTCAGTTCCCATTGTGGACCCCGTAGATCGGGTCTGTAAACTGATGGACCGCAACGCCAGCTACTTGTTGTTTCAAAATGCCTTCCAAAACAGCTCAGGTACATGATATATTTCATTCAATCATTGCTAATTGTACATGTACAATGCACATGTATTTGCATCCTTATAAAATATAACATGGTAGGCCCTACACATGGAAGTTAGCCTGAGAAACTCGACAGTGTGGTCTGTCACTCTGTGTACTTGGATGATGGATTAAAATCGCTCAAAATTTTCTTCCTCACCTCCTGGCATACTGTGTACAAACCAATGGGGGTTTTGACCAATATTGACCCAAGTAATAACAAGGCTGACAATGCATGTTTCCATAGGAGAGTTAATTAGAACTATTAAATATCTACATATAAATTGAAGAAAATAAAACATCAAAATTACAAATCGTTAACCCTAACCGCCCTGAATCCTTCAAAATCCTCTTTGCCAAAGTGGAGGAATTTGAAACATTGAGGTTACCGTTACATGGCAAAAGTGCATTACTGATTTCATAGGATGCACTTTGTCAAGGTCTTGGGCTGGACCTTGTGTTGTTTTTGCTCAGCCATGCATAAACGTAGACCTGGATTATGCTTGAAATCCTCCGAACTGCTCCAGTATGTCACTGGCCAAGCCTCAACATATTGACAGTCACTGCCGCAGGATTTTGCAGGATTCGGGCAGTGGTCACCCCTCCACGGACCATATTCAAGAAATAATGGAGGAATTTGCAGGATTGAAGCTATATGCTATTTTTCCATGAGGCCAATTGGAGGATTTTGCAGGATTGAGGCTACATCCTAGCAAAAAGGCCTAGGGAGTTAGGGTTAACAATACATTACATGAAACAGCGAAAACATAAAATTAAAGGACAAACATTGAAACAAAACTTTATTGCACACATCTCTATTAAACCCCCCTTTCCCTGGCTGACAAATTCAGCCACACCATCTCAACAGTCAAAATCAATGATTGATATGCCAGCTGTACTTATTTACCTGTATTGTCTACTGATGGAATTTGAATAGTCACAGTGTTTACACAAAAGTGATCTGACCGTTTTTTTTGTACTAGTCTGTATAGAAATGCAGGGCAGGGGAAGTGGAAGAGAATTGTGACTGTGATTGGTCAAACAATGGGATGGGTAATTTACATTAATTAACCCTCCTACTGTTTAAACAGTCACAGAGAGTCAAACATTCCATCCACTTCCCCTGCCATGCATTTACACAGGCTAGTCACCAACAGTCAGATCATATTTCAAGCAAGCACTCTGACTAGTCAAAATCAGTCAATAGATCAGGTAAGTGGTAGGCACAGCTGGCTTATCAATCACCTACAGTCAAAGCATAGCTGTGTCAAGTTACATAATCAGTCACAGCTAGTTAATCCTGCCTTATGCAGGCTGGGAGCTCTTAACTGTTGAAAACAGTCACTTTAATATGATTTTGACAGCGAGGACACAGAACTTGGCACAGAACTTGGCACAGAATGTACGTTTGCATAGGAGGGTTAATATCAAAATTAAACATTTGGACCAGAAATTTGAGAAGCAAGTAAACATATTGAAATAAAAAGATTCCCCTGCATTGTTTTCTCTCAATTCCAGTATATATAATTAGGTATTGCCCTTCACCGACGTGTAAACATTGTATACTCATTGTGTTACCTCCCAAGTAAAAGTTCGAAAAAATCGCTCGGGTGGGACTCGAACCCACGACCTCCTGCTTTCTAGTGCAGATGTCTTACCACTTGACCACCAAGCTAACGGGATGAGTTGACTGGTTCGAATCTAATGTACATAGCAGCGGGTATCGCATAAAAGGGAAAATACAACATTTGCAAACATCAAAAAATAAAACTACCAAATCATTTTGAAATACCTTGCTGGACTGTTAGTGAATGACAGTCATGACAGTGTAAAGCATCCTGTAAAATCATGGCACCTGGTATACTGTCATTTTCAAGAAAAGTGGTATTTTTGTATCAATTTCCAACGCTGGTCGGCTGACCAGCGTTGGAAAAAACTGGGTTTTTTTTCAAATACTGGCCCCAGTTGACCATCGCACTTGTTTGCAATCGATTACACACCTATGAACGGGTATAAGCCAGTTAGACTGGTTCCCTGACCTTACAATTCCCCAATGTATGTAAACTGCTCTGTTTCTTCTTATATGGAGTAAGGGAACCAGACTACAGGAAAATGATTGTTTTTCTTGGTTTTTATAGCATTTTCGAACCCAAAACCCTTAAAAAAAGTCAGTGTAACTACATGTATATTTGCTATATATTTCCAACCCCCCAATTCCATCCATTTCTGAAAATTTCAGCAAAAGCAAATGATGTATATTCCCTTTTACTATTAATAATTAATAATAATTCCAGTATGTATACCGACCCCCTTCCGTTCTCCCTAAATCCCCACCCTTGCCTCTGTTTTGCAACAAGGAGACTTGTTAAACTGACTGAAATTTGACATTTTGTTTTTGGACAGCTCACGGTAAAGTGTTAGTGCCCAACTTTGTGGAGATCCATACCACAGATGTAGCGGAGATCAAGAGGTTACTAGAGAGGGCAAAGGTCAAGTATCCATTCGGTGAGTTGTGGCTTTCTTCTTATCACGACAATTCGTTATTACTGATATGGCTTGGGCAAGTTGTGAATCGATATCACAAAATGATCAATACGGAAAATGGACTTGGGCCATGGAAGTTGGTCATTTGTTGAAGAGTGTGATTTTGTACGTGCACTGTGCATTAGACCCATAATGATCATTTTATCACAGTAGTTAAAGGCATACAGGATCATTTGCAAAAATTTACATGTTTATCCCAAAATAACTTTTCCAATTATCTAAAAAGCTAAGTTACTTGGATTAACCCTGACTCCCTAGGCATTTTTGCTAGGATGCAACCTCAATATTGCAAAATCTTCCAACTGCCTCCATGTAAAAATACCTTGCAAAATCATCCGATATTTTTTTGAATGTGGTCCTTGGAGGGGTGACTGGTCACTGCCTCAATCCTGCAGAATCCTCCGGCAATATGTTGAGGCAGAGCCAGTGACATCCTGGAGCAGTGCGGAAGATCACAAGTATCTTCGCCGTTTTGACGAAGTGACACATCTGTCCAAAACAGAGATTTTCTGAAATCTGAGATTTTTGGATATTCTAACATTTTATGATGTCCTCTACATAATTACCAAATTTCGAGACACAACATTCCATCGTTCGTTAATTACGCTAATTGCACAAAGTGTTGAAAGTGCTACACACTAAGTTATTCATTTTGACGAAGTGACGGATCTCTGTGTGTCACTTAGTCTCTTTGGTTTTACATAAAGCCTCCACGATTTGCGTTTTGACGAAGTGACGCATCTGCGTTCCAAAATGTATAAACTTAAATACGCGCACGCGCTGTGTTCAAACATATGCCTCATTTTTGTGAAGAAGTAGATGTCCCGTTTTGACGAAGTGACGGATATCTTTAGTAATTAATATATTCTAATCAAACACGATTTTATGAACAGAGAGAATTGTTTTTGGCTATTTAACTCCTGGGCTATTGTCTCAGTTATATTTTTCAATTCTGGGGGAGAAATGTACACAAAAATCCAAATTGAAAAATCCACCAACTTCCAACTCAATTTTCTCAAAACTCGGTTTTGCATCTGTGTGCACAGATGTGTCACTTTGTCAAAACGGTGACGGTATAATCTAGGCCTAAATGTATGCACAGCTGAGCATAAACAACACATGGTCCGGCCCAAGACCTTGACACAGTGCATCCTTCAAAATCAGCCAGACATTTTGCCTTATAGCCTCATCAATCCTGCAAAATCCTCCATTTTTCAAAGAATATTTTGGAGGATTTGGGAAAGTTAGGGTTAAAGATCGTACTAGCACTAAACATCCCATGAAATTATTCTGTCCTGCTTGCTGACATATACAGTAGGAGAAATCAAGAAATTTAGTTGATTTCCAAATATCAGTCATTTGACTGACTTTTGGAAATATAAGAGTGCTATGGACAAAATGGTGTTTGCAAAAGGTTGTGCATGTTTTTTTTCACCATTTTTTTTTTCAAATACATTTTAGTGTACTAATATCCACTGAGCTGAAAGTTCAACTGGTTAGGTTTTGAACATTCTTTGGCTTTTGAGTGGTGTTATTATTGGAAGTGAACACGATGCATAGAAAGCAAATGACCCTACATGTACATGCCTTTTATTTGGTTCCAAACTGTTGGTTACTATAGTTCACGACATTTTTACATGACGTGATTCATGGAAGTTCACTTCGTGAAAAGGAAGGTTTCCTATTAAAAGACAGAAGATAATAAAAAACTAGAGATCTATGTCTGTTTGCAACAGAACATAGGGCTTTTCCGCATTATGATTTTTTTTTTATCAATAATACGTCTCTGACTATGCATGAACATAAAGTCTGTCAAAGTTAGCCGAAAATCGGCTAAAACGGTCACTGTGGTCAGGATTTGACCTCAGCAACACGTGCCCTGCAGGCTGACTGACATAAGATGTACATGTGCGTATGTACAACGTACGTGCATGTACATGTACATTGTGGACGTCCTGTGCATGTTTTGTCAAAGTTAGCCGAAAATCGGCTAAAACGGTCACTGTGGTCAGGATTTGACCTCAGCAACACGTGCGCTAGTGCTGCGGGCTGACTGACATACGATGTATGTGCGTATGTACAACGTACGTGCATGTACATGTACACTGTGGACGTCCTGTGCATGTTTTAAAGCAGAGGTATATTGTCAACTTGATGTTTTAAGTTTGCGCATGCCATGTTCGAGTTCGCTTATTGCCTCGAAGCTTTGAAATGTTTTAGACCTACCCTTAAATCGACAATTTAAGTAAAAACAAATATAAAAACTGCCATGGTTGTTTTTCAGGAATTTTCAAAGGAAAAAGGGTCTTTTCATTATAACTTCCGGTCTGATGACGTCATACGCCTAAAACTTCTCACACGTCTTAAGGGGGTCAAGGTCATCCTATACACCAATATTTAGGCGATTCTGACAAACTTCGCCACAGACATCTATTCAAAATACATTTTTGAAAATTTTCAACCTGTCGCTAGAGGGCGCTCGAAGATTGCATGACGTCATTGGTAAATGATTTGAAAAATACTATTGGCCAAGAGACTAACACCGTTAAAAGCAAGTTCATATCTATTACCACTTTTACATGATAAGCCACTTCCGGTTTTGGCCTTTTTCGACCGGAAGCAAGGGTCACGTGATTTCACGCACACTGAATGAAATAAAGACCTCAACCTACTCTACCACTTGCCGGCAACAGAATGCTGCGGACGCGTATGGTTGATTTCTTATGCATTTTTAAATATTAAAAGTGTCACAATTTAATTGCCTATCAATCAACACAGGATGACGTCATCATGACGTCATCATTCCACATTGTTGTTTGAATTAGGGTCTTTGCTTGGACAAAGAGTGGTGTAAATGAATTACTGGCAAAGAGTCGAAAATTTTATTTGAAAATCGACAATTTTTTTTTAATTTCTGTGTACAAAGTCTATGGGACAAATTAAATATTCAAAAATCTATAATAAATTAGTCGATGACGTCACCATGACGTCAATCTTCGGGACACATCTTTGCTATAGGGACTATGCTTATGCAAACTTTGAATAATGTATGACAAAGTTTAATGCCAAAAGTGGAGGCCAGAAAAAACGTGCACAAAGTCTATGGGGTTTTGGCGACAAAAAGAAGAAAAAAAAAAAAAAAAAATGAGAACAAAAACAAAGGCTTTTCCGCACTATGCGGAAAAGCCAAAAACGATTCTTGTGCCCAAAACCTCACAAACAAATCTATTTCAAAAGGAATTTCTACCGACAAAGCTGTACTTAGTGAAAACAAATGATCAATAGAGATTTCCGGGAAAAATGAGTGGATTAATAACTGGTTATTAAAATTACCGTTCCGCCATTTATGAAGCCCTGCAGTGCCAATCGATTTTTGAAAATTATATCAGCTGTTCAATTAATTGAAACGGTACCTGAAAAGGGAAAGATAAATGGGAAAAAAAATTACATGTATAGATGTACTTGCAGGCTTATGCGAACCTACCAACAATGACCAAGTAAACATGTACATGTGCATGTACATATATATATGCTTTGTACGTGTATATGCACAAGTTAAAGAATATTTCACTAAGCATGTGTGTATTCGTGTGTTTGTACATGTTCTGAAACACTGAACATGTGTGTCCGTGTAAAGGTTGGAATGTTGCTGCACTTTGCTGTGAATTGCATCCATTAAGCGTGTATAAATAAGCTGAAACATTGGCTATGTGTACAGTTGCCATATGTGCATATTGATTGTGGACGTTCAAAGGTCGAAAAGCTCCATGTGCATTATGTGCATTTTCCACTGCTCTGCATGTTTACATGCGAGTTCAAATGCTGTTTTTGTCCAGTGACCGTCGCGCCTAATTCATGTGTTTCATTAATTTAATGTGTATTTTTACATTAAGTAGACCAAAGTAAAACTGTTCAGCTGCAAAGATAATGTTTAAACACTGTTAGACTATGAGAATTTATGTTAGAAATTATGAAGGTACCAGTATATTTTTTAAATTGGGGGGGGGGGGTATTTGAGTTCACAAAACAATTGTTTGAGGGTTGCATGACATCATTACTATTAATAATGACGTGGTACTTTTTTAGCCCTTTATACTAAAGGTCTCAAAGCGCTTCACAATTATTACCCCTGTTCATCAGGCCATGAGACCTGATTTTGGCAGCAGCTCGAGATCAGCGCATTCTGGTCTCTACCTTCAAAGGTACCCATTTATACTCCTGGGTGGAGAGAGGCAATTGTAGTAAAGTGTCTTGCCTAAGAACACAAGCACCATGTTCCCTGTCAGGGTTCGAATCCACGTACCGGTACCACGTACAAGGGCATGTGAGTCGAAAACCGTAACCATTGGACCGTAACCACAGCGCCCCACCCCTAATTCCCTAGAGGCATATTTGCTCGGATGCAACCTCAATCCTGCAAAATCCTCCAACTGCCTCCATCATTTTGTCCATGTGAAACTTGCATATAGCCTCAATCCTCCAAAATCCTCCGTTATTTCTTGAATGTGGTCCTTGGAGGGGTGACCACTGCCTCAATCCTGCCAAAATCCTCCAGCAGTCACTGTCAATATGTCAAGGCAGAGCCAGTGACATCCTGGAGCAGTGCTGAGGATTTCAAGTATAATCTAGGCCTAAACTTATGCACGGCTGAGCATAAACAACACAAGGTCCGGCCTAAGACCTTGACAAAGTGCATCCTCCAAAATCAGTCACATATTTTTGCCATATAGCCTCAATCCTGCAAAATCCTCCAGCAATCACTGTCAATATGTTGCAGCATAGCCAGTGACATCCTGGAGCAGTGCGGAGGATTTCAAGTATAATCTAGGCCTAAATTTATGCACGGAGTGCATCCTTTAAAATCAGCCACACATTTTTGCCATTATAGCCTCAATCCTGCAAAATCCTCCATTTTGCAAAGAGTATTTTGGAGGATTTGGGAAGGCTAGGGTTAAGGTGTAGGCAGTGCAGTGGTCACTTTAAGCAGGATTTTTTTACCATAAAATTTTATAAAAACTTCTTTGTTTGCTTTTCTTTTGATAGTTTGCAAGGCATCGAAGGCACACGGGTCTATCAAATCTCACGAGGTACTGTAAACTTCTATTATAAGTTTTTTTTATCCACCACTTTAACTTTTGACTTTAATTAGTACTTTTTAAATAAGAGGTTTGTTTTGTTGGATTAAAAGAAAACTTCTGGTTGGTTTTTGTGTGTCTAGTTTCACCCTCTGCCAACCGCTATGCCAAACAACCCATGGTTTTGAGTATTTTTTTTGTCTTCTGTTTTTTATTGAAGATGGCCATTGTGTTCAACGATGCAGGCTTGGAGGACATTGAACCACCCTGTGTAGCCCAGACGTTTATCAACCACAACGCCCAGATGTTTAAAACCTTCATCATCAATGATGATTTTGTCGTTGTCAAACGGCCGTCCATCAAGAACTTTGTACATATAGAACCTGGTGAGAAAGCTTTCATCAATTTCCCTCGATGCTGTCTTAGTACTTAGAGAGCAGTGTTGTAGTCGAGACCATCACAAGACCAGAGACAAGACCAACCAAAAGACCAGCCACAAGACCAGCCACAAGTAACAGGGCACAAACAATGACAAAAAAGGCCTTTGTTGCAGTTCATTTGAACAGCTTGTGACTTGAATTGAGACTAGAGGTCTTGGGTTGGTCTTGTGATGGTCTTGTGATGGTCTTGTGTTGGTCTTGTGTTGGTCTTGTGATGGTCTTGTGATGGTCTTGTGATGGTCTTGTGATGGTCTTGTGATGGTCTTGTGATGGTCTTGTGATGGTCTTGTGATGGTCTTGTGATGGTCTTGTGATGGTCTTGTGATGGTCTTGTGATGGTCTTGTGATGGTCTTGTGTTGGTCTTGTGATGGTCTTGTGATGGTCTTGTGATGGTCTTGTGATGGTCTTGTGTTGGTCTTGTGATGGTCTTGTGATGGTCTTGTGTTGGTCTTGTGATGGTCTTGTGATGGTCTTGTGTTGGTCTTGTGATGGTCTTGTGATGGTCTTGTGATGGTCTTGTGATGGTCTTGTGATGGGCTGTGATGGTCTTGTGATGGTCTTGCAGGGTCTCGACTACAACACTGTTGGAGAGTATCTTGTAACTTGAAATGTTTCTCTAGAAACTCCACCTGTACGAGCCACTTTACGATGACTGTTTCCATCGAAAACCAACAGGGAATGCCATGGTCTACTGGCACGTCTAATAAAATCTCTTGAGTTGGAGACAAGGTGCAATCCAATCAGGAATGTGCAGTGGTTTTTCTGTAAAGGATATTGTTGCCAGAAGAACGGACAAATTCCAACTTTTAAATAATATCTCTCTCTCGCTCTTGTTGCAAAGATTGCAAGGATTTTGAAAATAGGGGTCTTAATAAGCTGTACAATGTATCTCTGTTCCGTCACTGCCAACTCGTACACACTTAAGTTCTTGTTCAGGTAAATGAGAAACTAGATATATCTCTAACTAGCGGGATGCCGCGCTTCGCGCGGCACCCGCTAGATGGGTGGAGTTGACTGTTTCGTAATAATTACTGTATACAGTGAAATCTCGATAATAACCCCAATAACTCCAAACAACTGTTAAGTCAAATAAAGAATCAGACGCTCTGCTGCACGCGAGCCTATTTGGGCTCGCCATCAGTCTCACCTAAGTTGTATTTGCGTTTAGCAACGTGCGCGCACATAACATTTCCTGTGGAGATTGTGCGAGGGTCCAGGACATATTGTCAATATAGGGGAGGGGCTAGTTAGGGTGAAAGGTGCTAGTCGGAACGCCCAATTTCCGTACAACCCGTCAACCATGTCACAAATATTTGCGGGGATGGGGAGAAATATTTCCAGGGACGGGGAGAAATGGTTTTTGTTATAGAGGGGAGATGGTGATATTGAAATCGCTGATATTGTGGAGGTTTATGTTTGTGCTGGGATTCATACTGTTTAAATGTTGTTTTAAATTGCGCACCGATTAGGAAGGTCTTGCTGTCAACAGTTGAATGAAATTAAGTATTTATTGCCGACCGATTGTCTCATGCAATGTCTCATTACATGTATATAAAGCTCATAACTAATGTTGTGCTGGAATATTGTCCAGTCAAATTGAACATTGATTTTTCAAGGTGCCAAACCATAAAGGACGTATACACCAACTGTACAATTAGGTAGTTTAGATGAAACGCGGTTTGATCTTGACCTTTACAATGTCGTATTCATAGTTCTCACTACAGAGGAGAGGAGGGGGAAGCCAGTGGGGATGGGGGTTGGATATTTTGTGGCCTATTTACATGGGCGTCGCCAGGATTTGTTTTCTAGAGGGGGCAAAACATATTTTTGCCAAAAAAATGCCTGTTTTTCTCAACACATTCTCCATTTATCAGTTTTAGAGAAGGGCAGGGACATTTAGCCCCCCAACTCATTAAATTTAAAATTGAACTCATTTTTTCCCCTTCTTTTTTCTTTTTTTTTTGCTTTCGGGGGGGGGGGGGGGGGGGGGGGGGGGGGGGGGGGGAGGGGGGCAAGTGCCCCCCTTGCCCCCCCCCCCCTTGCGACGCCCATGCCTACTTATGTTACACCTGTGAATGGTCACTTATATTTCCGGGGAAGTGGGCAACAATTTATATTTGTTATGGTGAAGGGGGTGTTTTTTATGTATTAAGTAGTAGTTAATGTCATTATAACAGTTCGTGTTTTTATTATGGTGATGGGGTTGTAGAGCAAAGTATTGTAACACGTTTATTTGCAGAAGAGAGTAAAACTATAAGAAAGGACATATTAGAGCACTTCATAATTATGTCAAGCACCACATGTTAAATGTATTTATTACAAAACTGTGAAAATGAAATCAGGTACAATGCACACACAAATTTTTTAGTAATAATGTATTTGCATTCAATACAGGGTAGTACTTTGACAGGGGATATCAGGGGATATAATTGTAGCAAATTTTCGGAGCGATTTTCGTAAGGGACGTCGGTCCAGGCTTGTTTAGCATAGGCAAAAACATTCCATGAAAGACTTTCAAGCGAGACGGGTAATCATTCCATAATTATTCTTGGATACAACTAAGCCAAGGATATAACTTTAAAAAAGGATGGACATAAAACAGCAGAAAAGAGTGATTATTTTTGCACTATTTCATTTTCATGACTTCTAAATAATAAAATTATGGCTAGAAGAAAAATGTGTTTTGAATGGGTAAAGAGAAAAAGCACGTCACGTCTTCGTCTTGAGTCGAGATTCTTGCTTTGGGAACTGGTTGAAGCATGCACTGGAGCATGCTTGGAGCATGGTTGGAGCTGGTCATGTGATGTGGGTGTCATCGGGAGTCCTGTGTAAAGGAGTAACAAAGAAAACTTGTAAAAAAATACATCGGCTAACAATAGCTACAAATAAATTGTTCCTGCGCGGTTTGTGCCTTACGATTCTGCGCGCCGTGCGTGCTCACGGGTGTCGGACGCTTCGCCCCATTTCCACGTCGCCCCATGTCACTTCGCCCCTAACCACTTCGCCCCATCCCCACTTCGCCCCATCCCCACATCGCCCCATCTCCGCTTCGCCCCATCCCCACTTCGCCCCATCCCCGCTTCGCCCCATCCCCACTTCGCCCCATCCCCACTTCGCCCCATGTAGTATAAAAAAGGGAAGGCTAGGGGTGCAGACCAAATAAACTGCCAAAGACCCCAGATAATGAATGCTCCCAATTCTAGAAACTCAGGAAAAATACAAACTCTCTGATGAGGTGCTCGAGACACAGATGAGAGAAATGATGGCTTAAATAAAATCATCAGCCGCTGGATTCAAAAGAATCCCGTAGGTATGGGTCAGTGAGTTCAAAGGAACTCACTGCCTTGAGGAAAATGTTCCGTCAAAATTTGTCTGATATGTGAGACTTACAACTTCATTGATGAGATTGGTTCCTCCAAGAGTGAAATTAGGATGTCAAAGGTATTGTCGTTCTCAGATAAGTGGGAGACGGGTTGGTATAGCTGGGTTGGGAACAAAGTTGGATCTTTTACTTCAAGCTTTTTTCTCGGTAGGGGAGAGCCTAGCTTGAGAGGTTGGTTATGAATTGTTCATTTGGTGATGGGCTAATTCTTTCTGTTGGTTAGCAATTAGTGAATCTATTGAAATAGTTTTTTTTTAAGCCAAAAAAATAGATGAGATTTTTTTTTTTACATGTAACGGCTGGGGCGAAGTGGGGATGGGGCGAAGTGGGGATTGGGCGAAGTGGGGATGGGGCGATGTGGGGATGGGGCGAAGTGGGGATGGGGCGAAGTGGTTAGGGGCGAAGTGACATGGTGCGACGTGGAAATGGGGCGAAGTGTCCGACATTCATGCTCACAGCACATCGCGCAGAAATCGCCATCTTTATTTTCGGGTTGCGTGTTTTCGCTGTGCTGTCATCGTAATTTCCCCCCCCCCCCCAAATTTCTCTTAAAAAAAAATCAAAACCCGGCCCTCTATCTATGACATACCTGTTTATTGAGAATGTCTCCAACTATTTTGGTCGGGCTTTTTTAAAGTGGATTTTGTTCCCTATAGGAACCGGGCCCTTCTACTAAATACTACACGATCGCCATGTCCGAGGCCCACGCGATTGGGTCACACTTTTCACAAACAACAATTGCCCCCAGCAGTGGTGTTCGAAAGAATACTTATAATCCTTTGCCAGAGGTGTTCGAAAGAATTACTACTAACTATAATCTATAATGTGTCATAGCACAAACCGGACTTACCATTGAAAGAGAAAATTGTAGCATAATCAATGCATCAAACGACCATCAAACGAAGCTAGTAGTGCTGAGAAAATGTGGGGCAAGCATGCCTTCAGCTTTGCATGTTGCATGGAATACCGTTGCATGCGCTGCAGCGCATGCTCCTCTATACGAACGTATACGTATACGTGGCACCTCTATACGAACGTATACGTATACGTGGCACGACAGGTGTAGCGTGAATATCCGACTCCATGAAATGTGGACTCATTGGTAGTCCTGCGCACGCGTGAGTACGATACTGTGCTATTTTTAGGATCATTTTGGGAGAATGACCTGTCACGTACGTGCGAGGGATCAACCAATAATAGGGAAATAGGGGTCCGATTTTCATAGGAGTCGAATTTTCACGTGACACCGGCCCGTACGCAAGATGGCGGCCGGCTCAATGGGGAAAGGAATTCTGGGAAATATGGGGTGAAAATAGCCGGGCCCCGTTCCGCATCCCCCGCAGCCAACAGGCGCGATGGGGACGGGAGACCGGTCGGAGACCGGTCGGGAAAATGGCAGCGCCCCCGAATCATTTTCGTGATTGTAGTATAGATATAGATACGCCTCAAGTTCAGAGATAATGATGAAAGAAAGAGGAAGGTTCGACCCCAGAAAGCTCAGTGTTAAGTGGAAGGAAATCTGCTCTATAGATAAGCAGCTTATTGATTCAATCCCATTATGGTGTGAGGTTATTCTCTAATCATAAAGCTGCATTTGCATTGGACTTAAGTTTGTACAATTTTACTGGGACTGACTGTTAATATTCCGTTAATCTACCTTGCGTCCGCACTTGGATTAATTTTGGCCCACAGAAAGTCAGTTGTTGCGTAAACTTTACCGCTCCGTTCTCCCTCAGAATCTTATGAGGGCGCCCTACTATTGACCTTTTAAACCTAACACCAGATGCGGTTGAGGTAAAACGCACCAAATAATTGTAGAACGCAACAGAAATATGGTTGCTTCTTACATACCCTACAATGTATGTAGGCCTACGCGTGTGAATTACAGTGGTCAATATACATGTAGGTGACCCATTTGGAAGTCATGTGATCATAACGTTAGTTTTACATAGCAGTGCCCGTCCACACGGGACTTTGCATTGATGTAAAACTAACAATGTAATTCTTCCGCGACCCAGTTGCCTCTGTAAAACTAACTGCTACAGACCGGAAAACTAGTAATCCACAGTTGACACTTGACAATTTGGGTAGTTAACCAGCTGTCCGCACTGGACTTAATTTGGTTAAGTTGAAAACAGTCTCGGTAAAATTTACAACTATCTCCGTCGGTTTAACCAAAACCAGAAAACAATTGCAATGCAAAGACAGCTTTACTTGTAATAGTGCTTGTGAAAGTTTGTCATTAACCCTAACAGAACTCAACCCATCAAACCCCAACGGCATGTTTTGTTGGAATCTGTCAGGATGGGTACAGTACCCCTAAACTGACAGTATTTACATTGGGTTGGCACACCTCCAGAATCAAAGTCAGAAATATGTGTGTGCAGTTTCCCATATGATGTTGGAATTTACCAGGATGGGTATGATTCCTAGTAAATCATGCTAGGGAGTTGGGGTTAAAGGACAAACCCAAAATAGAACCAACAATTTTCCCTGATGCTTATAAAATGAATTTCATTTGATCAAATCTTCTCATCTAAAAAAACCATTTTATACTCTGCTTTTCATCTTTACAGATCAAGAGACGATATTCTTCCACAGTCATGATGTTTCCAAACCGCATTCATCTTCTTTCCTGAATGAGGTAAACTTATTCCATTCGTGTATTTTTTAATAGTGAACTGCGGGTGTTTTGCTTGTTTTGTTTGTTTGAGAGGTTTGAGGACCTGATTGACAGATGGATGAGTCGGTCAGGAGAGTGACTAAACTAGAAAGTAAACACTTAAGTAGCAAAAGCGAACTCGGTGAAGTGTGAAGTTGCATCCTCTGTGGATGCCAAGTAGCTGGGATCCTAGAGCAAGCTTACTGCCCACTGAAGTGGAACAGTAGAGTTGCAGTCTCAGTAGAGGGAGGACCTAGGGTATAGGAGGTGTAGGGTTTCTTAGAGTTTAGGCACTCTCCTGAAGACAGTCATACTGACCGGAACGTCGAGTTTATACCTCTGGTTCTTTTCAGAACCATTCTCTTAGTTGCGACATAATCCGCACATGGTGTTTCCGCAAACCTGTCATTATTTAGTATCTCCACCATGCAAAGCCTCAAATCTTACTTAGAAAATTACTTGTTTTGCGATCAAGAAAAATTCATAAATATGGCAATTTCCTCATTTGTTTCCTCCCCCAAACTATCAGCTCGACAAAAGTGACCAGACTCGAGAGCCAGTACTACCCTCCAATGAAATCCTCATTGACCTTGTTGCCGCGGTGACCCGGTCGATGGAGCTGTCCTTGTTCGGTTTCGATGTCATCGTTGAGAACGACACCGGCATGCATTACGTGATTGATATCAATGCATTCCCAGGTAAGAGAACAAAGATAGTTAGCCCTTACCTTCCCAAATCCTCCAAAATCCTCTTTCAGGATTTTGCAGGATTGAAGCTACATGTCACGTACGTGATATCCAACATGTGTGCTATGACTTTGTATGTACGGTACGTACCAGGGGAGTCAATCGCTTCTCAAAAGTGGGGGGGGGGACATACCTTGATCAGAACTGATGCGAGCGCGAAGCCCTTACGGCGTGGGGTTCGGGGCCCGCTTAAGGGCCCCGAAAAAATTTGGATTCTAGATGCTCTGTGGTGTGATCTGAGGCAATTTCTTACCACTTTCTTCCATGCTTTAACTAATATTTTCTTAGCAAAAGATAATAATTTGAACATCGGTTTCGAGGTTGGAGTCATTGAAAATGAGGTTTTCTTAGCTAAAGGCATAGGGTCTGGGGCCCGCTTAAGGGCCCCGAAAAATGTTGGATTCTAAGTGATCCGTGGTTCAATCTAAGGCAAATTCTGACCGCTTTAACCAATAATTTTCTTAGCAAAAGATAATAGTTTAAGCATAATTTTCGAGGTTTTCTCAGCTAATGAGGCATAGGGTTCAGGGCCCGCATTTAAGGGCCCCGAAAAATTTTGGATTCTTAATGCTCTGTGGTTCGATCTGAGGCAATTTCTGACCAATTTGACCAATACATTGTATTTTCTAAGCAAAAGATACATTGCAGTACATAATAGGGCCCTGTAAATGAGACATAAGTTCAAAAATCTGGGGGGGGGGGGACATTTGATATTGTGTCCCCCACCCTTCAAAAAGTGGGGGGGGGGGGGGGACATGTCCCCCTGTCCCCCCTAGGATTGACGCCCATGGTACGTATGGTGTGAAAGGCTTGTATCGTTGGTACCCACGCTATTTTCAACATGCTTTCACACATGAGTGGGAGCAGTGAACTAGCAGACGATCAGCTGTTTCGAGCACGCGACATGCATGTGAGTTGGCGTTTGATTGTCATGATTGTTGTGTTTACCGCTGTTTGTTTTTTATGATTTTTACATCAAAATCTAAAGGCAGAGGTATTTAACAAAACAATTGTTGACTGCTGTGATATGGGATATGACGTTTTGAGGCGAAAAACGTCATATCCCACATTACAGTGGTCAACAATTGTTAATTGGCATCCCCTCCAGAGACGGCAGGCCAAAGGTCTTAGGCCATTGCTTTATTTCTGTTACATTAATACAAATAATTCCAAACTCCCAGAAGTAGTATGTAGTAAAGAGTCTGGTCCACCACCACAACAACAACAACAACAAATGTCCGCTAGGCCATCAAGTGACCGTGGCGACTAACTGCTGAAAGCTGTCCTAGTTTTCTGTAAAAATTCTAGTATTTCTTCTAATTCTTTGAGGGGCCGGACTCTGGAGACTTGGGACTTCCAGGTCAAGCGAGGCCTTTCCTCTGGGTCTCCTTCCGCCCAGGGGTGCATCTCTGAGTGAGGCGTTGCACACGGCTTGTTTTGCTGGCACACTGTCATCCATCACACGTCCAGTCCAAAAAAAATCACAAGTTCTTTCAAAAGTCCAGTCACAAGCAACTGTGGATGAACAATAACAAAGGCATGCTTTCGTCACAGTTCAGTTGAATACCTTGTGACTTAACTTGGAACTGGCGGACTTGTGATGGATTTGTAGTGGACTTGACTGTATTTTGTGTGGCTACACAGGTTACGACGGCGTGCCGCAGTTCTACGAGAAACTACTGGAGTACGTCCAGAGGATTATCTCCACGCCGGACACCAACGGCACAGGTACCAACCACGTCGTGGAAAACAACAGGACGCACCAGGGCGAGGGCGCTAACCACACCTTGAAGGACGGCTGGAGGAAAGGGAAGAGTCTAAAGCGGTCTTTTCCCGCGGACCTCGACGGCGTAGTCACAAACGGGAACAGTCAACCCAACAAGTGTCTCGCAAAATGAAAATGAATGCATCTGGCCAATAGATTATTAATAGACCCTGTTACAAAATTGTATAGCTTGTAAGATAATTTGATTTATAGCATACGGCAATAATTATGATGCACGTTGAATTGTGTTACATTTATCATCCAATCCGCTGCGGTACTATTTTTGTTGATAATTATTTTTTAACTAATTTTTGTTATCCAATGATTTTTGCTGTAGCTGCAACGATCAACCGAATTATGTTCTCATTCGAAATTTTAATGTCTTGTCAGATATTGACATAGTTTTTCTTTTAGAACATCATCATGACGTAGCATCGGTGCTTGTTTTAAATGCCAGGGAAAGAATTATTTAACACCTCAACTCTTGATATTCCTCGCCCGAACCTTTGTATGATTGGACAAATGCCCTTGATGTTGATTGGTCGAAAGCAAACACTGCAGACACTTACGGATATTCTGATTGGTCAGTTGGCAATCGGGTGGGAGGAGCTCAAACTGCCATTTTTAATTGGCACGCCTAAGTACAGCAAACTCAACCTAAGAACCAAAAATTGCTCCATGCGAAGTGAAGAAAATAATCACTGCATGTTGGAGGGTGCATGTCTTACACTATTCTTGGTGCGAGACGCTCTAAGCGGGGTAGTTCGCCATAGACGGTACAGCCTTTGTACCGCGCAGTAGCATTCATGTTCCCATGTCGCCAAACCGCAATCAAAGAACGTCTTGGGAATTTCGCATTGCGGCAGGGCGTGACTTAATATGCTAAAGAGCAGCACGTGCGCATTGGTGGAAACAAAGGAGCTGGTCCGAAGACTGGTAGGCAGGCGAGGTACCATACACGTGCAATCGACAGCACTAGTCGCAAACCGGTTGACTGGTTCGTTCAAATCATGGCCAAGTCCAAAGTGATGAAGAGCACTGATTTTAAGCCTTCCAAGGCCCAGTTTCTTTGCTGCCAAATTGACTGCTTCGTCCACACGCGGTCGACATTTTATTTTTCCAACGACGCTTACAGTCTCACTTGCAAACTGCAGTACGTACAGAAACCAGACATGCTTACGTCATGCACACGTGCCAAACAATTCTGCTCAGAATTTCCTGAGCAGAAATACGAAATTCCTTTGAGGTCTGTTGGCGTGTGTGTTAAGGGCGCCCGCTGGGGTGAACCATTGCACAGTCCAATAACCCAGGCCCACTGAAACATCGTACCACTATGACATCTTGGAACTAAGACTAGTCTTACACTAGCATTTTGAATGTTACTGTCATCAAACACATGGAAGTCCATAGTTTTTTTTGGGGGGGGGGGGAACCCTGTTAAGTTATTACACTCATCAAGTTGTATATGAACATGAAGAGCCATTCCATATTTCCCAACAGTTAAAGCAAGTCTTCACATTTGTATTTCCTCAGTAGATTTTTATTCTCAAATGCCTAGTCAGTGATGAATTTTATTCTTATCTAAAATATTTTTTTTCTTTTTTACTTTGTTTCGCAAATGGAATTTGCATTTGCTTTTAGCATACCTTGAATGCAACGACAGTCAAGCATTTTTCTCCTCCAAAACTTTTGTAGGTTGTAGGTGTAAAGATGATTTGTCTAGAAAAGCCAACATTTCATTTAATTCTTTGGAAAGCGTTCTCCCTATATTTTACATTTTTTTTCGTTTGTTCTTAATTTTTTTTCTTTACCATTTAATATCAAATTTACAATTTGATTTGTATCCCTTTTTTCCTTCGCGATGGGGCATTTGGCTGTATTTATTTTTACGAATGAGGTGCTTTAACGATGCGATTTTGGGAGGAACAGACATAAAAACAAGGTTATTGACGTAAGGCTAATGTACATGTTGCCATGATTCTCAAATTAAAGTTCAACAATTTTTTAAGTTTTAGATTAAAGTCATCAATTCACTTCAATAATTATGATATAATTTTGTAAAAGCTTCCTTATTTGCTAAAAAAATGTGGAAGCTTGTCTTGATTATTTTTACGGCGGTTTTAGGATCTCATCAATTAACAAATTTGCCGAGTTTGGCAGATGGAAATCTGGAATGGAGCATCAATGATTTCAATATAAAATTAAAATTTCCTCTTGCCAGTTGGTCTGATTCAGTGCTGGCATGATTTGTCCAATCCATGCACTGTCACTGTTGTCGGTGTTAGTGCTGCTTGGACAACTCATCTCACTTTGAAATCTTTGTTTTGAAATCTTTGGTGCCCAGTCGTCCATGGTTGCAGGGGTGCACGTGAGGCATAGATGGAAATCTGATAAACCACACCGAACATTTTCATAATTTGGAAAAAAATTTGCAACCTGACGCCACTTCCGCGATTGTGTACAAAGTCTATGGAGAGTCAAGAAAATTTTCTAAGCATTTCCTAACAAAATTGGAAATGTTTCTCAGTCCCAGATTCATGTGTTAGCATCCTTTTTGCAATGAATGACCTTCATGGAGATGATATATAAAGACAAAAGTGGCGTCAGGTTGCAACATTTTTTCCCCATAATTTTAATATTAGCAATATTTTGATTTGATTTATTTATATTTTTGATCAGCTTGTTCAGCTCACAACAATGGAAATACTGCACACTTCCCGTATTTTTTTTAAATCTTTTCATTTTTAGATGAGTGTATTGTCAAGCCTGAAATTAAGGATGAAATCAATTGTCTTTCATTTTAAATTTCTCAGAATTTGAAAAAATGAACATTTTGAAGGGGGGGGGGGAGAGGGAGGGTACATTTTATATAATGCCACTGTTATCCACAGAAGTCTGATATTTTTGGTCTGAATTGTCTGTTTGCAAAAAGGAATTACTGACCATTCCATCAGGGTCATCATGCATGCTCATGACCCGACATGTTTAATATGAATGTTGCTTCGGTCTTGAACACCAACCACGGAGTCAATGAGAATGTGGATCAACACGACAAAATGCAAAGGCCAAGTCAACCTTTCTGTATCTTCCGGAGGCGATTTACTATTTAGTATTCTGTCCTTTTTGGAAAAACAAATTATACGATAAATTATAGCTTGTGTCAAAAGCAAAATCTTTATTTGTAAATTTGTTATCTTGCATCAGAACCCTCAAAAGATAAAAGTAGGTCAACTTTCTGTCCTATCTGATGATTGCCTTAAATTCTTTTATTTTTGGGCATTATCGTCACCACTAAAAATACAACTCTTTTGTGTAATTTGTTGTGCCCTTTTTGAACAGCTAATATTTAAAAATAATTTATAATACATTAACCTAACAGAATCTTTTTGACGAATCAGGATGAACTATTTTTTTATAATGCCAATGCATATAGTTGATCCAAAGCAGGCAGAGTTCTTCATACCAGTTCACACTGGTTGGGGTCAAGTGATGACGAAGGGAAGCTGACGTCACATCAATCACTCATGGTAAAACTCGACAGAGTTGCAATGTGCTCAATTTAATAGAAATTTGCAGCACGAGAACAAGATGTGTGTTGTCACAAGGTCCTGTTTGAATGCACACCGAACCTGAACCAGCCCGCTGTAAATGGGGAAACAGCAAATGGGCCTAACACACGGTAATCCCTCAAATTTGAAACCGAAACTTTGAAAAGTCAAAGTTCAGTGATCAAGCATGTAAGTTACTTAGGCCATCAGCCTGGGGGTTTGGTCGGTATCAAGCGAGGGGAATAATGCTCATTGTGATTTTGGGTATGCACCCCTGTAGTTGGAAAATATGTGATAGCCTTGCAGCGGTGGCAGCTTATGGGGTGATATTACTATAAAATAAAAAAATGGCGGCCAAAACATGATTGTTACCACATATAATTAACCCGGTAATAAGCATATTGGCGGCCGTTTTGAAAAAAAAAATTAAAGTGATAACAACCACTGCTCACACTGCAAAGCTACATGTATCACACATTTTCCAACTCTAGATGTGCATACCTTGCCAAAAATCGCTATGAGCATTGCTCCTTTCGATCATTTGATACCGGTGGCCCAATTTTTGGACCGAAGCTGATAGCCTGAGGCTCTGACACTTTACAGGAAATTTGAGGTGTTTAAGAAAATTTGTTTTCCCAAGTCTTCAAAACTTGTTTTGTATTTATTACATCAAATTAGCTGCCTCCCCTCAAAAATGGTAAAGAATTATGCCTGTGCTGAATGAAATAAAACAAAAATTGACTGTTTTGTGCATGATTCAGTCTGATCATCTTTTCCTTGTCAATTAAAAAAACAAACTAAACACTACTTATGATCAGCAGTTTGTATGATCAGTTCTTTAATTTATACTGATGAAGTACTATATAAATAAACAAAACCAAAGTGTACTTGTTATGTGTTTGTATTTTGTCATGTCGTCGGAAGTGTTATCTGGACAAAAAGCAAAATTATTGAAATGTTATGCTTAACATGATGAGGTTTTTATATATAACACCACATAATAGCCACAGTAAGATCCACATCGGCTTTTGAGGCATATTTGGATCATTTGTATTTATCCCCAAAGTAACCCACCAAATTATGAGAAAAAAAAATTGCTTGGATTAGTGAAAATTTTTCCGTCCGGCTTGCTGTCATTTTAGCAGAAATCACGAAATGGTAATTTCCAACTATCAATTGATTTTTGAATAAAAGAGTGCTATTGAATCAATCGTGTTTTGTGATTAGGCCAACACAAATTTTTTTCTGGGTTTCTGGTATAGAGCTTGCCCCAAAAGTGGTGCGGTGACCCAACTTTTTTTTTTTTTTTTAGTTGTTTTCCTTCAAATGTCGGCTGATGACTGCAAATGGTGCCTGACTAAATTTAGTGCAAAATGTATGGGAGCCCAGAGAGGCCACATAAAGCTTATACTCGATTATAACCCCATCTAAAAACAAAAAACAAAAAATTGTGCAGCAGCAGGATTCCAGTCAAACCAGTGAGTTTGGCGGTTTTGAGACATCATCTTACATTGAATTTTTTTTTTAAAATTTTGCCGACGCGCATGGCTACGGCGACGCGCGCAAACCAGAAACCGAAGCCTTTTATTTGGGCCTTAGAAGAGCATGTTTTTTTCCCCACTTTTTTTCTCGAAAAGTGTACTATCCACTGAAATGACACTTGACTAGGTTAGGTTTTGAACATTCTTCTTTGAATCGAGTGGTACATGTGTTATTATTGGAAAAGAATCCAAATGCATGGAAAGCCCGGTTCCTATATGCCTTTCACAAATGACCACAGGTCTGTCACCTACGTGACACGTGTTGGTATCTGCTACGAATGTCCCCTTCGTAGTGATTCCTCATATAGTAGTGTTCATTGTCCACAGTACTGAAGATACCATCACCATCAGTTTTTAGCATGGAGCTGTCGGTATAGAAATGTGTGTAGGCAACAAGATAGTACAGCAACAAGCCAACGAGGAGGATGCAGGTCAGTACTGCGTAGGCCACCTTACTGTGAGGGGATTTCTCAGCTGAGGGGGCTTCCCAGTACCGATCACAGGTCAGCGGCGAGCACATGACCTTCTGGAGTTTATCCCGCAGTTGGTGCCTGTCCATCCCCGTCAGGGATTCCGGGAGGCAGGATTTGACCACTGCCTGGCACCGCTGCGTGAGCTTGTCCAGGTCTGACTGACGACACAGCGTCTTGTCCCAGTAGGACGGTGCCTTGGCGCCGGAGACGACGTCACAGCGCAAGTAGTCGCAGTGGTCGGCCAAGCAGACCGCCCGATGGCCGTCCAGAATGGTGTCGGCGTGCCGGTTGCTGAAATGCAGATCCAGATACTTCTCGTTAGTGAAGGCCTTGCCGCAGTAGTTGCAGTGCCACCTGTTGGCGTTGTCCATGATCTTTCTCTGCTCCTGGGCGAGGTACATGTCTCGGGCTGGTAGAAGTGGGCAGGCAGGGGGCAGAGCCCAGCCCCCGGCATTCAGGACAGGGTAGACGTCTCGCTGCAGGATGTCGCGCGCAACACGCGAGCTCTGACGAGAGCACTCTGAGGTTTCGGAGCCACTGCAGAGCGGCAGCGTGACAGTACTCATCAATAAGATCAGTATGCGTGATGGAATTAGAGATGCATACAGGCTTGGTATCCAATTTGCTCCCTGCTTCATCTTTTTGTGATTCTTGACCTGCAACAAATTGAATCAGAGGAATGCTGTTCACATAACGGGGATGTAAGTAACATTTCTGCCTGATATTTGAGGTATGAAGGAAAGTATACACACATGCATGGTGCCAATATGTTATTTACAATTTGAAGTAAGCCTGAAATCAGGCAATAACAGGAAGACTTACATCCCTGTGGTAATAACGTTTATAGCACAAATTACACGACATTTCTGTTTTCATTTGGGCAGCAATTTTAAATTGGGAACCACAGTCACCAGAGAAAAACCCCCAACCAGTATCAATAACTCCTCCAACAAATTAGAATTTGAAGTTCCGTCTTTTGCACATTTACTGAACATTTTTTTCTCAAGCTAAATACATGCATGTACTGTGTCCATGTACTACAGTAGCCATCATAGGAAGGGACCTTAGTTAAAGGTAGAGTATATCATTTGTTATTTGTCCGTTTTTTTTTTCATTTGAAGCAATAAAAGTGCTCGAAATCTACAGAAGGGTGCTTAACAACTAACCTGATGAAGTTTCAGCTCAGTGAATGCTGTATATTTCAAGAAAACAATATTCTAGGATCTCGATTTCACTGCATGCAAAAGTTGCCGAGTCATGTTTTGAATTGTGCCCAAAATCACCGTCCGGGACACATTCTCATTCAGCCCACTGCAGCTACGCGATGTTGCGCACTGAACCGACGAATTATAGCAACCGCGCGGGCGTGTGTCGTTTCAACGCTTCGCGCGCACCCATTCACGGCTTTGCCAAATAAAAAAAAATGAACAACTAACAGAAATTTCCAAATATGCGTCTTCAGACATATCTTTGGAAATGACATTCTTTCATTGTTTTCTGAAAGAATAATTTCACAGGGAGTTTAGTTACTATCTTTAAACCAAGTATGCTTTTCAACAATAATTTCGTCAGTGACATTTTGGATAGCTGCAAATGATATACTCTACCTTTAACACAGTCCCTACAACTGAAATAGAAGTACGATTTTTCTCAAATTTGAATAATTATGCAATGGAAACATGTGGCAATAACTCCTCATTTTTCTTCCCAAATAAAGTTGATACTAACAAAAAAGTCATACTTCCAGTAAAAGCACTACACAAACGCTACTAGATGTCAAATTTTTCATCAAACTCGAAGAGCCATTATTGTGTAACAACTGATTCACCTTCTCAACTGGTTCACGGAAGTCTAGGCCCGCAGCAAATGGCAGAAATCCTCGAAATATTTGATGGCTTTAGTCGCTGAGCCAGGTGGAGCATAGGTGCAGACTAGGACACCGTAAGGAACATTGCCAACCAACATACCCTGTCTTGAGTGGGCCGCAGTCGCATAAATGCTGCAAAAACAGATCAAATTCGTAAGTGTAGACAGAATTCATTAATTTGCTTTCTAGATTTCAAGTCTCAAAAGAGGATCGTTATTTGAGATATTAGAGTTATCATAAACCAATAGCTGACTATTGTCTCATTTGTCATGTTTGTTAACAATCATTTACCTTTTTCACTACACGTGTATACGGCATGGATATATTGCAAGTTATGCGCCAGTGTGAAACACATAGTAAATTGCCGATTTTCAGCCTCTTTTCTGATAGGTTTTTTAATCATACATGTATATAAAAAATTTGTTCAAATGAACCACACAGGGAAACTGACTAGGTGAATTTGATTTAAAGGGGATGAATTGCTGAATTTAGTCAAAAAAAGCGAAACCCAAATGTCGGGACCATTGTTATATTGAAGTTCTGCATGTAGCCCTATCAATATCTAGGATACAAAAGCCCAATTTATGGGCTTTCTTTTAGTACAAGAATCATTCAAATCACTCATGTACTTTTCAAGTTATGGAAATTTAAACTCAACCACCGTTTTAAAGTTCTGTCCACGGTTCACAAGAAGGTAAGTGTTCTTTCAGCAAAACAAAAACAAATCACACAAGATGTGTGTGAATTGTTTTCGTTTTGCTGAAAGAACCCACACTTTTTTGTGATCTGTGGACAGAACTTTAAAACGGTGGTTGTGTTTAAAACTCCGTAACTTGAAAAGTACATGAGTGATTTGAATGATTCTTGTACTAAAAGAAAGCTTATGAATTGGGCTTTCATATCCGAGACTTTTAAAGTGCTACATACTGAACTTCAATATAACAATAGTCCCGACATTTGGGTTTCGCTTTTTGTGACTCACCCTGTACATATCCCATTTGTCTGTGTTTCAAAGCAGGATTAATCAGAGATACGTGGCTTTCATTGGATCGAGGCTGCCATTTTGGATTCTTGCTAAGTGAATTAGGTTGAAAGGGGATGAATTGCTGAATATATCCCATTTGTCTGTGTTTCAAAGCAGGATTAATCAGAGATACGAGGCTTTCATCGGATTGAGGCTGCCATTTTGGATTCTTGCTCGGTTCCTACAACTGAGTGTATGTCATACGCGTTCATGATGCAAAACAACGGAATTGTCGATAACAGTTACGGAGAGCTAAACGTACACATATCCGTTTGAATGTGAAACCTCCCTAATTTCACAACATCAGGTTTATTCCTGGTTACACAGAAGGCAAGTTGAAGCTTGCACTAATATCTGATACGGTGAAGATACCCTGGTCAATTTCCATTCACACACCTGCAATTTGTTGATTTATAAATGTGGAATGTCGTGGGCTTGGTATCGTGCCCAGTGGCTAGGATGAGTCCATGCTGACACAGCTCTTCATGCTGATGAGTGGAAACTTTAGTGAACAGCGAAGCAAATTGGCTCATACAAGTCTAAAATAAAAACATTCAAAAGCAAAATTCAAAGGAAATCACAATAAATTATGTCTATACACATTCAGTTCAAGTTTAACCCAAACCGTCCAAGCTCAATAAAATTCCACTGAAATGTTTTGTGGGATTGTGTAGGATTTAGGACGATGGAGCCCAGCCATTTAAACTCTACATAGGGACTACATGTAGGGGGTGTGCATCGGAACCGGGTACCCGACCGCTGATGTCAGGATTACGGGATCCAACTTTACAAATTACTAAGTAACTTCTCAGACAATGAAAAATAAAGGTTTATTTAAATGCCATTTGTGCGGAATTTTTCAAAAAGAAAACCAGGCTACATGGAAAACCAAAACAGATTTCACATTTATGTCCATTTAAACGTGCGACAGATATGACACTCACGAAAGTTGCAGTTTATACCATAACGCTATAAAGCCGTGTAGACACCGCCAATATTCATACTGTTACATTTTGTTAAGGACTATAGAGTTCTTGACAATAGAGGGATTTTAGCAGGCTGCGTTTTTTAGTTGACTTCAGTTTTGATAAGACCTCCTTTTACGAGTACCCGTGTTTTACTTCAATCATGGATAAATGACTCATCTACACAAAGGATAAATGACTCATCTGAGCTTGTGTGCAAAATACGTGGAACGGATTGTCTACATGGGTGATATTTTGTTAAGGACTATAGAGTTCTTGACAATAGAGGGATTTTAGCAGGCTGCGTTTTTTAGTTGACTTCAGTTTTGATAAGACCTCCTTTTACGAGTACCCGTGTTTTACTTCAATCATGGATAAATGACTCATCTACACAAAGGATAAATGACTCATCTGAGCTTGTGTGCAAAATACGTGTAACGGATTGTCTACATGGGTGATATGCCGCGTCCGCGTATAGAATGCATAGAACATGTAGAACAAATGCGCGCGCCATGATCGTCGACAGCTGGCGTCCTGACAGAAATTTGACCACTGAAAGACTGCAGTGGCGCGCCGAGTCTCGCGCACGCGCACACACAAGTGCCGTATCACGCATCTAACCAGAAATTTGGGAAAGTCGTTTATCCTTGTGTAGAGGATGCGTGCTTCAATAGGGTAGCCGGTTGCAGTACAACCCGTAAATGCATACCACTAGTAGGGATTGTGCTCCTTGAAAGTATATGTACAGTGTTACAGTAGATTCAAAGGGAATGTACATCATTGGCGTTTGCTGTAATTTTCAGAGATGAACTATTTGAGGGGTTAGTGTAATAGATCAAATATTTAACACTGAGATGTTTTAAGTTTCGTGTTCGAGAATACTGGAAAAACCAAGAAAAACAAAAAATGTTCAAGTAGTCTGGTTCCCTGACTCCACTAAAGTGAAATGGATCAATTTATAGATGCCGGAAAATTGTAAGGTAATGGAACCAGTCTAGCTGGCCTGCATCCGTTCATGAACATGTAACCAATAGCAAACAGAATTTGGACTGGAAAAAAAAGAAAATTTGGAGCAGTAGTTAAAAATGGTAATGTTGGAGCAGTAGTTAAAAAATTTCCAACAGTGGTTGGCCGACCACCGTTGGAAATTTATACAAAATATCACTATTCTTGAAAATGACTTCACACCAGGTGCCACAATTGTACAGGATGCTTTAGACTGTCATTTACCAACATCCTAGTAAAGGTAAAAGTAAAATTTGGTAGTTTTGTTTTTTGATGCTTGCACATGTTGTATATTCTCTTTAAAAGATTCAAGACTGTCCTTAGTAAAAAAAATGCTTTGGGAGCTAGGCTTATTTGACAACAATACCTGACTAATATTCTGTAATTTCCCAGTGCCGTACAAGCAAGATGCATTCAGAGAAATTAGACTGACACCTGTAACGACGCCACCAGTCAGGAGATGATCTGAAATTTCAGAAAAATCACAAGAAATTATTACGTTTTTAAATTAGGCCTACTACATGCTCATAACCATACCCTAGCTCAGCCAAGGTTTCTATACATCTAAGGCATAACAATCTTTAAAGGAGACATTTCTTCAATATTTCGCACATGACTGAGAAATCAAGTGATTTATAATGAAGCTACAAACTAGTTATGTCCAACCATGGTTCAACTATTTGAAAAGACTGACCACTTCATTTAGTGTTATTAGTCTGGTGGCTGACTATGGAGAAATGTGTAGTAAATAGAGACTAGTTCCCGGTTCATGCCACATATTGCTTTTGGCACAGTTGATTGATGCAGTACTGAAGGGTTGTTGGACTGGTTGTTTCAGGTGCCAGTCTATTGTCTTGTATTGCATGTTTTCATTGTCAATACCTTAAGTTTTGGGACTCTCATACACACTTACACAGTATTGAGTCACACAATTTCAGACTAGGGAATACTGAGTCCAGTATTTGGGTCCCATTTATGGGGCTAGAGGCATGAGAGAGAGCACCACCATGGCCACGCCATGTTAAGGAACAACAATATTATTCTCAGTCTCACATTCATAATGTTTTTTCAACATTTGAAGTGACTGACCACCCTGACCATCACTTTGACATCTGTAGTAAAAAGTGTGGCACCCACAGGGGGAAAGAATTCCATAGTATGTGCCTGGACATCACTTGTCACCCTGTGCACAAACCTTATGAGACTGGTCTGAAAAAAAATCAGTGTTTTATCAGTAACTGCTTCAATATTTCCCCTGCTAAATTTGACTTTTTAGGACATGTTATTGCTGTCTGATGGCTGATAGGTCATTGCAGGAAAAAATCCTTATAAAGTTATAACATAATTGCTGCTATGCAAAATCAGCAAAGCCTAATAACTGCATGGCTTAGGCTTAGGCCAAAAGAAAAAAATGGTCTGCTTCCAATTACATGGCATTCGAAAATAGGGCAGGTAGATAGCAATTTTTTTTTTTTTTGGCAAATTTTTTTTTGTATACGATCATATAGGGGCAGACTGCGTGTAGTCAAGGGTAAAAGGTAGAAATTGATGGTTTTGGTGTTTTTTCCCTCATTTTTCCAATACAAAAATAAGGGTAGGGGCTGTCAGAAAAGGGTAGGTAGGGAAACCGGAAGCAGAACTATTTTTTTGTTTTGGCCTTAGCAATGATTGGGTCTACTTTGTATGGTGCCCCTGAAGGGACATCAAAGATGCAATTTTTTAAAGATAGGCTACTGGATTTTTTTTTCTCCAAAAAGTAGGAACTTTTGTTCCAATATCACAATTTTCTGCATATTTGACACACATAGGCTTTCTTGTTTTCGACTTGCAATGTGAATCCATAACTAAGCGCTTTAAGCAAATTCATTTACGAGAAAGTACATGTAGTCATGTATGCAGTAAAACATTTTGGGTGCACACAATCGTGACAAAGTCAATGTCACTACTTTACAAGATCATGCTGCTGGAAATACAAATTGCAACTAGGGGGTCCGCTCATACATAAGTCCCGACGCCTCATAGATCCGACGCCTCATAAATCCGAAATTTCGGGCTTATGAGGCGTCAAACTTATGAGGCGTCGGACTTACATGTATGAGGCATACTTCGGCCTCATAGGTCCGACGCAGCATAAGTCCAACTCCGATGCCTCATCTCATAAGTCCGAAACAGTGTTTGTCCATTGTCGGACTTACATGTATGAGGCATTGGACTTATGCAGCGTCAGACCTACGAGGTGGAATTTATGCCTCGTAAGTCTGACGCCTCATAATTTCGGACTTCGGACCTACATGACCTAGGTGTCGGACTTATGATACAGCCCCCAACATCAATACATGTTTGCAATGTCATGTTATTCATGCCTGTCAAGATTCTTATTTTTTATGTCGCATTCGCAAGAAAATTGCTGATCGATACTAGTCATAGCCTACTCATAAAAGAAAATAATTGTGACATTCATATAAAATTTGAGGCGTCTGGAAATTTGTTCTTTTCATTGACATTGTCATTAAAAAAAAAGTCAAACAAAAATGTGCAATGTCACAAAAATTTACGTTTTTGATGTCCCTTCAGGGCCACCGTTAGGTGAAATCAAACAACAGAGAGACATTTGTGTCAAAAAATGCATGCCCCGTAACCCGTTTTTAATCCCGTCATTTTTCAATTCATATTGCAGCACTACGACCGCCAATTACCATGTATCAGTGTTTCCCATCTGAAGTTATTCATCATCAGGGAATGAGAAATTCAGAGCCACTCCATCCAGCAGCAATCATTCAACTCCATCCATAATGTCGAAAGCATCGATTCGCGAATGGACCTAAATAGTTTGAGCTCATCAGACTAGTTCCTGAACCCCACGAGTATAAAACACTCTTATTTGTCCATTCACTTCGCGGAACCATACTCTGCATCCTGGTAGGACCAGTTGCGAATTTGAACTATTTGCAAGTACACAGAACACATACGGTACGGGATGGAGTAAAACCATACAGTGGCTAAGACAGAACGTTGTTGAGTTTAATGAAGTATGAATTTTTTTTCAATTATATCCACTGGCGCTATGATGGGTAATCAGAATTATGGACTTTGTCTACAATCACCCCCTCAAGAGAGAATTGGGTGAGACCACTTTTGAACACGTACTTCCCTGGAAAAATGGGCAAAACCCTTTCAGTCACTCGATCTTAGTGAAAGATGAAGGACGCACGTCACCCTGGCATAACAATTCCATCTTATGGATGATTCACAAATACCATACAGCCGGCCGGCCCATCACGTGGCTGGTTTTAAACGGTTGATCATGCATGGCTGGCTGGTCTTAACACTTTTCCAGTGTCACATGAAATTTTGACTCCTATGAGATCCAGTGGCACCGTTTTATTGGTTGAACGCGTTCACAATCCTCGCATATGCGCAATATACATCCACTACCAGCATGACCAGTGATCGAGTCAGTATTATGAAGCCGATAATCCTTCCTCTATGGCTCGAGTAATTATCAGCATCCAGACTCCAACCGGTCTTATCCGGAGTTTTTAAAACCCTCTAACTAAGCACGTATATTCCCTTATTTAAAATAAGAAAGGGGCGCTTAAATTGTTCATCTTGTGACATACGTTGAGAGATGAGTGGAAAAAAGAAGGGGTAAAAGTGCTGTGATGGCCTATCGCATGCCCCGTATTTTTACTGCGTCATTTCACTGCATGTATTCTATCATAAATAACTGAAATAAGTCCACGAACCATGTTCAGATGGTTCGCGTCACTGCATGGGTGGGGTTGCATGCAGCGCAGGTGAACGGTTTACGATACGAAATTCTTTGCGGCTCAGTTGACCGAATTTGTCAATCGGTGATTAACTGAAACCGACAATGGCAACCAAATCCAATAAAGGTTTGTACAAATTTCTGAATTGTGCCTTTTTTAATTTCCAAATTCCTCACTTTTCGATATTCGCCGTGGCTATTGTTACGGCAGCCGGATACGCTTTTCATTTACAACTGCTTATGGCATTGACTGGTTCCCTGACCTGACAATATTCAACGCCAGCATGGTCATGATCCTTGGCTCAGTCTTAGTCTTAGAACCAGACTAAGGTTCTTGGAAGTTGGATTTATTCCCCTGAGTTTTATTTTTAACGAAGTGGCTATCGTTACGGCAGTTGTTGTTAGCGCCCTCTACGATACGTTTTTGATACGCACGCAGGTATATAATTATTTGTTTCCCCACGTTTTAGCGAGCAGTGTGACAGCTCAGTCGATACTCCTAGAACTATGAGGCTCCACGTAGTGGAGCCTCATAGGTTCAGAACCCCGCAAAATTGTTGTCGGCACAAAACACTAATTAAGTACAAAAACGTCCATCCCAACCAAGCCGTTTCCCACAGAACCGCTGCACAGTTTGACCCTAAACTCCGTACAATACCTCATGACATACTCACGTTATGTGCACCCAACAAACATCGGTGGATTCTGTCGGTTTTTCGGCAAAATGATGAAAAATATGCCTTTTCCGCACTGAGCCAACCTGACACTTGAAATTTGCACGCGCGCAGAATGATCGCAGTCATTTTCGGGTTCGATAGCTCGGAGCGCGCCGCGGGGGGTACGTACTCGCACTTGTACGCATGCGCATACTATCGTTCCGCTCCTACACCATACCCCCCGCGGCGCGCTCCGAGCGATCGGACCGAAAATGACTGCGATCATTCTGCGCGCGTGCAAATTTCAAGTGTCAGGTTGGCTCAGTGCGGAAAGGGCATATTTTCCATCATTTTTGCAAAAAAAACGACAGAATCCACCGATGTTTGTTGGGTGCACATAGCGTGAGTATGTCATGAGGTATTGTACGGTGTTTAGGGGCAAACTGTGCAGCGGTTCAATGGGAAACGGCTTGGTTGGGATGGGCGTTTTTGTAACTTAATTAGTGTTTTGTGCTGACAACAATTTTGCGGGGTTCTGAACCTATGAGGCTCCACTACGTGGAGCCTCATAGTTCTAGGAGTACTCAGTCGATAGAGGGTAGGATTTTGCACCGCAAGGCTGCGGGTTCGCATCTCGGTTTTGCACTCGAATTTTTTTCCTTTTCTAACCTGAGGCTTTGGAGGATTTTTTTTTAAAAGGGAAATAAAGTCCGAATTTCATAACGTTCAAATTCACTATTTTCCTTCTAATTTTATATTTTCTCCTCATGTTTTTATAAAAGTTGCAGTCTACCGTAAACGATAGAAAATGGGAAATGCGTTACGGCTGCCGTAACGATAGCCACTGCGTTTTAAAAACTAACATGACTAAAAAAAACCGTCAGTGACAAGTCCAAAAAAAACTAAAGCCACGGATTATAAAGAAGAAGATGAAATCTACTTCAATAAAAATAATGATTAAAGGGAATATACAACATTTGCAAACATCCAAAAATAAAACTACCATGTTTTTGCGAAATACCTTAATAGGATGTTGGTAAATGACAGTCTAAAGCATCCTGTAAAATTATGGCACCTGGTATACTGTCATTTTCAAGAAAAGTGGTATTTTTGTATCAATTTCCAACGCTGATCGGCCGATCAGCGTTGGAAACAACTGGCTTTTTTCAAATACTGGCCCCAATTGACCATTGCACTTGTTTGCAATCGATTACAAACCTATGAACGGGTACGAGCCAGCTAGACTGGTTCCCTGACCTTACAATTCCCCAATGTATGTAAACTGCTCTGTTTCTTCTTATATGGAGTCGGGGAACCAGACTACAGGAAAATGATCGTTTTTCTTGGTTTTTATAGCATTTTCGAACCCAAAACCTCCAAAAAGTCAGTGTAACTATATTTGCTTTATATTTCCAACCCCCCAATTCCATCCATTTCTGAAAATTACAGCAAAAGCAAATGATGTATATTCCCTTTAAAATAATTTGATTAAAAACAAAAACTAAATCAATAAAAAATTGAAAGGAAAGTGAAATAATTGCATCCTGACACCACTTTTTTCATCATTTCAGAAACATTTTCAATTTTTTTAGACTCTCGACTCTCCATAGACTTTGTACACAACCAAAGAAGTGGTGTCAAAGGCCTAGTTTACAAATGGATTAATTTGAAAAGAATGTAGTATCCAAAGAAAAAAAGAAAAAGGAAAAAAAAAATTCGCCCAGTGTGGGGTTTTGATCAAAACTTTTGATGCCAGTACCACTTCAGCATGCATAGTCGAGCATTGAATCAATCAAGCTACCAAAGAACTCTGGGTTGAAGGGCAGTTATACATGTAAACGTGATATAGATAGGCAATAGTGTTTTTTTTGCAATGTCGTAACGATAGCACTTTAAAGCACGTTACAGCTGCTGTAATGATAGAGTATCATCATTGTATAGGCATCGTTACGGCAGTCAGTGTAGTTTATTTGAGGACACCTATATTTTTTAATAATTCCTTTCAAAAATGACTTTTGCAAATGACTGTCAGTGTCAATTCTGTCAAAGTGACTCTGGCAGCCTCAAGTAGTAATTTTTACTTCGAAGTGTTAATATAGCCATGAACCGGTCCTACATTTTTTTGTTCTTAAGCTGGCACTTTATACAGCACCCTCATGTGCATGTATACAAGTAGACCAGTTTTGCTAAAGTTGGGTTGCAATGGGATTAGGCTACCAAGTACCAAGACCTGAAGGAGCTGAAACCGGATGTGATTGGGATTATAGAAACCTGGTGTAACGATACGGTAATGAATAGTGAAATGTTCGCTTGAAATATGTGATGGCAGTTCCACTACACAAGATCTTCCAAAAGTCAATTGATGAGGGCTGCTTCCCGGATGACTGGAAGCTGGCGAGATTATCATCGATTTTCAAGAAGGGATCTAAAACCCAGGCATGCAACTATACTATAGACCAGTCAGTTTGACCAGTGTACCCTGCAAGATCATGGAGTCACTTATAAGAGTTGCTGTACTCAGCCGCATCAATGATCATGACCTGCTCTCAAAAGAACTGAGCCTCGACGAGGGATATGGTGTTGACGTCATGTATTTAGATTATTCCAGGGCATTCGACACAGTCCCACCACACATGAGGTTAATCTCCAAGCTACAAGCCTACGGAATAAGGTGCAATGTTCTTGATTGGATTCAAGAGTTCTTGAATAACAGGAAGCACTAGGTGGGAGTTAGGAATAATCTGTCTGACTGGGCTGATGTCCTGAGCGGTCCTACTAAACTGCGTCAACAAGCGTCAATGGTCGTCAACAAGCGTCAACGGTCGTCAACAAGCATCAACAAATTTTGTATAAGTTTTGTAACATCACAAGACGTTTTTTGTGGTAGAAATAGTGACAAAGGACACATTTCAGCATATAAAATAAAGATAAAATTATTTAAAAACTTAATTTTTTTGAACGCGAAATGTACGACGAGTTTGTCGATTTGTGTTGCCCGCCATCTTGTTTGGATGGCTCTGTACACTTCGCGCATGCGTAGTATGGCTCTGTACACTTCACGCATCCGTAGTACGGCTAGCTTCACGTAAACAAAATGGCGGCCACGCCAAACTCGACAAACTCGTCGTACATTTCGCATTCAAAAAAATAGTTTTTAAATAATTTTAACTTTATTTTATATGCTGAATGTGTCCTTTGTCACTATTTCTACCATAAAAAAACGTCTTGTGATGTTCCAAAACTTATACAAAATTTGTTGGTGCTTGTTGACGCTTGTTGACGATTGTTGACGCTTGTTGATGCTTGTTGATGCTTGTTGACGCTTGTTGACGCAGTTTAGTAGGATCCGCCTGAGTGGTGTATCACAAGGCTCAGTCTTAGTACCAATCCTTCTTGTCCTAAGATATGTAAATGACCTGCATGCCGGAAGTAGTAAAGTCAACCACCAGAATGTTTGCCGATAAGCAAACAACAGGGTCCAAAATCCAAAATAAGCTGTGCAACAGGGTTCAAAATCCAACACAGAAGGGAACAACATTAAGACGATCTGAATGTTCTCCTGTTCATGTTTTTAGTGTAACACAATTTTTGAGTGTAACACAATATCAATAGCATCGTTTGTGTTCTCGCTTGCAGAAATGTCGGAGTGGATCAAGTTCTTCACCGCAGCGGGCATACCACCAGGCCCAGCAGCCAAGTATGCCATGGCCTTCATAGACAATCGCATCAACAAGAGCATGCTGATGGATCTGACAAAGGAATATCTCAAAGAGATGGGAGTCAGTGTCATGGGGGATGTCATCTGCATCTTGAAGCATGCCAAGTCGGCTTATTCTCAGGTAATTTGTCTGAGCCTCAGTACAGTTAACTAGAATGAATAAAAATTTGGTTACAGTCAAACTCTGGGCCCAATTTCATAACACTGCTGAACAGTTAGCAGAAAAGTTGAGCTTAAGCATTTGTTCATGGCGTGGATGTGCTAACGGTTGCGCATGCATGGGGATTTCTGTTACGCCACTGATTTAAGCAAGTTTTTCCTCTGGGGTTAGGCGTGCTTGTGCTGTGCTTACTGTCTCTATGAAATAGACGAAGGATCTGTTAGCACAAAATCAGCTGTCAAGCAGCGCTATGAAATTGGGCCCTGGTTATAGTGAACATAACATTATGAACCAGAAATGACTGAAACGCCTTTTTCTTCCGGAAAAAAATGTCTGAAATGGCACTTGTTCACCGTTTCAGGTATTGTGTCTGGAACAAAAGGACATTTGATCACCGTTTCAGCTATGTTTTAATCCCCTCCTGCAATTCAGACAGTTTGATGGTCTAAAATGTTAACCTGTTAAAACCAATTTAAGTTCAGACATTCTGTTAACCTCAAAATATCTGAAATGTAAGCCTATCAAGAAAAACAGCCAGGTTATGTTTCAGACATTTCCAGGTGACTGACAGGCCAGTTTCTTGATAGGCTTACGTTTCAGACATTCAAAATGTCTAAAACCTAAGGGGGGATTTGAAAAAAATACCCGGAATGGTGACCAAATGTCTGAAATATAATCGCTATTTCTCACCTTTCAGACATTTTTTCTGGAACAAAAGCGTTTCAGACATTTCTGGTTCATAGTGTAGATCCTGGGAGTCCCAACCATGCATTTAATGTAAACATGGTAAATGAATGGGACCGGCACTCCACTTCAATCAAAGGTTATGTCAAGCTGAAGTTGTACTAGAGCGAGACTTGACTATAGTTATAACAGAGGGTAAACTTGGGTGTAACATGCCCAAATGAAATGGATTTTCAAATTGTGTAATTGAGTGTACTGTAACGGCTCAGAATTAACTGCTTAATCATGTTGTTGGAGCATGTTATTTTAGCATGTACCCACGTACCACGGCATGAGAGTCGAACAAGGTAAGTGAGTCGAACAAACCATTGGACCACAGCACTCCAACTGTAAATTGCACTTGTGCACATTCTCATCAGTGTTTCGCATGGTTCTTAAATTTAACTGGAAAAACTAATTATTCAAATATTTGTTGTTCTCAGTACGAAAGAGAGCGGCCATTGCTGGAAGCTATGCCCCAACCTGAAGACGGCAAGATAGAACTGAAGAGACAGACTACCCGTGAGTATTGGACTCAGCAGTGCATTCTTCATGACCCTCCCGGACCCTTGAAACCCCTCCTGGGGTCGATTTCACGAAGCACTGCGATCGATCGTAACTCAACTTACGAAGAATAACCCATCGCAACTTACGATGCTTCTTAAAATCGATTTTACGAAACTTACTATGAGTTGAACGCATCGTAAGTACCTTGACAATGGCGTGGAACACGTCGTAAGTTAAGACGTGTCTGTGGGTCGTCGTAAGTTATGAAGTGTCTTTTCGAAGCCAGTTTTACGGAATAACAAGTAAAAAAAGAAGACCAGCATCATGTGATGTTTGTTAAATATGACTTACCTTGACAATTGAGCAAAAAATTCCAGTCAAACAACTGTTTGGTTCGAGCATTGTTTTGTCCGCAAATCAACTATTATCGATCGCCATTTTGAATTTTTTTTAGAGAAATCCGACGACTCTTTTTTTTTACTAGACGACTGTTTCCTGTTGAGATACTACAGACATGAAACAGTCACCGTAATATGCTAAAAATAGTTTTGCGATGCATCGCTGTTACGATGAGTTTGGTGAAATGGTTCGTAGGATGCATCGCAGCTAAGATTGATCGCAGGGCTAAGACACATCGTAACTTTACGATGCGCCGTAAGTTACGATGAGTTTCGTGAAATCGACCCTCGAACCTTTTTAAATGGGACTTGGTGCCCCACAAAAGCTCTGGCACAGTGAATGTGCAACAGGCCATTTTGTGAGGGAATAAGGGGGCTGTAGTGCCTTTTCCTGGGCTCAGTAGAAATGTCAGTAACTTAATTTCTGTCTAAAATCTGAAGTCTGTAGTAGGCAATTCCATAAATTTGGACCTACATGTCAGACACTTTAGTGAGCTGCTGTTGGAAAAGTGAATGTGATACATCACTAATGATGTGATATCTAATGAGTAGAAAACAATTACAGACCAAACTAAGGTACCACCACCTTAATAACGACCTTGTACATCATGTTGTCGGACGTACGTAGAGAATTGGATTTTACGAAATTGCCCTAATGACTAAAGTTAAGAGATTCAGAGGGTGAATTCAGACCCCAACACTACTCAGACAAAAAATTGAACTGTGAGCTGTCGTGTACTCTTTGAATACCCTTTGAGCTCAAACTATGATCGTACATTTATGGTAAATACATGTAGTCACTAAATGTCTGATGTCTGGCCGAAATGTCACCTAGTATTCCTCCCGTGCTTTGTCCCCATTGCTTAGTGATACGATGTCAATGTCTACAAATGGAGGTTGACTGCTTCCCATAATGTCAATTCCCAGTAACCCCCTCCGATAACAGCTTTTTGGTGTTCTAAAACCTGTACTTGATGACCAATTTTCTTTTCTGTCGTCATTATTCATAGCTGGTAACAGGATGCTGGAGCACTACATGCGCAAGGAAGGCATGATAGAGGAGAGTACAAAGGTCAAGGTCACCACAGCAATGGCCGCCAGACTAGGAGCAGTACCCTCAACAGGTAGACCCAGCTTCTAAATTGGGGAGGGGTGCCGTAAAAAATATCTAAATATTGCATATCCTCATCATTATGGGGGTTTTCCAACTCGCAGCCTCATCTCTGACGTCTCCTCCATATTTGGTTCTAGAACCTTTTTGAAGCCTTATTATCTCGATTCCAGCTGGAAATAATCCAAATTTTTGGCCTCGCATTAAGGGGAGTCAGGTTGGCGTAGCGGTACTTTCCTTGCCTTCCACCGCTGTGACCCGGGTTCGAATCCCGCCTGGGTCAATATGTGGATAGGGTTTTCAGTCCCTGCCTGATTCCGTGGGTTTTCCTCAGAATATCCTTCTGGGCTTTTCCTCCCACCTCTAAAACAGTAATTTCTTGCCATTGCCTTCTCTGTCTAAGTTGGTGTGATGTTTCCCCTGGGATGCTTTACCGACTATAATGATACAGATACAGATACATTGTTTCTTTTCATGCTCCTAAAGCAAAAAAAAAAACCCAAATGAGTTAGAGTCCCCTGAGGTCAAAGCCTGAGATAAAGCTGGGGTCTGGTATACAGTAAACTCAGGCTAAGACGGCACTCTGAGAATTTGTGACGACTTGCGCGAATGTCGGCTTCTGCTGCAAGTTGTCATTTTGCTGACTTACACAAATACACAAATTGAATCACGGAGTGAAAAAAATTGATTGAATTAATGGCCTATGCGCATCAATTCAAAGGCTTGATTTACCCTGGTTTATTTCTATATCCATGGATGATTCCAGCAAATATATCCTCAATGTTTATCATCACAAACAGGCTGTGGTATTGATCAGAGAAAGTCACGCATGTACATGTACGTACGTACGAAGCAAGGACGGCGCGGCCGGCTAGCGTTAACAGTGGTACGATGTACAGATCGCTTGCATACTGTACGTCCATGTACATGTACATGTAGTGTACATTGTGCACGTACGTACGTGTACAGTTATGTGTGCATGGTACTGGTACAATAAGGGGACCCCCAAAATGAACAGAGCGCATGCGTGCAGTCGAGAGGGGGTACTGGTATTGATGTGCTATTGGGAAAATCCCTTTTTGATCACGCACGTGGCTGTGGGCTATGTCCATGTATTTTGTCACAAATGAATAAAAAAATCTTCACCTTACAATTTTCCTTCGCTTTTCATTTTCATTTAATGCCTTGGCTTATTTGTTTGTACATATATCTCTACAATCTCCTTGGGATGAAAAAGCCATACATGTACATGTAACCTGTCAACGGAATGTCCGATTGGACTGCAACAATCAGTATTGTAAAGAGAATTTGTATTCTCTTTCCTAATACCCGCCAACTCTGATTTTGACCTCTGCCCAGTTCCGTCTCATTTTGCCGGCACACCTCTCATTCTTGGGGGTTTGACTACAACCCTGATTCTATCTCGTGTCCTTCAGGTTCAAAGAAGAAGCTGGTTGGAGTTCCCGAGTCAGTTGAGGTGATTCCTGTCAAGAAGGCTCGCAGGGTACCCCCGGAGGAGGAAGGTGCTTATGTCATCTCGCTGCCCAAGGGGAGCACTGAACGCACAAAGAAGATACTCGACCAGAAGGCACAAGGTCAGTCTTAAAGCCAGAGTCCATCATTTGCAGCTATCCAAAAAGTAAATGGCGTAATTATTGTTGAAAAACATACTTGGTTGAAAGATAGTAAGGGGACTAAACTCCCTGTGAAACTATTTTTTCTGGCAAGCTGTCATTTTGAAGAAATCAACAAAAGAAGGCCTTTCCAACGGTGATTCTTCAGAAGCACCGTAGGAAATTCATATTAGTAGTTCGTTTTGTTATTCGGCGAAGCGCGCGCAAGCATTGGCACGATGCACACGCGCGCACGGCTGCTATAATTCGTCGGATCAGTGCGCGACATCGCGTAGCTGCAATCGGCTCAGTGAGAACGTGTCTCAGACGCTGAATTCAGGCCCAATTCAAAACATGATTCAGCAACTTTTGATTTGAAATCGAGATCCTAGAATGTTGTTTTTCTCAAAATATATAGCTAAAGCTGAGCTGAAACTTCATCATGTTGGTTGTTCAGCACCCTTCTTTTGATTTTGAGCACTTTTGTTGCTTCAAACGAACAAAATGCACAAATTACAAATGATGGACTATACCTTTAAGCACCCAATGTTAGATGGGCGGGATACAATTTTGTTTTCACCCATACAGTTCCAGCAGGATTATTTATATAATAATGAAGGGAAGGGCTATGTTCGTTATTAAAAACGTCACACACGCACATGCACCATTGATTACTAGCGCCCACTGGCTAAAAACTAAGTTAACTTCCGGTTCCATTCGTGCTATACTACACCGTGTGAAGTATGCATGGTTCAGTTGAGATGACGTCACACTAACGAACCGAATAGAGAATAAGTAAAAAGGTATGAAGAATACAAATATTTAAAAAATCCTGAATGCGAGACAACAGATTTGTGGACTGGTTGGAAGTAAATGTGACTTCTGATCATTTGATCAAAATATTTTTGAAATAACAACAAAATCACAAAGTAAATTTTGAAATTTCTATTGTGCAGATACTCCCAATCATTGGCCTAAACCCTTATGAGTTTCATTTAATTTCCCTCACGCCTCGCTACACAACGGTCAACTGATTTTGGACACTGTGACCAAGTTCCTTGCCTTAATAAATTTCAGTGCTTTGTTTAATATGTAAGCCGTAAAAACTTCTTGTTGTGAAAAAGGGCTGCGGTTGGGGATTGGAATCTTTTGCCCTTGGTCAGCATTAAACTGAAGTCTTGCCATGATGATTGATAGCCAGTACTTGGACAACTAAACAATCTTAAAATTTACTTTGTGGTTTTGTTGTTATTTCAAAAATATTTAGACGGGCACCTTTTTTTGGGACATCCATGTACAGTATGTACTGTAGAGGCAAATGTTTCCAGGCAATCTAAACGAAGAAAGCGACAGTAGTTTTGTGTAATATTCTGAGATCTTCAGGGTTCCTGAAGTTTCAAGTTGCCTTTGGAAATCTGCCTAATGTGAATCGAACATAAGATTGTATTAAAAATTACAAGTGTGGTTTAGAAAGTTATTCAATTGACACATAATCATAGACATTGTTTTACAGAGATTTAAAATTTGTTTTGTTGTGGTTTTGATTTTCAGTTACAGATACCAAGAGTTCTGTATTTGCAAGGTTGGGAGCCGGTTCAGCCGGTACTAGTGGCACCCAGATGGCATCTGCAGCTGGTCAGGCGGCTGCCAAGAGCACAGCAGAAGGCATTACCAAACAGGTACGTTCCTATGTCTTCCTTCACAACCCAAGGGGTACAGTGTTCTCCATATTAACCCTTACTCCCTTAACATGATTTACTAGGAACCATACCCATCCTGGCAAATTCCAACACCATATGGGAAACTGCACACACATATTTCTGACTTTGATTCTGGAGGTGTGCCAACCCAATGTAAAAGACAGTTTAGGGGTTCTGTACCCATCCTGACAGATTCCAACAAAACATGCCGTTGGGGTTTGATGGGTTGAGTTCTGTTAGGGTTAACTCTCCTACTGTTTGAACAGTCACAGACAGTCAAAACTTCCATCCACTTCTCATGCCATGCCTTTTACACAGGCTAGTCACCAACAGTCAGATCATAATTTTAGCAAGCACTCTGTCTAGTCAAATTCAGTCAACAGACAAAAGCAGGCAACGGATGGGAACAGCTGGCTTATCAATCACCTAGAGTCAAAGCTGCATCAAGTTGCATAAACAGTCGCAGCCAGTCAATCCTGCTTTATTTAGGATGGGAGCTCTCAACTGTTAAAAACATTTGATTTTGACTGAAAGGACAACTTGGCACAGAATGTATGTTTTACTAGGTGGGTTAATTCCAGTGTTGAACTTGGGCAGGCTTGAGCATACTTGAGAAGAACAGGTAGAATTTGCTGTCTAGATGCATTTAGGGTGAACATATTTGGGCTTGCTTTTTCAACAGAAATGTATGCAATCCTATGCTGTAGTTGTTAATATCTTTGAATTGGGTCTGTTTGTTTTGATCCTTGAGCTAGGGAAAGTGTTTGAAGCTCCATATGTTGTAGTCAAGTCAGTTGTAAGCCACTACAGAAAGTTATTAGTCATCCAGTCTTGAATCAAATTGTAAGCTTTCAAATAAGCTGTAACAAAGGAATTTGTTTGTGATTGTTCATCCCCAACTTGTGATTTGACTTGTGATGGACTCAGTTGCAACTCTAGAAGGTCTGTTTACAAACTAGTAAATGCATGCTACATCAATTGGGTCATAGCTTACGGTTTCTCTCTCTCTCTCTCATCAGGCTGGCTCACCAACAGTCTTCAATCGTCTCGGCGTACTTCAGTACCACGGTGTGCTGAAGAGCTCACCCAAATCGAGTCCTACCCCAAAGATAATGAGAGGCCCGGCAGCATCCACGGCCAAAACAGCAGCAGCAAAAACAGCAGCGGGCAAATCAACGGCGTTAGCCAGCGTGCAGGAACGTCTCGGTGTGCAGCGACCAGAGGTCTCAACCACCACCCTGACGCACATGGACTCAGTCGGCCTGAAGCACAGTCTTCAGGCACGTCTGGGCGGTCAGATCAGTGACCCCCCAGCTGCAACGCCCACCCGGCAGAAGGTGACAGTACTGATCAGCGAGGGCGGCAAAGCAGCCACCACCAAGAAGACCTCTCCAGCGGTGTTATCGAGACTGGGCTCCCAGAAGTCAGACACATCCGCAGTGGCCAAACCTACGCCGAGGGTAACTCTGAAGCCTGGCTTGACCAAACGTCTGGGCGGTCGAAAGGCTTCCGTTCAGGCGACTGGTGCCAATGCAGAAGCCAAATCGGGGGTTATGGCCAGGTTAGGCCAGAAGAAGCCCAACCCTATCACCCCTATCCGTGCAGGACCTACCGCACCTGGCAAAGTACAAAAGCGCCTAGGGATGCCTGTCAAGAGGGCAGAGACTCCCAAGACTTCCCTCAAAGAACGCCTGGGCCTCCAGAAGGCAGAAGCTAGCTCCACAACGCCGACCTTTACGGTGACGCTGGGGGGTACTGCCGGTAGTTCACCAGTCAGGAAAAGAAAGAGGAAATCCGGGGGTGGAAATCAGGAAGAAAGCTCCATTAGGTCAGTCACAATGGGACAGGATGTATTCAGCAGGCTTGGATCAGGGTAAAAATAAAAATGTTCTTCCTTTGAAAAAGAAGAGTATTCCTTTGATGAAGACAGTAACTATTTACACGCTAACACCCCAACCAGCTTTTCAAAATCACAAGAATGTTTTGGACAATCGAGGATGATTGAGCTCGATGATCCTTGAAAGGTTAAATATAAAGAGTGTTCCATTGGATTGTTGCGTGGTGGAGGATATTGTAGCATTTAGAAGGACTCCTAGGAAAAACGTTTAAGGAGTTGATGTAATTTTATTTCGCATTTTAAAGCTTGACAATTTTACAAAGTGCACAGAACAATAGCAATAAGCACTTTCACGGTAATATGCGCCATCTTGTTCACGGGGCGAAAAGAACACGCGTTGCTAGACACTGGCACAATTTGGAACCAACGCATGATGACTTGGAAGCGCAAAAGTTTTCGATTGATGATGTGTACACAGCAACGCATGTACATTTGCCCCGTAAGCAAGATGGCGCATATTACCGTGAAAGTGCTTATTTGATCAAATTGTTTATTTAAAACCTAGTTAATCAGTTGCAATACCTACAAGAATAATTGCATTGATATTTCTTGATTAAATTTTAATTGTAATCCCTGGTGAGTTTTGAAACCTAAACAATGTACATATTTCCCTTTTTTCCATTATTTATGTTTTACCAGGAGTGCGTTTTTAGAACTTAATTTTTTAACTTAAGTCATTTGGTGTCGCGTGGAAGTACTTAGATGACCAACATTTTCTCCCAAAAGTTGGACAGTTTGCATTGTACTAACTCCCCTGTTACTAAATTGCTGTTACCCCTCTGTACGATTAAAAAAAACACCTTGTGTTACACTGTTATTTTTCATTATGAAGAATCATGCATGTATCAATATAGTTGTTTACGTTTTTTAGGTGAAAGATGACGTGATATTTTTATGGGCTGTTGTGAACAGATTTTAGAGCGAAAAAAATAATGCAATCAAGATATTGCTTCGTGTTACACTTCTAAAGAGCATTTTCATGGTTTTGGAGAACAGACCAGTTTCGTTTTTTTTAGGACAAAGATTCAAACTGTGTTGGAAATTTGTAAAACAGAGGCTCGGTTTTAATATCTTGATGATTATACTTTGAGAAAAAAAAATCTCTTTGTTATAGAGTGAACCCCCCCCCCCCAATTAAAGCCCCTCCCCCCTCAAATTGAACCCTTGTTATGCCACTGTTAAAAGATAGAATTCAAGTAAAATTCAGACTTACAGTTTTCTGGTTTGGGGATTGTTTGAACTAGTTGAGAAATTTGCTCTTAAGATGATGTGGGTTGACTTCTATAGATGAAATGTGTATAAGTTGTTACCACAATAAAAGGTGAACAAAAATCAAATGAAAGGCTATCCTGTTAGTTTTTTATGTTATCTACCCCTCCCAACCGGTATGAATTTCACCGCAATTAATTTGCAGTTTTTCTGCAATCAAATTTCTGTTTTTGCAATGCAAGCACATTCACACTGCAGTTATGATAAAAAAAAAACCACCGAATGGCATACTTAAGGGTGGAAAAGTTGAAGTACCTTTTGTCTGACTACAATTTAAAATGAACCTTTATTTTGTGGTCACTTTCAACATTTCTCTCGCGGATTAGTCAAAGCTTTCAACAATGCAACAAACCAACAATCCTGTAAATTGTATGATATATCGTGCCAGGATGGGTCCATAGCTCCGTCATCTAAAATGTGTTCTTATAACATCGCATCATCGTTGGAATCCCTCATTCTCCTGACGACGGGCAGAGCATACTGTTCGAAACGCCGAGTCCCTTCGGTTCTTTTCAGAACCACACATACTCACAAAAGAGATTTATTCACATGGTGCTACCGCAAACATCTTGTCTTAAAATGTGTTCGGAGATTAATTATGCGCACACCACCGAACACATTGCGGTGAAGATGTGAACAAAAATCACCACAAGCCCAAAATGCCAATGTGTGGGGTAAATCATCATTTGTATACTGTCAATTTTTCTCTAAATAGAGAGTTTTGAGGCCCCTGAACCTAAGGTTTTTAACTTTGTACGGTAGATCTAGATTGACACACAAAGAATGACGTAATTTAGAAGGTTAAACAAACGGCATGTTAAAATATCTAACGCATGTTATTTTTGACTACGGTGAACCATTTTTTTCCCCACAACTAAAGGCCCATTTTGGTATATAGACATTTTGACGGATGTGTTTCTAAAAGTCTTTTGACTGTTATATAGACATTTATTCAGGCCGATTTTGAAACAAGACACACATAGTGATTTGTACTAGTTTTCAACGCCTTGCAATAACTCAATATGCCAAATACCAATTTTTACGAAAGCCCGTTAGTGCCACCACTTTTTTTTTCGAAAGAGCAATTTTTTTTTCCCAGATTTTTTTTCCGGAGCAGTTATTACTTTTTTCGAGACGATTTTTTTTTTTAGAGAGCACTTATTTTTTTCTGACCATTTGATGGTGAAACACAAAGCCAATCGTCCATTGGAACAAAGGAATAGCAACGCATCTCGATGTTTTTTGTTGAGTTTCACTATTTCAGCATTTATTCCTACTTCATTCAATTGTTAGAATGTCAGGAGCACTTGAAATAAATACATTTGTAAATTAGTACAGATAAAAAGTTAGTCTTTCACAATGTATAATACTGAGAGAATGGGTCTTCCCATATGTAGAAATTAAACTTTCAGTTTATTTTCTAATTATTTAATAACATGTAGATAACATTACATAAACTGACACACCTTGAAATACGTATGGAAAAAATGAAAGGAAAAAAGTGGTCGTCACCCCAAAAAAGGTTAATAATTATGAATTGAATGCCTTTTCTTTTCAATACAAAAATTATCAAGCTTTTTGCACCACAACTGTGTCAAGGAGTTTTCAAAAATTGTGGTCAAGTAACAAAAACAATGAAACCAAGAATTGATCGTTTGTTAAGCATGGAAAGGGAAGAATTAGCATTAAGGTGTAAACATTAACCTATTAACAAAATAAGGACCTGAAGCAACGTTATTTTTTAAAGTGACATTGCAAAAAATGCAGCCACTGTGTACACCACCCACAAAATTCTACAAAAGCAATACATTTTTTTTTCGCGGAGCAAACGTTTTTTGTAAAAAAAAAAACCCCAAACAAAAAATGTGTTCTGTATCCACCCTTGAGAGAACCTCACAATCACACATACTCATATGTGTATTTAATAATAATAGAGAAATTTCATGTAATTGTATTAGCATATGCATGTACTACACTTTTACTCATGTACTATTGCAAAGTTCTTCTTCAATCACTAGGTATAAAGTAAAATTCATCACAGAGAGAGGATGTTCATTTTTGCATGATCTCCCCCAAAAAAGTTTGCATATTATTGTGTACACAATGGGGTATTCCGAATACACATAAATAGAAAATGAATAAATGTTCAATATAAAAATTCCGAGGAAAAAAAAACAAATGTGAATTATTACTTTTTGTACAAATATATTCATGAACATGTGGACCCTATATTCTAATACCTGGTGTTACAGTGGTTTTTTTTATATGGATTCTACACTGTATAACCGAGCACATAGTCACTGTAATTTTACATGACTTTTATTTCATATATGACTTGTGGACCCACTTTTGTTAATTATACATCAGAAAACTATAACTACAAAACAATGCAATTGCTTACTGCATAGTTGGATTGGACAGATTTTGAAAGCTTCTGTACATAAAAAAACACTTGAGGTAAATTCTGGTGGAGTAAACCTCCAGGTGATTTGCCTTGGAAGACCAACTGGTAAGGTCATGACCTATTAACGTACGATATCAACGCTGATATATAATACCGGTAGGCAACACTGTAAGGATTTATAAACAAAGCATAAGAGATAATACATTTCTTAGAGAAAGCGTAGTTAAGGGAGAGTAAATCCCTGAAAATTGAATAATAATTTGCCTGAGTTTCAAGAGTAAGTACTGAGCTACATCATCAGTAAAAGACTTTAATACTGAGTTGAATCACAGGTGGACAGTTTATATGTATTAGTATAGGGTGATTATATATACATGTACGAATGTACATATAGGTTTAAAGATGCATTCCCCGTGCCATTTTTGAGTCTCACCTTGAAAAATACAGTTGTTTTTTTTCAATCACTATTTTCCTAGCAATATAAAAGTTATTCACTTTTATGAGACATTGAACAATAAAACACACCGACGTTTAGTCATTAAATTATTTCTTCACAAAATTCAAATTATTAGCTGCCAGACAATAATTCTGCCCTTGCATGGTGGATTAACTTGTGCACAAAATGAAAGCCCTTTTTTCAGAGGGTTGCAGACCCCCCAAAATCAGAATAAAGTTAGTTTTTCGTTAAAAAAAAAGTTACAAATTCAAAAATTTGTTAGGAGAAAGAAAATTCTATTTTTTGAAGAGCATGGGGTATGTAACTTTGATAATCAAGAAATTACATTCTTGCCTGCTGCAAAGTGCTATGTATTCTGTATTGTTCAGCTGCAGAGCAACTTCATGATAAGACATGAAGCCCACAACAGCAATGAATACAACAATGCGAATAGAGTCATTACACATCGACACTATGGAAGACTTTCTTTAAAAACAGTTATACAGGGTGAATCAAAAAAACCGAAACCGAGATATTATTGCTAACTGGAACAGAAGTAGGGCACGTGTGAATCAAAGGGAGATATCCTCTGTTAGGGTTGAATCTCCTCTTTAAAATGACACCCTGATCATGTCATTACATTCACGGTTGACTGAGCAGCGACCAATTTTATGAAAGGGTCTATTTTAATAGAGACTTGCTCTACTTTTCAATTGTGGTTTTGTTGTTTCATTTGTCACAGAGTGAAAGGCTATGGTTGCCAATCAAGGCAGGTGGGGAAAAAAAGATATTTCACCATGAAAAGTGGCGCAATTCTCTAAATAGACCCTTTCATGAAATTGGTCGCTGCTCAGTCAACCGTGAATGTAATGACATGACCAGGGTGTCATTTTAAAGAGGAGATTCAACCCTAACAGAAGATATCTCCCTTTGATTCACATGTGCCCTGCTTCTGTTCCAATTAGCAATAATATCTCGGTTTCGTTTTTTTTTTATCCACCCTGTACACTGTAAATCAGTATTAGCAACACATCCACTTTTTAGCATATGTTAAACAAAATGTGATAGTTCATTTCATCTTTACCTTTCCATTGCATAGTAAAAATAATAATAATAATAATAACCATAAATAAAGCAAATAGAATACAACAAATGCAGCGAAACTATTATTGTGTGAATACTTTTGTCATCAAGGCACATCAACACACAAACATATGTAGGATATAATACATATAATGTACAATAAAAAAAAAAAAAAATCTTCAAAAGTTTCAAAGAAGTAGAAAAATAAAGATTAAGTCTCTGGGTAGTTTAAATAATTCTCTGGGTCCAGAGTTGTGATGTTTTAGTGAATATAAAAAATACTGTTACTGAGTTAAGACAACGTAGAAATACTGTCTTCTTGTACCCTCGATATACTAAAGAAATCTTTATGGGCTTTTAAAATCAACCTTCAAAACAAATTAAGAAAACAAAAATTGGTGAAGTTGCAAAACTGAATTTATGAGTTGACAAGCGTAACCATAGCTGAAATCTGAATTACGTGGAGTTTCTTCTCTTATACTTGTTCACAGTTTGAACTGAAATATCGAAACTTGAACCTAAGTGTCAGCAAAGGATTTAAATTTTATTTTTTACATTTTGTAAAAATCAGGGGGAAAATGGAGTTTTGAAATGATAAAATATGATAAATGAGCTGCACCTGCTGTACAAATAAACTTATTTAAAAAAAAATAGAAAAAATAAACAACATCAATCTCATCAGCTTTCTCAACAAAATATTTGATGACACTGAAGTGGGTGACAAGTACGTAACTAAAATGTACATGATAACCATGTCAATTTCATCTGATTGATACCAAATACTTTTTTTTTTCTTTTCTAGTAGGAAAGGCACAGGAAACATGTTTTTACATCTTCATTGTCGAGCCTCTTTTCGTAGTGCACTATTTTGTTTAATGCTATTTTGTACATTTTATCCTCTTAGAACTACTCATTATCCAAGCAGTTTTCTGTACTATTCTTTTGTGTGGTTAAGCTCAGGGCAAGCAGGCAGACTCGGCCACGCTTCGCTGCTCTCCACAGTGGTTTTGCGTGCAATGACTCTCTGTATCATACCGTTACTTTTTACACTTCATATCCCTTCGCCTGAAACTGACTGGAAGGGTTTTAAAGAGGTTGTGGAATGCTCGAAGACATTTCCGTCATTTTTCGGGTATATGTAGCCTAAGGTGTGATGAAATAAAAACGACTATTGTGTCTGTCATGAAATGAGTACAAAAGGTACTTTTGAGAGCTGTTTTTCAGCTCCTCTTTCGACCCGAACGTGCAATTTGTGTAAAAGTCGTCGTTGGGGGCAGCAAACAAAACATAGTAAATCGTGACGTAATAAACAGGACTCCCGATGCAGCGTAGTATAAACGAGTCCTGTTTATTGCGTCATGATTTTTCTCATTTTACGAAGAACCCGACGACTGTTGATTTCAATTATGCGCTCGCCGACCAACAAATTACTCGATGAATTTCAGTTTTATAAACATATAAACGCACATTACAAAAGAATGGGACTTTGTCATTATGATATATATGGGTCTACTCTACAATAAAAAAATATAAAAAACAAAACGACTTTCAGCGTTCCACAACCCCTTTAAAGGGTTTTACATAATTGCTCTGAATACTGATCATGACTTTGGACTTGGTGTGTTAACGTGGAGCCACTCTTAACATGGCATCAGCCTCGATGCATCATAACTTGGTGACAGTCTTTTCTCGGACTACGTAGGCCATGCCTGCTAAACGCTCCCCTGCCACCGACTCCACAGATTCATCATTGGAAGGGCCGATGGCATTGTTGCGCTTGGCCCTGTGACAGGCACACCCAAGGACAATCACCACGACGAATATGAAAATACATGCCCCTAGGGCGATCCAGGTGGACAGGTCACCTTCGCTGATTCTCACCGTCGTCGTGGTCTGAGGCTGAGTGGACGTGGGCACCTCAATGCTGATGATTCTGTCAGGGATTTAAAAGCATATGGGATCATTTTCATTTATCCCAAACGCAGTAACCTACTGAATTCTTATCAAAAAGCTTACTTGGATTAAAGCTATAGTCCATCATTTGCAGCTATCCGAAAAGTAAGTGCCGTAATTATTGTTGAAAAACATACTTGGTTGAAAGATAGTAAGGGGACTAAACTCCCTGTGAAATTATTCTTTCTGGCAAGCTGTCATTTTGAAGTAATCAATGAAAGAAGGCTTTTCCAACGGTGCTTCTTAAGACGTACAGTAGGAAATTTAAATTAGTAGTTTGTTTTGTTATTCGGCGAAGCGCGCGCAAGCATTGGCACGACGCACGCGCGGTTGCTATAATTCGTCGGATCAGTGTGTGACATCGCGTAGCTGCAATCGGCTCAGTGAGAACGCGTCTCAGACGCTGAATTCAGGCCCAATTCAAAACATGATTCAGCATTTTTTGAATGCTGTTTTTCTCGGACTATACAGCTGAAGCTGAGCTGAAACTTCATCAGGTTAGTTGTTCAGTATCCTTTATTAGATTTTGAGCACTTTTGTTGCTTCAAACGAACAAAATGCACAAATTACAAATGATGGACTATATCTTTAAAGATCGTATTGGTACTAAACACCCTGTGAAATTATTCCATCTGGCTTGCTGTCGTTTAGAAGATATCAAGAAATGTAGATGATTTCCAATAATCAGTCACTTGACTAATTTTTCGAATAAAGAGGGCTATTAACGAAATCGTGTTTCAGGGTCAAATCTTTGTGCGTGGTTTTTCACTGTTTTCTCGGTAAGTGTAATAATATCCGCTGAGCTGAAACTTCAACAGGTTAGGTTTTGAACATTCTTCTTTGGATTTTGAGTGCTGTTGTTATTGGACACAAAAGCGTCGCTTTTGGCTCAGAGATAAGAATCAAAGAATATAAAGTAACAAAGATTCAAATATGGTTACAAATAGATCATAATAGTCTTGAAATTTGGGCGATTCACAATGCATTGCGCCACCAAGAGTTTGCCATGGAGAGTCAACTTTTCAAGATTACGGTCGACAAAACATGGCCCATTTGAATGAGTGTCAGTAGACAATTTGAACTAATTTGTTATAGATTTGGGCATAGTGTTCTGCCGCCTTACCAAAAATCACCATATTGATACAAAGAAAAGAAAAGGGCAAACATATACTTGAATCATAATGCTTATGAAACTACTAACCGGAAAAACGAACAATTTCAAATGTCCCGCGCTGCGAATTTGTCGACCATCTCCCACAATGCACTGGGAAAAATGAACTCTGTGGCAAACTCTTGGTGGCGCACTGCATTGTGAATCGCACGAATTGGGAAAGTAACTGAGAAACAGTGTTTTGTTGGGCAGGAACAATTGTTGGTAAATTTTCACTCAAATAAGCAAAAACAAATCCAATTCCCTCTCCCTTATCAGCTTCAGTTAGGACCACTTTCTGCAACACAGACAAAAGGCAAAGCTTCTTATTTTTTTACCGTATGCTGACAGCAGTGTAGTTCATGTTCAAGTACTGTATTTGCATCTGGTTGGACAGGACCGCTGCTTCTAGATCCGAGTAGGCCACATGGGCGGGCGTGTCTGTGGGAAGAGAGACCACTCAATCGTGAAAAACTATCCATGTCTCTTGGAAAAGGATGGGATACCCCTAGACAGTTACTAGACAGTTGCCTAGACAGTTACTTGCCCATCCTATATGAAAAACCCATGCCCTATCCTACGGGACGACAATGACCAATCTCATGTGGTGCGTATTACTGGCCCTATTTACCAAAGCCTGATTCTGCCCTCCCCAATCCCACACGATGCCTTTCCCAATTTCACAAGATGGATGTCCATGCTTAATCCCAAAAGATGCCCACACCAAATCCCACAGGATGCCCAATCCCATGGGATGTCTTGGCCGAATCCAATGCCTATGCCCAATCCCATGGGATGTCTTGGCCCAATCTTGTGCCTATGGCCAATCCCATAGGATGTCTTTGCCTAATCCCATGCCCATACCTAATCTCATGGGATGTCTTTGCCCGTGCCTATGCCAATCCCATGGGATGTCTATGCCCAACCCCATGGGATGTCTATGCCCAATCCCATGCCTATGCCCAATCCCATGGGATGTCTACGCCGATCCCATGCCAATGCCCAAACCCATGAGATGTCTATGCCCAATCCCATGCCTATGCCCAATCCCACAGGTTCCCCATGCCTAACGCCACAGGATGTAAATGCCGGCTCGGACTCACCATTGCTCTCTCCTGCCTCAGCGATGTCAAAGGTCACGCATACCAAGTCTTCTCTCTCCAGTGATGCGCTTCCTGGAGCAACATCTTGTATATGGATACGACTCCTACAACAGATACAAACAATGAACGATATATCCTTGGTCGAGGTACTTCCCTGTACGTGCTGGTGTGTTTAAATCAACATTACATGCACAAGGGTAACATGCCATTTTCCAAACCCGGGATTCATCTTATTTTATGATAGTTGATACAATTAAGTTTGGAGATTTAGTTCAAACTTCACAGCAATGATTATGGCTCAGGGGCCAAAGCAATAGGTAACACCGAGGTTTCAGAAATGGCATAAAAATAATGTGACGAATTAGACTGATGGACCCGACTATAACTATGTTCGAGATGAATTGAGCTAAATTCATATGTGCAAGGAGGGGTGGGGTGGGAGGTGGGGGGGGGGGGGGAAGAACGCTCCCTCTGGCATCATTTTGCCTACATGTTGAAAATGAACAAAATGGCATTAAAGCAAGAAGAAGCGTAACATACAGTAAACTCCGGCTAAACCGACATCGTACAACTCGTCAAATCGCTCAAGTCGGCCGTCTGACTAAAGTCTCGATTGTCCGTAATGCATTGCCATTGAATTTTATATTTCTAAGTCGGCTTTTATAAGTCGCCATTTTGCTCAAGTTGTCGTGTTACTCTCGGTCCCCTTTCCATAAAAAGCATTACAAAATCCTTTGTGTAAGTCTGCATTCAACAAATCACGCATTGGCATCGACTTCCTGTACTGCGGTTGACAAAGTGTCGAGTGAAAAGTGGTTTTGCATGGCCCTTGATCGCTGCATGCATCGGTGTCGAAAAAGGGCGTCCTACTGCACACATCACATGTGCATTGTGAGCATATCAATACCAGTACCCCCTCTCGGCTGTATGCATGCGCTCTGTCCATTTTGGGGGTCGTCTTATTGAATGACTACTGCTGCAGTCAATGCGGGCGTGGTATATACTGGACCACGCACGCATTTAATTCGTTACTGTGCACGTACATATGTATCGTGGTCTCCACTATGAATACCCCAAACGTAATGATACAATTCGAGGATTAATTTGCTGGATTCAACTCAAGCTTAAGGAAATGTATGCTATTGTAATGTTCCCACATACCATCCGATGATGCAAACCAAACATCCTTAAGGACCTCACTTACTTGCGTATGTCAGCGACATCACAGATGCCTTTGACAACAGCCTGACTGAAGACCAGCATCTGCTCCTCCCCATCCACAATGGAGTAGTCCATCTCCCCAAACTCCAGGCTCACACACAGGGTATGTTCAACTGGTTGTGCGGGGGTGGATTTTTGTTCTTTAAGATGAGAAAATAAATAATGAAAAGGAGACGGTTTATGCTTTTGGCTTTTCATTGACAAAATTTCATAGGTCAGCATGGAATTTTGCCTTGTGCACAAGCTTAACCCTAACCACCCCAACTCCATCAAAATCCACCCCCCCCCCCCCCCCCAATATTGGTGGATTTTTGGGGACTTGGTCCAGAAGGCCTGGCGTGACTAAGTATTGATGGAGTATGATGGACTTGGGCCTAATGGCCTGAAGCAGTGCCAGGGGTGTCCGATTGATTTTGCCTAGCTTCCTGTACTGCTATTGTGATAACAGCCATATGAAGCAAGTCCATGAATGTCAACCAGTGCGTCAGTGGTGGATTCCATTATGTCATGTACAGTTTTGTATTAGACGCACAGTGATTGATGGATTTTGATGGACTTGGTCCAGTTCCTAGTAAAAGACGCTAGGGAGTTAGGGTTAATTCTTGAAACTACATAATAACTGCATTACAATCAAATTTTCATGCTTTCAAACAAGTTGTCAAATTCCTAGGGCTGCCCATTTTTCAAATAATTTCGTATTCGATTAATCGAAACTGCACTTGACCGAATATTCGAATATTTGAAACTCGCCGATCGAGTTTTACATGCAGCTGCAGCTGCCTTTCTCGCTGGTCAAAAGTTGCATACAAAGCACGCCGGTTAAAAATTGCATGCGGTGATGGGTATTGTGGAACGCTGGAGTGTTTTGCAATTGCATTAAAGGGAAAATACAACATTTGCAAACATGAAAAGACAAAATGATAAAATTATCACGAAATACCTTACTGAATTGTTAGGGACTGACAGTCTAAAGCATCCTTTGAAATCGTGGCTCCTGGTGTGCTGACATTTTCAAGAAAACCTGTATTTTTCCAACGCTGGTCGGCCAACTAGCGTTGGAGAAAACTGGCTTTTTTTTCAAAAATTATTCTTAATATTTCATATTTCGTTATTCTGACTTTTCTTTGCAATTGATTTACACACCTCTGAAGGGGCACCAGCCTGCTAGACTGATTCTCTGACCTTACATTTCCCCAAAGTGTATTAATTGCTCCGTTTCATCTTAACTGGGGTCAGGGAACCAGACTACAATAACATGATAGGTGTTCTTGGTTTTTCCAGCATCTACAAGCCCAAAACGTGAAACAAGTCAGTTTACCAATATTTTCTATAACATATAAATCCTCCAAATCCATTTATTTCTGAAAATTGAAGCAAAAGCAAATGTTGTACATTCCCTTTAAGTACTGTATAATCACTGCTACCCAGCTGAAAGAATGGGACCACTAAATACATGTACGTGTCGACAGAAAGTTACCATTGACAAAAAAAGTGTCATCTGACAATAAAAATGCAATTTTAAGATTAAAATGACTTCACAGTCAGGTACGCCTGTGCGTAGCATTCCTTTTCCGAATATTCAAACCAGCAAAAAATTATTAGAACTAGAACCCCTAGAACTAAGCCCTAGAACTTCCCTCCCCAAAATTTAAAATCCAAATCCAACACAGCTAGTCCACAAGAATATCACAGAATACATTTGAAGACATCCCTTACCAAGTGATGTTGGTGGTGCAGTGGTGGAGCAGGACTGACATTCTGCATCCACTAGGTCAAGAATTGAGGTCTCCTGTTGACAGATGATCTCAGTTGCGGGACAATGCACCGTTCCATGGTAGCCTGGGATCTGCAACAAAACAACAAAAAAATCATCAGCCAAGCAAAAAACTTAGGCTGAAGTTATACCCTGCAACCCTTTACCCTTAAGTAAAACCAAGGGTCTATTTCATGACATTGCTAGGCACGCAAGAAGCCCTACCAAATGTCTTGACATCATATCCGTGATTGTGTAGCCAAATGTCTGACAAAAGTCCAACTTCTGATCACTTGTGCATGATGAAGGGAATGGCTAGAACTTGCTTTTTGACAAATGTGTATGTTTTTGCCCACATTTACATTTGAAAGACTTAACCCTAACTCCCCAGTCTTGCTAGGATGTAACCTCAATCCTGCAAAACCCTCCAACTGCCTCCATGTAAAAATGGCACACAGCCTCAATCCTGCAAAATCCTCCGTTATTTCTTGAATGTGGCCCCTGGAGGGATGACCACTGCTTCAATCCTTCAAAATCCTCCAGCAATCACTGTCAACATGAGGAAGAGCCAGTGACATCCTGGAGCAGTGCGAAAGATTTCAAGTATAATCTAGGCGTAAATGTATGCACGTCTGAGCATAAACAACACAAGGTCCGGCCCAAGACCTTGACACAGTGCATCCTCCAAAATCAGCCACACATTTTTGCCATATAGCCTCAATCCTGCAAAATCCTTCATTTTGCAAACGGGATTTGGAGGATCTGGGAAGGTTAGGGTTTATGGATCAGTTTATTCTTGGCAAACAGTAAACTGGAAACCATGAGTTTCTTCAAGGGTTGTGCCATATACCGGTATACCGGATATTCGAATAATCGATCAACGAAATACCCGAAAAGCATTTTTTGATTTTCGATTCTATTCGAAAAATGTGAGAGGTCTCGAGGAAATGATGAAAAATGTTCACAATGTTTTTACAATTATTCCATGATTAAATGTTAACTCAAATGTCTTAAAATTGGTCAAATATCAGCCATCACGCTACCTTTCCTTTATATTACTTTAATAAGATCTTCGCTAATTTTTGTTAACTGCAGGAGCATGCAATTGATGGCCAGTTTTGTAGTATAATAAAAATCTATGTCAATTATTCAAAACTTGACAGCCCTAGTTTGCTCATATACGCTGGGCCATTCTATAAATTTGGGATCCCCTTTTTTCCTGTCCATGTTACATCTGACATCTGTGATTTTATAATTCTGATGCACTCCTTAATGCAGTCATCCTCCAAGAGTGATTGTGAATAGCAATGTCTAACAAATAAAACATTATTTTTAGATGACACTTGAATGGCAAAAGAGAAAGTACCACGGTAACAGGGACATGAATATCGCCACACTTTGGACCCTTAATTTATACAATGACCCAAATGCAAATTTTTGCATGAGCATGTTCTCGTCACCACTCACCGTGATGGCTGTGTTGTTGGGACAGGATAGCCAGTCTGCCTGTCCTACTTTCACCTCATAGGAGGTCGACTGGTTGTTGCACCGTGTAAGATAGCAGACGCCGCCTAAATCACACGGATCCACCATACTCTAGAAGGAATTACAAAAACAATATGGACAAAACTTCCAGCACAAGATGTCAATGTTGTAGTATTCGCAATCTGTGCCTAGTGTCTCTCTTTTTGGTGCGGCGGACAGGCGACGGACGTTCCATGTACCAATGGCAAACTCCCAAGGTGGAGGCTTTGCTCTGATGTGCCCGGCGCATGGTCGAGGATTTGCTTGTCTCTGTCTCAGTCTCATCAATACCCTGTGGTATTGGTCTCAGTCTCAGACCACAAGGTGTCAATCTATAGTCTTTCAGGTCTGAACCACATCTAATCCAAACTGATTTCAATGTCATACCTCTATGTTGACAACATTGCTGACAAAGCATCTGCTGTTATTGTGGAAGACTTCACCATTGACAGAAGACGATCCATCTTCTGGCACTGAGCAATGATCCTATTCACAAAAAAAGCAACACCATATGGGAAACTGCACACACATATTTCTGACTTTGTTTCTGGAGGTGTGCCAACCCAATATAAAAGACTGTCAATTTAGGGGTACTGTACCCATCCTGACAGATTCCAACAAGTTCTGTTATTAAACACCGCTGATACTGATATTAAACACCGCGTGAAATTACTCCATGTCACTTGCTGTCATTTAGAAGAAACCAATAATTGTAAGCCAATTGATTGATTTTTGAAAAATTTTGAAAGCATTACAAAGAAGAAATCGTGCTTTGTGATCAAATGCTTATGCATGATTTTTCAATGTTTTCTCAAAAAGTGCAATATCCACTAAGCTGAAACTTCGACAGGTTAATAGGTCGTGAACATTCTTCTTTGGATTTTTTATTGATGTTATTATCGGAAACACAATACATGACACGCAAATAATCCTATGTGCCTTCAACATACTTATTTTCCCCATTCAACTTAAATTACCTGGTTATTGGCCTTCATGACTCTGCATTCATCCAGGTAATCATTGCTGGAGCAAGTTGCCTTATCTCGATGAAGATAGTGGCAACCAGAAGAACTGGGGAGAAAAGAATATTAAAAACCTGAGGAACTGTAGAGAAAAGAACATTTCAAAAACTGGGTGTTCTCATCAGAATTTGCCTCCTACTTAACTCTCAAAGAGCTTAACAATATGAGTGATTCACAAAATACTGACACCAACATCACCCCGATGCAAATTCCCGATGGAAGTCAAGCTCGGTGGTCGAGTGGTAAGACGTCTGCACTAGTAAGCAGGAGGTCGTGGGTTCGAGTCCCACCTGAGTAAGCTTGTGAATTTTTTCTCGTATGTCCTTGGACAACACCGAGTATACCGTGTTTATAAAATATGTCGGCAAAGGCCAAAACCCTCTAAAAAATCAAACAAATTTTGTTTACGGGGAGGTGTTGGGCGGGGGCGGGGTGGGGTAGGGTGGGGTAGGGTGGAGGTGCGTGGGGTTGGGTTGGGTTGGGAGTGTTTGATGGGGTGGGGGGGGGGGGGGCAGACACCAATCTGGGAACAGCCACAGAGTTGCTGATCCCAGATTATGGTGGAAGCATTGTGTTTGCTACTGTTCGTAACAAAGTTCATTTTCCATAGTGAAAAAAAAAAAAAAAAACAAGTAAGTATTAGCATTTGATTAATAGCTCTACAGTTCTCAATCCTTCAAAATATGGCAAAACTACTTAATCCAAATGAAAGTTCTAAAAAGGGCATTGGTATTTGTGAGATTTGGAGCATTTATAGTTAATTAATATAATAGTTAAATAAAATCAAAGTCATTTTTCTTTGAAAAAAACAATAAGCCAGCATGTGCAAACCTGTCATTGCAGAAGAACCTATCTGCTGTGGTCTGGCACCTAGACTCCCTCCCAAACTCGCAGCCTTGGTTCTTGCCCCACGTGAGCTCCTCTGCATACTCATAATTGACTCGGTACCAGCCTGAATCTTCAAACACAGCCAGTGTCAAGTTGTCTAGGAATGTCTGGTGAGGCTAATATAGTAAGGGTAAAAATGCCAAGAATGTATCTATGTTATTTGATGAAAAGTAAATTAATGTGTGGGTTTTTTTTTTCTCAGATAGTGGGCGATTTGATTCTCTACAGTTTATGAGCTCAGTGCATGAACAAGAGAGGTGTTTTTTTAACCATTTTTGAAGGCAATAAACAAAATTTACAAACATCAAAAAACAAAACTACCACATTACTATGAAATACCTTACTGGACTGTTAGTGAACGACAGTCTAAAGCATCCTGTAAAATCATGGCACCTGGTGTGCTGACATTGTAACGACAGATTGATTTTTTTAAATCAAATTTCAGTGTGGAGGGAATTTGTTAGGTAAATAGCAAACGTCACAATGAAACTTCAATTGTTGACGTCATACAAATTTAATTTACTCTCCTTTGGCGTGAAGTACGAACCAGCCATGAACCAGTGGTCCAAGACCAGTCGCAATCCGATGAATCTTTTTTAAACCTTCCAGATGGATTTGGGAGGGTTAGGGTTAGGTTACTTGACTAGTTGAGATGTTTCTGCGGTGTAAAATCTTGCTTCTCTTTACCTGATCGATGATAGGAGCCATGATGGAGCCATACATCATCCTGGTCTCCCAGTGGGACGAGATGCCATCATTGCCTCCCTGCTTGACAACAAGTATGCAAACAACATCAACCAAACATTTCTCCATGCTATTTTGGAGTTTCATCCAATGCCCCCCCCCCCCCCAAAAAGTGATTCCTTTGCTAAATTGCTATTTTTCTAGCAGTACAAAAGCCATTCACCTTTGAATGCGAGGGCCCATGTTTATTTATGGAATTACAATTTCAAATTAGTGGTTGCCTATAACTCCTTTCTCATGTGGTAGGCTGGTTCCCGCCCCACAATCAGTATTGATAATGTATAGACTGGTAGCCAGTCTGCTCTCAAAGCAGATCTGCTTGTGCACGAAACAAAAACAAAACATTTTCCAGAGGGTTGAAAATTGAATTTGTTGAAGAGCACAGGGAATGCAACTTCAAGTGTGGTTTCACGCTTTTTCTGATAGAATGGTTCAATAATGTGAACGATTTGCAGGTAAAGATTTAAAAAAAAAAAGAGTGGAGGAAATTGTTCTTGACATTTGGGATTTTCCTCGGGAGAATGCTGAGGTTTTGTTCACATTCAGAGCCAGAATGGTTAAATAATGTGAAAGATTTGCAGGTACAGGTTAAAAACGAACGAGTGGTGAAAATTGTTCTTGACGTTTGGGACTTTCCTCAGGAGAACGCTGAGATTTTGTTCATATTCAGAGCCAGACTCACGCTTTTTTTTCCTTTCCGAATTAACCTGTAAAAGTTATATCCATAAATTCATGGTAAATGTTTTATCCACAAAAAAAAACAAACACAAGTTCAATGGAGTCCAACATATGTTAACCCTAACCCTGCCAAACGCAACACAGTGCATCAGGTGTCAAAGTCTGTGGGATCTTGCTGCATTGAGCCATAAGCACTGTGCATAAACGACCAATCCTGAGACAATGAGAGCTAATCCCATTGCTCAATGTCACAGTTGTATCCTGCTGCAGTTGGTGACCACAGTCTCTGAGGCGCTAGGCCTTGAGACTTTTGACCTGATAGATCTTGCTACACTGAGCAGGCTTGTCATTTTTGACAAGTGTTGCTTGTTGCTGCGTTAAGCAGGGGCCAAGTTCGTGCAAGGACTATAGCTGACCAATGGTTAACCATAGTCCGACTAACGCTTGCCCGAACTGTCTAGTTGACGGTGGTTCACTACGCTAGTCAACTATTTGGAACCAACCTACTGGGGCTGGTTGCATCGCTGATAACCTATAGCCGCGCACATTCATAACGCTAGCAGAGAGCCAGGATCCAGAAGTTTTGAGATGACATTTTGACCAGCGTTTGACTAGAGACGTTCGCACGTTGCTACCAGTGCGCAGGCGTAAGGTACGTCACAAATCAACCACTAGTCGACTAATGGTCCTTGCCCGAACTTGGCCCTAGTTTCTAGCCAAAATATACTGGAGTATAGGGTTAATCGCAAGTGAATCACAAGAAAAGAAACAATACTGGGCAATTACACATTAAAATAAACTAATGTTGCTAAACCAAACACACAGCCAACCTGATTCTCAAGTGGGCCACCGAATCCAGACTCAGGACAATCAAAGTGCTTCTGAGCATGTGCAGTGACGGCAGGAGTGATGAGTCGACGCATACCCTGTGAGTCGGATCCAGTCGTTGTACATCGATCAATACAAGTCAGACCATCGGCTAGATATTAATCATAAAGAATGGAAGGGCAAAATTCTAAAATTAACGGACCGTTTGTCATCTAACAGCTTTAACCGTAACCCTGTCAGACGTAACACAGTGTATCAGGTGGAAAAGCCTGTGGGACCTTGTTGCATGGCACCAGTGCGTAAATGGCCAATTATGAGACAATGAGAGCTAGTCACACTGAACAATGCCACAGTTGCATCCTGTTGCCATTGGTGACCACGGACCCAAATTCATTTTGGTCTTTGAGATTTGTGACATGATAGATTCTGCTACACTCAGCAGGCTTGTCATTTCGCAAAGTGTTTCATATTGCTGCGTTCAGCAGGGTTTTTAGCCAAAGTTTCTGGACCAAGTTCGCCAAAATCCATCATTCACACTGCTTCCAATGCATGCTTTGCTTCAGGCCTCCAGGCTAATGATGTGCAAACCCGACCCGAAACCAAAACCGCACCCCCCGAAACCGACTTCGGGTCGGGTCGGGTCGGTTTGTTCATCTTCTCAGTCGGGTCGGGTCGGTTTCGGTTTTGCATTTACATTTTCGGGTCGGGTCGGGTCGGTTTAGCCATCTTTTGAAAATCCGAGATAAACCAAAATAAACCGAAATAAACCAAAACAGTTGAGAAATTCAGGTGATGCAATATAATTGACTGTCATTGTGACCGCAGCCCATTGTGGTGTGGCCAACGAGCGCACTATCAAGTTCCCACGGTATTAATTTCTGCAGTCAAATCAGGACTGACTGTGAAATACATAGATTGTAATAGTTTTCATGATACCACATGGTGAACATGCGTTTGTTCAATAAGCGGAGTTACTCTCGATCACCCACTGAGTATGACAGAGAGAGACAGACGATGGTTTTGCAAAAGAATTCATGCCACGTGGGTAAGGGCAGGCACAAAAAAGTGATCACTTTGTCAAGCCAGGTATTCAGGGTTTTTTCGGGTTTTTTTCAGGTCAGGTCGGTTCAGGTCGGATTTACCTTAATTTTTGTCGGGTCGGGTCGGGTCGGTTTGAGGGAGTTAAGATCGGATTCGGTTTATATCTCTTATGTTTCGGGTCGGTTTGGCCTGGTCGACCCGACCCGATGCACGTCATTACTCCAGGCCCAAGTCCATCATACTCCATCAATATTTAGTCAAACCAGGCCTGCAGGACCAAGTCCCCCAAAATCCACCAAAATGGGGGGATGGATTTTGATGGAGTTGGGGAGGTTAGGGTTAAGGACCTTTTCGACCACAATTTACAGAAGAAACATACATAATTTTCTATCACTTTTGTTTTATTCACCAAGGCATGTGATTCTTACCTGATTCAGAACATTCCTTGAATTTGTTGAACAAAGACGAGGAGAAACCCAGAACATGAAAGATTTCATGGACAGCCAGCTGCAAACAACAAAACAATCAGGGTTTTAAGAAAAACCGACATTAATACTATATCAATTCAAGTTTCAGTACATGGGTGCTACTCTAAAGTTGCATTCCCTGTGCTCTTACACAAATTTGATTTTTGTTCTATTAATCAATTTTGAACATGTATGTTTTATTCCAACCCAAAACCTCTTTTCCTCCCTTTTCGGATGTCTGCAATCTTCTGAAAAAAAACCCCCAACTCACCAGAATAAATTTTGGTTTGTCATACAGGTCGTCTTTAAGGTGCTCAGGGCAAAAGTTGATGACGCCGGCTATTGGACGATTATTCTGATCCAGCTTGCAATAGGATGCATAGGCCACAGTTTGCTACAGTACGAAAAGTTCGGAAAAGGGAAATAACAATAAAGAATATATATCAACAAGGAAATGGTGAAAAGCTTATAGTAATATCAACATGGAAAGATATTTGTATTTGTGTTGTGTTATAAAAGGTGGTTCTGAGATACTGGTGGGCAATTTCATGGACATCCAAATGTAAATGAAATAATTTCGAAAAATCCAATTGCCACAAATGAATGTGCACATATAATTTTGAAGCTTATTATCTGTATTTTATTGAAATTTAGTTTATTTCTAACCATGTGAAACAGCTCAGCTCAGTGGTGCCGCTACTGGGGAATGAAGGACATTGCCCCCCCCCCCCATTTTTTTTTCACTGGCCCCCTCCCACTTTTTTTCCCAACATGATTTTATCAACAAATAGATTAATTATGTTTATCTTCTTTGCTGGTAAGACTCATAAAATGTGGATACATTTTGGGCCAATGAAAGCATTATGAACATTGGTGCTTTAGACAAAACACACCACACATGCATTTATATAGCTGTAGATAGTGTGCAGCCAACATCTTTGTACATTTGTTATACACCATTCTGCGGTTCGATACATTTCTCATTCATAAATACGACTACACTTCTAAGTTGCTCTAGTGACTTATTTCTGGACCATTGATAATGGGCACACGCGCGTTTACACAGGCTTAAGATTATGTTTGACTGCCCCCCCCCCCCAAAAATTTTCATTGCCCCCAAATTGCCCCCCCCCCCCCATTTTAGAGTCTAGTGCCACCACTGGCTCAGATGTTACTTTTGACTGAGAAATTAATTAATAAGTACACAAAGTATGCATGGAGTATGCAACTTGAAATCTGTCTTAGTTGACTTACTCCCGATGAGCACTGAGCAGTGTGCTCTGCCTTGACATACAGCGCGGTATCAGTGTCGACAAGTCCTGCCCCATCTGGATAGATCTGGTGTACAGGGTGCGGGTAGGTGGAGTTCCATGTCCATAAGCCCTGCAGGTGCTCATCTGGTATCTGAACAGTCAAGACAACCAACTAAGAAGTCTGGGTGCAAACTACGGTTACCCATGGTTAGCCATGGTTAGACGTTCCACTGAACCCAAGGTAATATAGTTGGACTTGAGGCCTTTTCACACTAGACAAATCTCCGAGTTGACGTAGGGTTGAAAACATGCAGCGTTTCACACTTGAACATTTTCAACCCCGTGTCAACCCTGCATCAACCCCGAGATTGATTTCGCCCCGTGTTGAACTCAACCCTGCTCCAGACCAGGGTTGAGATTTTCCATCCGGGTTGAAACTCTCGCCAGGGTTAAAAAAACAACAGTAGTAACCGAGCGAAATAAGCTCGTTTTGCACGAAACAAGTGTGAAACGATGCGAGGTTGAACGAGGCGTTGAAAAATAAAAAACTCAACCCGGGGCGGCACGTGGTTCACCCAGGGTTGAGTTTAGCCCGGGTTGAGAGGCTCTAGTGTGAAAAGGGCTTAGGCTAGTCAACTCTTCATCACCAGCTGAATGAGGCTGGTGCCACTGTTGGTTGCAAATTGATTGAAAGTTTCATGTAGATGATGCTTAATTAACCGAAGTTTGACTAAAAACATTCGCTGATCTGGCTAGCACCCTTGAACAAACACGTTGACAAAAACGGGGAGCCGCCAACATAGGGCAGGATAGCTCAGTGGGTAGAGCACTGGAACGGAAATCCAGATGCACTCGTACATACATTGGCATGAAAGACAGCCTGCAAGATGGCAGTTTTTCTTACCAGAAAATCATCTAAGCATTTTTCTCCAACATAGCCACGGGATATCTGAGCACATCTGTGGAAAAGCAAAGAAAAGAAATAAATACTGGCACTTAAAAATGAACAACCAAATTTTAAAAATGACACAACCTTTTCTATTTTTTTTTAACTTAATTTTATTATTAGAACAAGCAACTCCAAACCAGTGCCAACATAATTTAACAATTGTTGCTATCAGTTGCATATGGGTTTCTGCAATACTGGACATTTGTAATCACATTATCTGTAAGCACAATTGAGTCTAAAAGGCAGATCATTTAAGGTAAAATTTGAAGGTTTTCTGGAGAGACAATTTCTATTAACTTATTTTACTGAGGGTGACATTGGTCATTTAGAGGAAGACGGTTTAGTGTCTCCCTAAGATTTTAACTACCATTTATATATCAAATATTACTATCACAAGTTGCTTAAAAACGATTTGAGAATAGTGTATATCAAAGTTTTTGGGGAGAGGGGGGAACGTGGAAAATTACATTGGGTTATTGGAAGGTTTTTGTTGGCGCACAAGTCTACGGGAATGTCTCCCTATCTGCTCCTTGCACAAACACGAGAGGGCGGTTTTTAACTTTTGAAATCTCCTAAGACTGGACACAATGCATACATGTGCGTACTGGTTGGCGCGCGTATACATGTAGCGCGAAATACTAATTTATTCTGAATACTGTGCACAATCCAACAGTGTCTTCACGTTAGTGTTGGTTGTCGTCGATATTGCGATCGACATGTCTCTCCCAGTGGTCTCCCCATAGGCTCCCTTTCTTACCGTTGAGGGGCACTTGTGCACGGAGCCCATTGTACCATTTTCCATAATTGAAAAAAACCTGAGTTTGGGACAAAAGGTATGTACTAAACATTTTGCCGAGGATTTAATTGTCTTGCTTGGCTGAAGCACGGTTCCTACACACAAGGATTAATGACTAGGCCCAACTCCTGGTTAGACGCGTGATAACGGCCCGTACTGGTGGCAAATACCATGAATACTTTTCAACAAAGACCACTGCGCACGGTGGCTTTCAGATTTGCAAGGCTCTTCGGCCGATCTGGCCTCGAAGTCTGTCACGCCAGCGAATTATATTTTTGAATATTCATGAGTCTACGTTTTTGGTCTTTATTATTGAATTCTGATAAGTGATAACTACATAACCATGGTAACGCCGAGCACAATATCTTTAGCTTTAAGATGAACAATGAAATGTTGCTTTTGTTTCATCAGTTCGGCATCCTATCTCTCTAAAACTTAAAAAAAAAAGCCTAATTAAAAACGAAATTTGGGTAAACGGTGTTCTCCTCGAAATTTGACGTTTATTTCCCGGGTAAATACTTCATCTACATTTTGTATGACGACAAAAACTGCACAATACCATCCGTTATATCCTGAAGTATTTATTTTAAAAATAATTTGGAACAATTATATCTTAAATAAGAAGTAATTTTACTTACAGTTTTATGAATATTTCCGTTTTAGATGTTGTGCAAAAACCCAACACAATGGCACATCTGGAAAATTCGCGATTACACGCCAACGGGTATTAATGCCCGTTATCACGCGTCTAACCAATTAAGGCAAGTCCACTGAGTGCATTTTGTACTAGAGCTCAGAACAGTCGTTTATCCTGGTGTCTAGGATCCGTGGCTGAAGCTGATCACAAAAACTCTGATGTGCATATGAACTAAGGATTTGTTTTTGAGTACTCACTTTCCGATGTTGGTACCCGAGGTGAACGTTACCAAGCAAGCCTCGTCTGAGCGTGCCATTAACAAGGGGCCCGACACTGGCACAACTGCAACAAGGAATTCAAATACTCATCATTTTTTTGAATGTACTTAAAATCATATATAGGATCATTTGCATTTATCCCAAAAATACAACCAGAATAAACCAAGAATTGAAATTGGTTCCCGAATCACCCGACAATTTTGAGCATGTTCAAATTTGTCGGGCGCTTCCCGATCTTTCACTGAACTAACAGAATCATCCCGAGGCAGCCAAGAAACATGCCCGATTTTCTCAAGAATTGCTATTTGCAGCGATTCGGCTTAAAAATCGGGAACATGTGGACGTGGCATAACTTGGATGACAGATGATCATACTGGTACTAAACACCCCGTGAAATATTCAGTCTTGCTTGCTGTTATTTAGAAAAAATTTAAAATATGTAGGTTATTTCCAACGATCAGCCCATTGACTGATTTTAGAAAAGAAAGTGTGCTATGGGCAAAATCATGTTCGTGAGCAAAAGCTTACATATGGTTTTTCACTGTTTACTTGAAAAATGCATTGATTTATTAATCTGAAATTCTACATGTTAGGTTTTTGAACATTCTTCTTTGTGTTTGGAGTGGTGTTATTACCGGAAATGAACAAAATGGATTGAATTTTTGAATGTCAGTGACTGAAAAAAGAACCACCGACATTAAAAAAACGACGATGCCTAAAGGATTGCCTTCTGGCAACATCCTGAACATGAAATAGTTTAAAGTTGGTACATGTACGTGCTTTTTCAAAATTTTGATTTTCTTTTACTTACGAAATTTAGAGGAACAAAATGTCCTGTAACAAATAAATTTGCTTGTTTGTTTTGCAGGCTTTTATATAGTTTTAGAAAGTGGTATTAAATGGCGTGCTTCTGTTCAGAAATCACACACACCAATCAGAACGGATTAGGATCGTCCCTCTCTTAATTCGAAATTTTGAAATAATTGATTATTATTTGTGGGCGATTTTTTCGTGCGATGTCTCATTGGAAAGCTCATAACTCATTTAATGCTAGAAATGTATCTATTCGATTTGAAAATCTATTTTTCAAGGTGCCACACCCAAAAAGCATGTACATGATGTACAGTACATGTATACCAAATTTAACGTTCGATTGAATGGAAATTATGCTAGACTACAGTATTATGGAATAAACCATTATCATGTTGCGGCCATCTTGACTTTTTCCCATTCAAATCAACGTAACCAAAGGGAGGCTGGAAGGAAAAATTAGCCTGGTTCCTTTTTGCACAAAAACATTATCATTCAGTACTGTTATTGGATACGGGGAACATGACTGAAATGGTGGCAGCATGATAAAGGTCTACTGACTTGTCTCTCATCACCTCTGAGAACTTTGCGAATGATTGATACGGCTCCTTCAACGATGGTCTGTAACCTCTCCGTGTCTGACGTGTCGACGACGCCTTCCGGGTTGATAACGCTGGCGGTGATTCTGATTGGTTGAAATAGGTTAGGGGCGGCCGAGCGCTTGTCCCTCCCACTCTCGTAGTTGACCAGGGTGCTCTTGCCGATCGTCTGGGGCTGAACCTGGTCAGAGATGCACTGATGAGACCCCCGGGCGGGGCAGGAGACTTCGGTCGGGCATTGGAATACAAGTGCCGTCGTCACAAACCAGAAGAGAGGGTCGCTAAACCATGATGTCATGTCTCATGGGCAAGTAGTCATGAGTCTTCTAAAGGACACACTGACGGCAAAGTTGCTCTGAAGTTTCCCATGATGTGTAATTCCGTCCTTATCCTGAAACACAAAATGAAAGTGTTTGTAAACATAACAGGGATATAAAGTTGGGATATAATTGGAACTTGTATTGTAGCTCATCATTTTTGAAGCGATCAATTTGCTTGGGTATTTAAACAGGGTTAGGCCAAGTGCATGTAACTTTGGACTTCTACAAATTCCTGATGAGCATTGGAGCTGGAGTTACTCAAGCTACCTGTAAACAGGTACAAGACAGCTAGACTGGTTCCCTGATCTTACAATTCCTGGCGTCCCCTATATTTCATCCTTTTCATCTTAAGTGGGGTCAGGGAACCCGTCTACAAGAACCTGATTGTTTTTTTTTGGTTTTTCCAACTTCTACAAACCCAAAACGTCAAACAAGTCAGTGTAACAATATTTGCTACAAAACTAACATCCCAAATCCGATCCATTTCTGATAACAGCAAAAGCAAATGTTGACATTCCCTTTAAAGCAGGGATTTTATGAGACTCTGACATGTTTAAACTTAAATGCAGAGTAAAGTGTGATAAAAAGGAGATCAGAAATGTGATTGAAAACGGAATTCTCCAAAAAAGTAATACTGCCCCCCCCCCCTACTCACTTTTTCTCAAAATGGAAAGAATTCCATATGCGGACGTGACTTGACACCCTGTGTACAAACCCTATGAGACTGGTCTGAAAAATTATATTTCGCAGTGGCTATTGTTACGGCAGCCGTAACGCATACAAATTTCCCATTTTCTATCGTTACGGTAGACTGCAACTTTTATAAAAACATGAGAAGAAAATATAAAATTAGAACAGAAGGAAAAAAGTGAATTTGGACGTTATGAAATTCGGACTTTATTTCCCTTTTAAAAAAAATCCTCCAAACAAAGCCTCAGGTTAGAAAAGGAAAAAAATTCGAGTGCAAAACTGAGATGCGAACCCGCAACCTCGGGGTGCAAAATCCTACCCTCCATCGACTGAGCTGTCGCACTGCTCGCCAAAACGTGGGGAAACAAATAATTATATACCTAGGCCTACTTGCGTATCAAAAAAGTATCGTAGAGGGCACTAAACAACGGCTGCCGTAACGATAGCCACTTCGATTATATCTATATTTTCCCCCAAAATTTTCAATATTTTCCCTACTAAATTTCACTTTTTACTAGGACATGTTATCACTTTCTGATCGAAAGAAATACGTATGTGGAATTCTTTCCTTGAATGTATATAGAACAGTTAGTACGAATGTGCAAAAATATCAAAATTTCAAGAAAAAGGGTCACCAAATAAACAGCGCCCTCACATCACACCCTGGCACAAAATTGACAATTTTTGTTTTCTAGGCTACCCTCCAAACCCGCCTGCAACCAAATGTTCCGCCGCAGTATTGCACATGTATTATTTTGACATGGTTAGGGTGAGCTTAAATCCATGAAATGTCAAACAAAAATGGGGAATTCGCCAGAATATCGCTCACCGAGATAAGCGTACGATTCTCCACTCCGCCGTCTATCACAAGCATCGTTCGCTGTCGACTGAGGGCGCTTTATCGATGTGCACGCTTTTCTAGATACGAGAGCGTGGCGTAGTTGACCAAAAAAATACTTTTCTGTAAAACGCTGTCGACTGGATTCTAACCATCATGGGAGTTCCAGCCTTCTTTAGATGGTTGAGTAAAAAGTATCCATCCATTGTAGTACATTGCAATGAGGAAAAGGTAGGTTTGGGCAAATTTAAAAAGCGGATGCTCCCGCGGAGATTATTCTTTCCATTGCATTGTTACTTGAGATGGTTAGGACGTCTATTACCGACACACGTACGTACGTGTGTTGTGTACAGTCAGGTTGTCGAGTCACTTCGCCCCGTTTCCACTTCGCCCTGTGGGGATGAATTCCATACTGGATCACCACTTAGGATGGAACGCCGTATTATCGCGGTACTTATCATGTTTCTCGTTCGGAATAGAGATTGCCCACTAACCTTCCAGAATTGTCCTGTCTTATGTGTAGTATAACTCTTCCTTTTTAAATTAATATAAAAAAATCTGACTGGTGGTGTGGTTTATTCCGTGTACGATGCCTGTGAAAATAGACATGCGCGGCGTGTGCGAACGGAGGTGGACTCTCTATTATCGCGGTATGCGGGAAGTGGTTTTTATAATGATCCCAACTTTTTTGTTCATAGTTTATCTTTGACCAAAACACCCCCCTGAATAAAGTCTGATATTTTCCCTGTAACGTTCAAGTTGATTAAAGACAAAATGTCTGCAGGATGATTTCTTAAGACCCTGCCCTTCCCCCGAAAGGAGAACACAAATCCCTGAGGCAAGTCTACTGATCGGCGATTGAGGGCGCCATTCACTTTACACGGTGTGCCGTTTTATTTTCGCTAACGCGCGGTGCTTATTTTGATCCCGTAAAAGTTGTTACGATTTCGCGCTGCAAATATCGTCGTTCGACTTCATTTTACATTTGCAGCTGAAGAATGGGAACCAGACAATGGAACTTTCATGGACAGAGCGCAATTAAAGATTTATGTTAAAATATAAACGGTACCTTTTAGCAGACACGGTGAGGGAAAATTTTGCAAGTTTTGGAAAACGTTAATATTTATTAAAATCGTTAAAAGTCCCGAAAGACACAACATTTTTTAATCGTCCTTTTTATACAACTCGGTAGAAAATCCTTGATAACTGGTGAACTGGATAAAAATCGCCACTTGAAGGAGTTTTGACACTGTTTTTAGGCCAAAATGATGAAAAATATGCCCTTTCCGCACTGAGCCAACCTGACACTTGAAACGTGCACGCATATGATCGAGCGATGATTTTCGGTTCGCTCGGAGCGCGCCGCGGGGGGTACGGTACAGGCGAAATGATAGTATGTGCATGCGTACAAGTGCATGTACCGTACCCCCCGCGGCGCGCTCGATCATATGCGTGCACGTTTCAAGTGTCAGGTTGGCTCAGTGCGGAAAGGGCATATTTTTCATCATTTTGGCCTAAAAACCGACAGAATCCACCTATGTTAGTTCTGCACATGATACGTGAGTATGTCAAGAGATAAAGTACGGAGTATAGGGGCAAACTGTGCAGCGGTTCTGTGTGAAATGTCTCCATTTTGATGGACGTTTTTGTACTTTATTAGTGTTTTGTGCTGCAGGCAATTTTGCAGGCTTCTTGATCTATGAGGCTCCACTACGTGGAGCCTCATAGTTCTAGGAGTACACGTCATGCAGAATTAAGTTGAAGGCAGCCGGTCAAATTGATTGAAGTGTGGAAGACAGCAGTATGTTATATGCATGACATCGACAACCATGACAACACATGAACTGGCCAATGATAGTGCAATACATCATTATGAATATTCAATTTCTCATGAATATTTAGTTTATTTCAGTGGATTCTTCAAATACGTCCAAAGATTGATCATTGCAATACAATGGTGCGCGTGTTCTAGTTGTAAAAGTCTCGTCTTTCAAGCAAGTGTCAGAGGTTCTAATCTTGATTAAAAAGTGACTGATTAATAAATAGGAATAAAGAAAAGGAGAGGGTGAGAGTAGAGGAGGGAAAGTGGAGGAAATAACCTGCGTAAAATGCAGCTGGGCTGGTGTAGTGTCAATTTAGGACTATTAAATACTGATTCTTTGGTAGTATTGCCCATGCCTACGTGAGGAATTTGAACGTTCAACCAATGAAACATTAAAAGGCACTGGCTTTCAAGGGAGTCCAAATTTCATGTGACACTGGAAAAGTGTTAAAGACCAGCCAGCCATGTCTTTATCATTCGTTTAAGATGGGCCACGTGACAGGCTCTCGACCAATAGGAACGAGTAAACTGTATTAGGTAATTATGAATTCTTGTTTAAAGATATAGTCCATCATTTGTAATTTGTGCATTTTGTTCATTTGAAGCAACAAAAGTGTTCAAAATCTAATAAAGGATACTGAACAACTAACCTGATGAAGTTTCGGCTCAGCTTCTGAGAAAAACAGCATTCTAGGATCTCAATTTCAAATCAAAAGTTGCTGAATCATGTTTGAATTGTTTTGAATTGCAGCTATACGCGATGTCGCGCACTGATCCGATGAATTATAGCAACCGCGCGTGCCTGTGCGTCGTGCCAATGCTTGCGCGCGCTGCGCCGAATAACAAAACGAACTACTAATTTAAATTTTCCCACGTCTTAAGACGCACCGTTGGAAAGGCCTTCTTTCGTTAATTACTTCAAAATGATAGCTTGCCAGAAAGATTAATTTCACATGTAGTTTAGTCCACTTACTATCTTTCAACCAAGTATGTTTTTCAACAATAATACGCCAGTTACTTTTTCGGATGGCTGCAAATGATGGACTATAGTTTTAAAGAACATTCATGGAATAAGTACCATTATTATTATTACACATACATATATAATAATTTCTATAATATTATTATTATTATAGTATTTAAATTCTTTAATCAGTTAAAGGAAGTGGATGGAGTGACGATACCAGTGGACATCAGTGAACCCAACCTGAATGATGTGGAGTTTGACAACCTGTACCTGGATATGAATGGCATCATTCATCCCTGCTGTCACCCGGAAAACAAGTCAGTTTCATACACCTGACCATTTATCCATGGGTTTGGCTCTCATATTTGTCTAACCCTAATCTTCCCAAATCCTCCCAAATCCTCTTTGCCAAATGGAGGATTTTGGAGGATTGAGATTGAGGCTGTATGCAATTTTTACATGGAGGCAGTTGGAGGAGTTTGAAAGATTGAAGCTATATCCTAGCAAAAATGCCCAGTTGGGGATAAAGTTACATTTTGCAGTGTGGGCTGGGTGATTAATTTTAACTTGGAATCAGAATAGTGTCTCCACTTTTTTTGAGGAATCCACTCCCTGCATGAGCCGATTTGAGAGTTGTCTGAATTCTGCTGGTTTGTTTTCTGTACATGCACGCACATTTGCTTTCACTGGGGTAATGCATTACCAACTTTTTGTCAGCTTGCTCTAGTAAACCTTTTCTCTCTGGATTTGGTTTTAAAAACGACACACTTTCAACACGATGTAGGAATAATGTCAACCTGTTTTCAACTTTACAAAGAAACAGAGACTGTCGGTACGTGTTTAGTTTGCATCTGCATGTACTGACTATACAGGGTGAGTAAAAAAAAGGAAAACCCAAATGGTGCCCCCTATTATTTTAAAGAATTTCTGCATGTAGCGTTTTCCAAATCTAGGGTATGAAAGCCCAAGTAATAAGCTTTCGTTGAGTGGGAGAATCATTCAAATCGCTCATGTACTTTTCCAGTTATGGAATTTTGAACACAAACACTTGTCTACGGATCACAACAATTTTAAGATACGTGATATTGCAGTAAAAATGAAACCATGTCATATTCGGAAAATGATATCGCAATAAGCTCGTAAGTCTCCCGGGTAGCCAAGTAGAAGGCAGGGCAAGTACAAAAAAATTGGAACAGGACCTCATGTGCTACCTCTTTGTGTTCTCAACAGACCGGCTCCCAAGAATGAGAATGAGATGATGGTGGCCATCTTTGAGTACATCGACAGACTGATGCGCATCATCCGTCCACGACGTCTGCTGTACATGGCCATTGATGGCGTGGCCCCCAGGGCTAAGATGAACCAGCAACGATCGCGTCGCTTCAGGGCGTCCAAAGAGTCTAGGTTAGTTGGATACAAAATCTTAACTCTTGCTCTTAGGTGTGCTTTTCAAATCTGTCAAACACTGTCTAGTAGTGAACTTATGGTTTGATTTTACTACACTTTAACAAGTTTGTGAAGTTGAACCACATCACTTTTGTGAAGTTGAACCACATTTGTAGTGATACACTCTTTGCATGAACTTCTGATGTCAACATTTTGCTAGTTTCCTATAATAACACCTTTTCAAATCAAAGAGGAATTTTCAAAATCAAACCTGTTGAAGTTTCAGCTTAGTGAAAAAATGTTTTCAAACATCGTAAAACCAGCACCGCCTCGTGATCACGAAACACAATTTCATCAAGAGAACTCTTGATTTCCAACGATCAGTCAAATGACTGATCTTTAGAAATCACCTACATTTCTTGATTTCTTCTAAATTACAATCCAAGTAAACATTTAGATAATAATTTGCTAGCTTATTTTTTTAGACAATTGCAAATAATCCTATATGCCTGGATGTTCATCCACAACATCTTTCCGTAAGTGCCAGTCATGCATGTATGACAGCAGTCGTCTTGTCTAACTCTCTCGGAAACCACAGAGGGATGCTTGTGCATGGAGCCTTTTACCTACAAATTTGCCAACAATCTGCTAAACCAATTATTTGGATTTTGGCAGATTTAGGGTCACTCTGTTTATTAACAGGGGTGTGAAATCTCAGCTTTTTTTGTGTTGGATTTCAGCTTTTTTTTCTCAGCTTTTTCCCTCACTTGCTGTGTACAAAAGTAAAGGAGATTTCCAAAGTTCAGCTTTTTTTACGCCTTTTTCAGCTGTTTTCAGCTATTTTTATCAGTGGTCACTCACACCCCTGTATTAATCACGATGGTAATGAGAAGTTATAGAGGCTCTTTTCAGATTAGAAAGAGCATGATCAAGTAAGAAAAACAAAGTAACAAAGGAACATTTGGGATCCAGCTGTAAGTGATTGTTGGATCTTTCCGTATCACTTGTCCAACATTTATGAGAACTTGTCACAGAAAACCATTGTTTGCCTGCACAGTTTTAAGGATGTTGGGTGATTGAGGAAATATATGTAACCCAAAATAATAGGGTTGATCTTTTTTGGGGATGCAAGCCCTACTTTGAGAATTTAATCAAGTGAACTTCAAGCCAGTTGAGAAACACACAAACCAAGTTTTATAAAAATCAGGTCAACAAAACTTCAGAAGGTGTACTTCGCTGACACCTTTAATTCTTAGTCCTCTAATCTGCTATAGTACTTTTGGGCATAATTTCCTTCTTTCCATTCTTCAGAGAAAAGAAAGACGACCTAGCTCGCATCCGAGAGGAGGTTTACTCAAGAGGTTGTTGCCTTCCGCCTCCTAAACCCAGCGGGGAGCACTTTGACAGCAACTGCATCACTCCGGTAAGTGTCTTGTAATCTCAACCTTCACAGATTCTTAGGCCCCTAACCCTCCTGGGAATTTTTGGTTAGAAACCCTGCTGAACGCAGCTAAATGCAACAATTGTCAAAAATGACAAGCCTGCTTGGTGAAGCAATATCCATCAAGTTGGAAATCTCATTGACAAAATGCCCCAGATTTTGTGGTTGCCAATTGCGTCAGGGTACATCAGTTGCATTGTTCAATGGGACTAGCTCTCATTGTCTCAGATTTGGCAGTCTGTGCACTGGTGTTGATGGCTCAATGCAGCAAGGTCCCACAGACTTTGACACCTGATGCACTGTGTTGCGTATGGCAGGGTTAGGGTTAAAATCCATCAGGAGGGATTTTGCATGATTGAGAAAACGTATGTGTACATGTAGAACACAGCCAGTTACCTTACATGGGGTGAGGGGGGGGGGGGGGTTGGGCTTGATGCCCATTGAAGGTTTTCTACAAAATGGAGGATTTTTGGAGATTTCATGAGGATTCCTAGCAAACATGCACCGCACATTAGCGTCATCAATTCATTTCTAACACAACACATTAGTGTAGCTACGTACGTGGTTGTTTATTATTGTCCGGAATGCTAATTTGTGGAATGCGTAATCCTTCCAGAACCTGAGATGAAACTTTTCCGATTTTAATCGGAAATCTGACTTTGTCAAATTTATTTCCCAAATTTTTCTAACAATGTTTTACAGGTACATTTTGTACATGTAAGAAGGGAACTTCTTTGTTGCTGAGTACTTTTACTCTAACCGAAATTTAGGCTTCTTAATAATGGAAAGATTGAACAAATTGGGCATGAAGTGTATTGTACATACGTACATACATTTATGTGAAAATGCGGCGCATCCCAGATTTCGGACACAGATTTTTGTTCGGCCATTTTTACGATTTTGTTTTTCCATTTTTGCGATTTTGTTTTTCCATAGGCCAGTTTCATCTCTGATAAACACAGACATAGGATCGATAACAGTGTTCCCACAAGAATGAAACAATAGCACATGCCCAAGGGTGCTAGGCCACTCAGTCACAATTCATCAAGAGTCAATCAAAATCCATCTAGTCTCCGACAAGTCATGAACTTCTCAAGTGAATTATGACAAGACATTGCTTTGTCATTGTTCTTCCTCAAATAACTGTTACCTGACGTCTGATATAGCTCACGATTTGATTTCCGATTGACTTGCGACTGACTTGATTGTAACTCTCATGTGCTATTCTGGGCAGAAAGAACTACCTCTGAACGGTTGTACAAACGTACTTCCAAACTTGCTTCAAGTCCAATACTGATTACTCTAAAGAAGCCCTGAACACTTGCAGTTTGTTTCGTTGGGTTGGGTCTGTGTTACTCATTTGTATGCTCCATGTTGTATTTTCAATTTGTACTCGTGCTGAACTCTGTTTTTTTTCCCCGCATCTTTATTCCAGGGAACGGAGTTCATGGCAAGGTTAGCGGAGTGTCTCCGCTACTACATCACAGACAGGATCAACAACGGCCTAGGATGGCAGAACATCAAGGTAGGGTTTTGCACCCGAACCGGGCACCCGGTCTTAAAGAGTTGAGTGACATAGAAATCAGTCTGGTCCTGAAAGATGAATGTGATTTTGAGAAATGCAAAGGGTCTCCAAGCCCAGGAAATGCCTCTTTGATAGCTTCGAATCTGAGTAGATAGATCTTTTCTCTGTTGGTTTTTGCATAGGTGATCTTGTCTGATGCTAACGTGCCAGGGGAAGGAGAGCATAAGATCATGGACTACATCAGAAGACAGAGAGGTAGGCTTTCCATGCCACCCATGGAACTTTCATTTCACATCATTTCCACTCAGGAAACTCTTCCAGAAATTCTCTGTCGCAGAGGCATGCTGCACACACATGTTGCTCTGTGCCAAATGCACATTACGCACTATGCCTTTGGTAAAAGGCATATAGGATCAATTTGCTCGTCATGCATTTTGTTCGTTTCCAATAATAAAACCACTCAAAATCCAAAGAAGAATGTAGGGAAAGAGTGTACTACATGTATCCAGTCACCACTCCTTTGGTTGTGTACAAAGTTTATGGAGAGTTCAGGCATGCAACTTTTCCTCGGATCCGCTGATTTCCTTGTTTATTATTTCTCATGACTGCCATTACAAATTGAAAAACAATGTACAAATCCTTGTGTGGTTTGGAATTTCCTCGTTTGTTCTAAATTCCCAGTTGCATACCTGAGAGTTGAGTGCATTTTCAAAGTATTTTCTAACAAAATTGGAGTTGTTTATCGGTCCCAGATTCATGTCTTTTCAGCAGTTTTGCAATGATTGACCTTCATTGAGATAATGTATGTGATGCGATCAAGCTAAATGAGTTGTTTGTCTGGAATTTTTATGTAGAGATACAGGCCAAAATAGGGCCACTTCATCACATCACTGCATCACATCTCTTGGTGTTCCGACTTCCATAATTTTTGAACTGAAGATGGTATCAGCATGCGGTTTTCACAGCAGTAATGCTGAGATTGTGCTCTTTTGAAATTTGTAATAAAAAAATTTTTGACCTGGGTCGACAAGCGACTCATGTACTTGATGTAGCTTGATGACATCACATATCATGAAAAAAGTGGCGTCAGGATGTTCAGGTAACATTCTTTCCGAATGTTCAAAACCTAACTTGTTGAAGTTTTAGCTCAGTAGATATTAAAACATTTGTGAGAAAACATTGAAAAACTGTTCACAACTTTTTGATCATGAAACCAGTTATTGTCCATACCACTCTTTATTTCCAACGATCAGTCAATTGAAAGCCAGGCAGACATAATAATCTCACAGAATGTTTAGTACCAGTGTAATCTTTAATAGAAGTAAGCTTTTTTTTTATAAGTTTTTTTTTGGTAAGTTACTTTTGGGGTAAATGCAAATGATCCCGTATGCCAGATTGTATTGGAGTGATGTAAAATGATGTCACATTTGGTACACACGTGACCGTTCTAAACCAAAGGAATTAAAGTATCAGAGCGTAATATGAAAACCAGTTGATAAAGCAATAATAAATTGATATGTAGCCAGTTGATTTCAACACGGCAATCAAATCAAGAACCAAAGCTGAATCACTGTAGGCGCCAACCAACATGGCCTAGAGTTAAAAAATGTGGGATTCCATAGGATATATATCCCTTAGTTCCCATATAATTTTCTGTAGGTGCCCTGTCGAGTCCAACAAAATCCATAAACTGCAAATGTTTCTACTGTGATGATAACAGGGGCTTCCCTGTCTACTTGTCCATGCTCATCTCATCTGATGCAGTGAAAATGAGACATTTGTGAATTTGTTCAATTTTTCTTAGGTAACCCCGACCACGATCCGAACACTCATCACTGTCTCTGTGGAGCTGATGGTAAGTGTGCATGTGATTTGTTGATTTTTGATTTGCGATTTGTTGCTTTAGCTCATTTAGCCAGCATACCATATATGGACGTATAATTCTGTGGTTTGGAGAAAATATTTCCAACATTTGTCAGTAAGTTTGTTAAAAGATTTGTTTTTTTTTACACACTTGATAATCCAGTACACATCTATTAACCCTTACTCTCTGAGGGTAGTTTACTGCATGTCAGTTGGTTATGCCAATGCCCTCCAGCTGCAGTTTATTGGCAGATAGTTTGTCTTAACAGTGAAGGCTCCAATTGGCAGGAGTTGGAGGCCCTGGAGGGTGCCTGATATTGACCAGCTGGGGGCACTCACTTTGTTATCAGAGGACTCTCATTGTTCTCTGTGGCATGTATTGGAGTGCCTGTCCAGTTACCCTTGAAATGACATGGCAGATATTGGAGGGCCATGCAAAAAACATAGGAGAGTTTCTTGAGGCACATATTGGCATGCGTTGGAGGGTCTAGTAGGGTAAGGGTTAAATAAAAATTTGCACAAACTGAATAGGAATATTGCCAACTTTATGATTGTTGAGTGTTCAGTTTTGCATTTCACTATAATTTTGCAAGCACCGTATTATTCAGCACTTTTTATGAGCTGACACAGAAACATCACAAGCTTGCTGGGGTGGGACTCGACTGAGTATTCAGCACTTATAAAAATTAAGTTGGTGAAGGGCAAAACCCATAAATCTTTCTATTTCTGTATGAAATGGGATTATTGTTCAGTTTATAAATTAATTTGGTACTGCGTACCATTCTATTAAAACAAGTAAGAATGTATCCTAACATTGTGTCTTTTTTTCCCTTCCGTTGTGTTTTCTACCACAGCGGATCTGATCATGTTAGGTGAGTGAAATAATTTTACTTCTTTATGACACAGGTAGATAGTTAATTGACTGGTTGAAATGGAGCAATTTTCAGTTAATGACTGACCGACGAGGTCAGCACCCAATTTCAAGAAAATTCATCGTAACTAACGATGCATCGTATCCCTACAATGCGCGTCCTGCGATTCATTTCACAAAACACGTCGTAAGTGTGACGTGTCGTACATGTAGGTATATTTAAAGCACATGTGTATTTTTTTTAACGTACCGTAAATAGTTGTCAGATTTTCAGCAACGAGTGGTCAGATCTCCTCTCGAAAAGTTTTTAAAATGTAAAACAAAATGGCGGACGTGTGATGCAAATTTTAAAGGAAAACAAGCTCACGATGGACCGTTAGCTACTTTGAGATTTCAACTGCAATATTCCAGGCTAATGCATATTTACCTTGATGCAGTTTCCATTTACAACTTACACATTGTGTTGGTATTATAGTCTCGTTCCTTTAATTTCTATGGCATAAATCTGGCTAAGAAAAGGACACTTCTTACTACGCGATGACCACAAGACACGTCGTAACTTGTGATGTGTTTTAAGCCATCGTCAAGGAACTTATGACACATTAAATTCATTGAAAGTTTTGCGAAATGGATCCTACAACACGTTGCAAGTTGCAACGTGTTAATGCGTTGCAACTTGAGTTGCAATGCGTTGCAGTGCTTTGTGAAATCGGGTGCAAGCTGGTTGGGAATGTTTGTCAGCTAGAGGATTATGCTTGTTTATAAAAATTACCATTTTCATGGTTTGTAAATTTCAGAATTCCTACTTGACAATTTCCAGGAATCTTTAGCCTTTACTCTTGGATTCCTTTGTTCTTTGTCCCTGTTTGTGAATCCTGTGTTTCTTGTTGGTGTATAGGTCTTGCCACCCACGAGCCCTACTTCACCATCATCAGGGAGGAGTTTAAACCCAACCAGAAGAGGCCGTGCGAACTCTGCAATCAAATGGGTAAGGGTTTCGTCTTTGGAGACTTCCCTCGCAAAAAAACCTAGATGTCCCCACCACAGCCTTTGTTCGTCATCGTTTTCACGAAGGGACGGGCATGTAAAAAATGGCCATTCTATTTTTTTTCTCACTATTTTGCTTTAGAATATTGTGCTTTACCATTCTGACATGCTTCCGTAAGCAAAACATCATGAATTTATAAATAACATTAAAGATGCCATGAGCTGGCATCTCAATAATTGCAGTTGGCGTTTTCACATGCCTGCCCTTTAAACACGTACAAAATGTATTGCACGGAAATGCGTAAATGTTGGTCAACTGATATTTTCATTTGCACGAAGGGACGGGCATATTTTTTTTCTCAGCTGCACGAGCGTGAACATGTGCTCCCCTTGCCTATGAAAAAACACACTGAACAGAAGGGCATAACTGTAGGAAAACTCAAATTTTCATTTTCACGAAGGGGCAGGTATCCCTGGATTCATACAAAAGTTGACCTTCCAAAGAATCATGTGAAGGTTTCCTCACTGCATAAAGTTGTTGCAAAGTAGCAGTTTTTGCAGTTTTAAAATAGGAGAAACTTCTCTTGTGATTATCTCGAAAACATTTTGTCTTCAAAATGCTCATGCCTGTCTCTTCGTGAAAACAGTGATGAGTAGTGCTCAAGATTTTCCCCACAAAACCCCACAACTGATGAAAATTCATTTTACAACACCTCACCAAAACCTAACAGTCACTTTGCTTTAACATCAGTCCCTTTATCCTTTGTCCTTATCCCACTCCAGCCACGTCCTCCCCCTCCCAATTTGCCTTTCCTGATCCATCTTGGCTCTTTTTAACAATACAAAATGGCATATTTTTTATGATTTTGTTTTATAAATTGGATTTGTCTTTCCTAGGTCATGACCTGAAGGAGTGCACAGGTTTACCCAAGGAGATGGAAGGAGAGGTAAGTCAAACATCATGTTGAACCCTTTCAGTTTGCATGTACTTCAAGCCCATGTTGGCGTCACATCCCACACACTTTTTGATCCAACCAAAAATTGAAATCATGTGATTAGTTCTCACAGGAAGAAACTTTCCTTTTTGCTAGTTTCCCCCAAATTTCTTTCTTTCCTTACAGTTTGATGAGCTTCCTGCACCTATTGGAGAGGAGACGCAGTTCATTTTCCTTCGACTCAACATCTTGAGAGAGGTACAGTTTGCCCTTTTGGGCTCTCAAAGCTAGGTCAGAGTCCAAAAAGGGAAAGGAAGAGCTAGAGTCTGGTTCCCAGACTTAGTTCATTTTGTAGTTCACACTTCACCACCCTTGATGAGTCCTAGCATGCCTAGCATGCTTCAGCATATTTTTTTACCCTTCATGCCACATGCAGTCTTAAAGATGTGTGCCTTGTGTTCTCATAAAAAATAACATGTTCTCCTGAAGGAATTTTAAATTTGTACGTTTTGTTTTAATGAAAAGTCTACTATTCTCTGATTTGGGGTGTCTGCAGCCCTCTGAAAAAAAGGGCGTTCATTTTGCTCACAAAGTAACCCACCCTGCAAGAGCTGAATTATTGTCAGGTCCCAATTGAATTTGACTTTTGTGAAGTATTTAAAATAAATCACAAACTAAATGTCAGTGGTTTTTGTTCGAATGTCTCGTTCAAAAGTGAATAACTTTTATATTGCGAGGAAAATAGCAAAGAAAAAACAACATCTGTTTTTCTGTGTCAATCTTTAACTAGCACGGGGATAGGTCTGTATTGCTAGAAATTCAAAATGTTAATAGCCAACTGTTTTGAGAGTTTCGAGTATCATTTATTTGTTTTCAAATTTTCCTTTGTGTTTTATTGCTTTGCCAGTGCACTGTGCTCTTCCTATTTTTCTGAAGTCTTATGACTCAAAACATGGCTAAAGAAGGCCATTAGTTTTAGCTCTGGTTGTTGAGAATTTTTTCTTCCATAACTTGAAGATCGCAAACTTGTTCTACAGCAACAGGCTACAACGTAAGTGAAAGCATAGCAGTTTGCATTTCTCAATTCTCTTGCTTTAAGTTCAGTTTCTTCTTGAATTCAACAGTACTTGGAAAAGGAACTGTGGATGACCGGACTGCCATTTACATTTGATCTGGAGGTAAGTCTGAAACTGAAACTGGATGTCTGTAAAACAGTTTTAAATGGGCTTAGTGCGCAAACACAGCTTTTTTTTACAACTTTCGCAAGTCCAGGGGATGGGACACACCGCGTGCGTATGTGGGCGGGCTGTCACCGCATTATGGGGAGGTTTTTATTGTTAGGGAAATTAGGACTGAGTTATGGGGACTTTCTGCTGTCTCCATAGTGTCTTTGGTCCCCATAGTACCATGAGACAATTCATGTGTAGTCCCCACAGCTACGGAACAAGTATGTGTGTTCGCTAATATCGCGAAGTACACACAACTTGGTTTATTCATAATGTGTACAAGGCCAAAGTGTCGTCAGCAATGCGTTCACATGTCTCTTCCAGAGGTTTCCCCCAACTCTCCCTATCTTACCGTTGAGGGAGTACTTGTGCACGGAGCCCATCATTGATCACAGTCCTTCATTTGAAGAAAATCCAGGAGAGCTATAAATCGCTCTCGCTCTCCTTAAAATCTACGGATATACAGCGGTAAAACGACGGGTTACTATTGTTTTTGTTTTATTTTGAATATAAGGATTTATTCAAGGGGCTGCATTATTATTAGTTTTTGCATAATAACATATGCTCAAGTTGCGTTACTTTTTTCGTTTTTGTTACTGTAAGACAAGGTAAAATTTATTTTAAAAAACTAACTAAATGGAGATTAATAAAAGGTTTGACTACTGCTTAGGCTTTCATTTTTTAATACAGTTGTCAGTTGGTTCATCACTTGATTATACTTGGAAAATGGAGAGTTAATAAACGGCACATAAAGCAACTGAAAATTTGCTTTCAGATTCGTTACAATTATATGAAATGTTATATAATAAATTATACAAAGTGCTACCGGAAACAGCCCATTTGTCTTGAAATACTTTCGACATGAAGTGGTTGATCCCACTCTGAAGGAGATTTTATTTCTAACGGGTGGCAATAAGCCATTTGCGAGTTAAATTTGAATGAAATCTGGAATGCTGACTTAATCCAATGCTTTGCACGTTTTAACTTTGCATTCTCCCGACCAAAGAGACTGTTACTATATCATGTGATTCGGGGCAAGCCTTATGCTAGCAACCCCCAGCTCCAGCATGGTATGGTGTCTTTGTGCCATTCTCACCCATTGTGAACAATGTATTGGTGCTGAGCGTCTCTTACGTAACTATGCAAGAGCTTGCCCCAAATCATGTGATTAGCAACAGTGTCTTTGGTCTGGAGAATTCAACGTTAAAATGTGCCAAGCATTTTGAACAAGTCAGTGTACCAGATGTTTTTCAAATTTAAATCCCAAAAGGTAAAGGTCACTCGCAAATGGCTTATTGAGTCAATCACAAGTCCAATCATAAATCAATTCTTGAGTCGGGTTACTGTGCAATGAGAAAGGAATGTCGTTGTCGCAGTGTGACTGGACTTGAGACTGGGTGACTTGTAATTGACTTGTTGTGATTTTTTGGTGACTTGTGACTGACATGATTAAAACTCTTCATACAGAGTACATCTGTACATATGCTTCCTACACTGATGTTTTCCTTATATTTCCTTTTTGTTTCTAGAGAGCCATCGATGATTGGGTCTTCATGTGTTTCTTTGTGGGCAATGACTTCCTACCTCATCTGCCATCGCTAGAGATCAGGTGAGATCACTGATAGCCATTCCCTTGATTGGTTGGATGGTTTTTTCAAACATGGAACAATTTTTTATATGTGTGATAGTGACTGGAACCAGATGGATATGGCCCACATTGATACAGATATTTAAACGATAACAGCAATAAACAGTGGAGGTTTTTCTTCTCTCTATATTTGCATTATATAGGGAGGGTGCAATCGACAGATTACAGAAGCTGTACAAGAAAGCTGTCTACAAAACAGGTGTAAGACATCATCAGTTAACCATGATCAAGCTTTAATTCACATTCATTTATTTAACTCTTTCGAGCAGCAATGGAGCTCAGACATACACAGATTGATTTTTCGTGTACTTATTCATTTCTGAGTTTAAAGTGACAGCTGAAGTGTTGAACATTTGTTAGAAATAAACTATATTTCGATAAAATATACATGTAGATAATAAGTTTCAAGATGATATAAATATTACATTTGTGGCTTTTGATTTTTTAAAGTCTTAACATTGAGGTGTATAATTCTGTGGAATTGCCCAAATCTGGAATCTTATTTGTTTTCCTTTTTGTGGTTTAAATAACCAGATAAATCATTAGCCTCACATCCTGACTGAATCATTTTTTTCTGTTGCTAGGGTTACCTGACAGACAGCGGGATTGTGAATCTTGAACGGGTGCAGCTCATAATGACAGGTATGAGTAAAGCTTGTAACCAAATGCCTCAGATATTTCTCAAGCTTCGACTAAAGCTTCCCATTGTTGTGTTGCTGATCTGTGTAATGTTTTCAACTCGGTGTCTTTGGCTTAGGCCAAAAAAAAAAAAGTCTCCGGTTTTTGGTATGGAGCTTGCCCAAAAAATGGTGCGGCGACGCGGCTTCTTTTTTTTTTTAACTGATCTTTTTTACCTCAAATGTCGGCTGATGACTGCAAATGGTGCCCGACTAAACTTAGTGCAAATATATGGGCGTCCAGAGAGGCCACATAAAGCTTATTCTCGATCATAACCCCATCCAAAAACACGTTAAAATTGTGCAGCAGCAGGATTCCAGTCAAACCATTGAGTTTGGCGGTTTTGAGACATCATCTTTCATTGAAAAAAAAACTTTTTCATTTTGCCGACGCGCATGGCTACGGCGACGCGCGCGCATACCAGAAACCGGAGACTTTTTTTTTTTGGGCCTTAGGGAAATCAAATATTGTTTAAATCTGGGTTTTTTTAAAATGCATTTTGATATGTTGATTTTTAAAGGGAATAAACAACATTTGCTTTTGCTGTTATTTTCAGAATTTGATGGATTTTGGGTTTAGTATTTAATTTTATATCTGTCTCATTTTTGAGCTGTAACAAAAAAAGAGAGCTTTGTACAGCGTACTGTTATACATTACATGCATTTGAAGCTTTTTTTTTAATTCCTTAAACAAAAAGTTCTTTTTAAATTACTGACTTGATGCTTCCTTTGTGAGAGGAAGTTTAATGCTATTTATAGCTTGTAGTTGAATAACAATCATCTCTTTTTCGTCCTGCATCAGACCTTGGTGAAGTTGAAGACGAGATCTTCAAGCAGAGGAGACAGAACGAGCTACGATTCAGACGGAACCAGAGGGATAGGAACAAGCGCATGAAAATGGTAACGGAATTGTATACAATCATTGAAATTGCTCCTTTTCTACCATAAGACACATTTTGTACTTTTTCCCCCAATGTAATGTTTGCTCAGTGGTACTACTCGTCTTCGAACGCAGCCGGGTTCGAATCCCGCTTGAGCCAATGTGAACATTGGGATTTTATGTCCCTGACCTTGTATTCTATGATTTCTCTCTGGATTTATAGTGACTTGGGAGGCTCATTTCGTCAAAAATATAGCATTGGTGTGTTTGTAAGATTTCTGAGCTGTATTCGTGTAGACTTTTTGAGGAATAAAAAAATTGGGGAAGAATTCCATACATGGACATCACTGATTTTTTTCCCTGCAGTGACCTATCAGCCATCAGAAAGCAATAACATGTCCTAAAAAGTCAAATTTAGCAGGAAAAATATTGAAGCATTTACTGAGAAAACACGTGGAATTTTTCAGACCAGTCTCATAGGGTTTGTGCACAGGGTGTCAAGTGATGTCCAGGTATGGAAGTCTTTCCAGAAATTGTTACATCACCACATAGTGCATTGTTACAGTGTTTATTGAAAAGGTAAAAAGAAAGACATATTTGAGTAACTCAAGTATTATTTCATCTGCAGGACCATTCTTTTGTTAAAGGCGGCTTATTGGAACCAAAGGTACGTGCACAGATATAATTCTGTTAACTCATATAATACTTTAAAGCTATAGTCCATCATTTGTAATTAGTGCATTTTGTTCGTTTGAAGCAACAAAAGTGTTCAAAATCTAATGAAGGATACTGAGCAACTAACCTGATGAAGTTTCAGCCAGTGTTTCCCCTGCCCATTCTTTTGTGAGGCGGCCCGCCTCGGGACTTTTTGAGGCCGCCTCGGCCTTTTTTGGCCAATGTTGCCGCCTCACGGGTACGAAAAAGGAATAAAAAAAAAATTATAATCAAATCTGTACATTTTATGTGTGTGTCTTTGTATTTCACCTTCGAATTCTCCGGACTCGGTGTTCTTTGAGATCGTCATTCGTACCGTAAACCATGGAGGAATAAGAAACGAAGACGATGTACATGTACGTCCAATTCTCTAGCTAGTATGGAGCCTTTTCAACGTCCGTGTGTATATTACTGGTCGAGTCTGGGTGCATGTCAACTCGAGATTTTCGACTGAGTGACGAAGTGACAATGATCCCATTTATGGATACGTTGCGCAATCCTAAAAATGAACGCGCAGATCCTCCGTGCTTAACAAGGCAGATAGTCCAGAGTGCTGCGCACGTTCCGGCTGATTCGCAGTGAGCTCCTCATGTGCAATTGGGCAAGTGGTGCGACGATCGTTGGTTGCACAGCACGCGTGCGTACATTACGTATGACCTGGTACCCTGCTCAGCCTGCCAAGCGATCACGATATCGGTGAATGTAATTTTTTCGTTTTCCGAAGGCTACACAACGGTACCATGTAACGGTTTTCCAATCAAAAATCCTCAAAATACATGCATAAGAAGTCCATGAAATGGGGTTTATTCGGAAGCTTGGACTTTCAGGAGAACACGAAAGTTGTTTTTTTGTCAAAAAATAATGCTGGCCCGTTCCGGCAGCCGATGTTATCGGCATGCCGCAACGCGTGATTACGCGTACACGTGCATGTTCCGTGTTGCCGCGTTGTGTGTACCGTGAATGGAGCTGTATTTTACCCGTGTGTTACGGCGGGCTGTGTGGTCGCATTGCGGTGTGGGCCCAGAGTCAGTCGTACAATCGTGCGGCGCGGTGTTAGTGTTACGGGGGGAAAAAATCATAACTTTTCTGTAACAAGTGATAAAAAGCTGATTCAAAATTCAAAATATTGTATATTTTATAAGGATTCTTCTGATATTAAACATTTTGATCGATTCGAAACATTTAGAGGTGTTAAAATAATAATATTTTGACACTAAAAATTTCAGAATGTTTTCAATTTCATTGACTTTTTTTTATTTTAACTATTATATCTCCAGAACGCAAGCTCATATGAAACTAATTTAAACGTTATTGATTTTGTCGTGTGATTCTCTTTCCAATTATACCAAATTTTCCAGGGTTGTAAAAAAAATCCAAAGAGTGCTTGACTCCCTGGTGGTCGGGGTGGTGGTAGCCCTACATTTTCACAAATAAATAGGGGCCTATGTTGGATTTTTTTGAAAAAAAATCAATTATTTATATCAATATTTTATTCAATATACTGCCCAAAAAAGTAAGAAGAAAGTGACCTCAAATGCCTCACATTGCACCACAGAGCGTCTAGAATGCAAAATTTTTCGGGGCCCTTAAGCGGGCCCCGAACCCCACGCTGCAAGGGCTTCGCGCTTCGCGCTCGCGGGTCTGTTTTCGACCAAATTTATTTTACCACCTCACACCTTCCACCAACCCAGGGGAAACACTGGTTTCAGCTAAGCTTAAGCTGTACATTCTGAGAAAAGCAGCATTCTAAGATCTCAATTTCAAATCAAAAGTTACTGAATCATGTTTTGAATTGTTTTGAATTGCAGCTATACGCGGCGTCGTGCACTGATCCGACGAATTATAACAACCGCGCGCGCGTGTGCGTCGTTCCAATACTTGTGCCCGCTGCGCTGAATAACAAAACGAACTACTAATTAAAATTTTCCTACGGTGCTTCTTAAGAATCACCGTTGGAAATGCCTTCTTTCGTTGATTACTTCAAAATGACAGCTTCCCAGAAAGAATAATTTCACAGGGAGTTTAGTCCCCTTACTATCTTTCAACCAAGTTTGTTTTTCAACAGTAATTACGCCAGTTACTTTTCGGATGGCTGCAAATGATGGACTATAGCTTTAAGTTACTGCAATCTAATGTAGAAAGTTGTAATGATTCTTGGTCTTGTGTGCGTGATGCTGAAGCCTGTGTGCAGGCCTACACCGCGTTATGGGGAAGTTATTTATTGTTGGGCAAATTAGGACCGAGTTGGGACTTTCTGCTGTCCCCACGGCATTTTCAGTCCCCAAACATACCTCGTACAGACGAATGTATGTCCCCACAACTACGAAACAAGACTGTGTGTGCGATGCAACTCACATATACGCTACATAAAAAAAAATCAGCTTCAGGGCGGTCTTGATTAACCCTCCTATGCAAACATACATTCTGTGCCAAGTAGTCCTCTCAGTAAAAATCAATCAAGTGGCTGTTTTCAACAGCTAAGAGCTCCCAGCCTTCATAAAGCAGGATTTACTGGCTGGGACTGTTTATGTAACTTGCTAGAGCTATGCTTTGACTCCAGGTGATTGATAAGCCAGCTGTGACCGCAACTGGCCTGTTTGGTCTGTTCATGGTCTGTTGACTGAGTTTGACTAGTCACAGTGTTTGCTTGACTTATGATCTGACTGCTGATGACAGGCCTGTGCTTAAAGTTCATCAGGGGAAGTGGATAGAAATTTTTACTGTCTGTGACTGTTTAAATAGTAAGAAGGAAAAACAACACTGAGTCTCAGTGGAAGTGTGTGTCATTAAAGACGTGTTTTTCACTCCCAGTGTAAGATGTAGAACATAAATTGGTTTGAAAGAAAAATTTGAAATAGACCTTGTGCACGTTTGTCATTTTTGTGGCCATTTTTGTTTTTTAAATATACGCCATGTCTGAATTACATTGCTACAGCATGCATCACCTCTTGTGTCAATGGGAATGAGTGTCCTCGAACTAACAGACAGACAAACAAAAAACAAAACAAAACAACCCTCCAAGATGGCTGCCATGCTTCGGTTAATTTGATATTCAAGGTGTAAATGTTGTTTGTTTGGTTTTCTACACAGGCCATTTCACGGAACGTGACACAAACAAGTGCCAAGGAGATTGTCAATGCAAGGCATGGCAGCACAGCAAATCAAGTAAGTCACTACCACTGATCTGTACATACTAGATAGTGCATCCATAGTGCAGGCTGAAGTCACTAGGGTGCCATCTTGGACATTGCCATGTTCTTACGCCATCTGCAGCGGTCTCGGTTACACAAAACGGGGAGCCATGTTTTGAGGCCTAAGTAAGTGGCTCACTGTAAATTTGTTTCACTCATGGCAGTGGGCACACGCACTTCCATTCGGTAGCAGTGGAACAACAATGGCTGTGTTCGAGTAGCTCACCTGGATCAGACAGCCGGGCTAATCAAAGACTCAACCGAGGGCCATCATGATCCTCGCGCGATGTCCATAGCTGTGGCCGTAGCCATTGACAAAATGCTAATTTCAAACTGGGTCTAAGTTCGAGATTTACTGATGCTCATGAGGGCTTATTTTTTTTAACCCGAAAAGGGGCGGGGGGGGGGGGGGGGAAAGGAATCTGATAGCCTTGAAAATTTTTTTCGCAACCCGAGCTGTAACGACTTTTTAGCCTCGAGCCTTGCGCATTTTCTGATACCAAAAACATAAAAATTGGACCACGGGTTACCGCGCAGCGAAACATTTTCCGGCGCTATGCGCCATAAAAACTGAATTTTTCCATATACGTCTTGTACGCAGAGCAGAATTACCTATATGTACTTATGAATAATTAATTAGCCATAATTCCAAAACCCTTTCATCTATAGTCATGAAATTTCTTGGGTATGTTCATAATGAGTTGCTCTATTCATGTATCGAGTTTCAAAATTGTTCATCACTCGATGGCCGAGATCTTGGGGGGGGGGGGGGAGATGGGCGGAATCCCACCAAAATAACCCGGCCCTTTTAGGGTTAAGGTTAGTTTCAAATATCCGGTTTCCAAAAACGAAACAGAATAATGGAATTCGAACTGAATATTAAAAATTCTGTATTTAGATCCCCCCACTGTGGCACAGAGACCCAGGAAAACAAACGCAGCCACATATTCAGCATGACCTTTATACGACCTCTATTTGAACTTTCTGTGACCTTTTTTTGGTTACTAGGCGGCTGCCCAGGCTCTTAGAGCATCCTTTACATCAGCTGGGAGCACAGGGAACCAGACCAGGGAAGGTCTAGGGATGAAGCGTTCCCATGAACCACAAGAAGAAGAGGATGAATTTGAAAAACTGGACAAGACAGATTCAGTCAAGTAAGCGATAGTACATGTTGGCTTTGAAGGGGATACAAGAATATATTGCATGAGCTATAATATTAGACGAGTGCAACATTGTTAAAGTGAGTGCAATATGTTCTTGTATCCTGCGATAAAAGCCATCCAATATTATTATATTGCATCCGTCATGATTTTTTTTCCCATTCAAATCAACGAAACCAAAGCTAGGCTGAAAGGAAAAATAGTCTGGTTCTTTTTGCACAAAAGATATTATCAATAAGTACTGGTGTTGGATACGGGGAACATGACTGAAATGGTGGCAGCGTGATAAATGTCTATTGTTCATGCCTACGTGAGGATTGTGAACGTTCAACCAATAAAACAGTCAACTTAAAGGTACCAGATTTCAAAACGATTTCATGTGACACTGGAAAAGTGTTTAAGACCAGCCAGCCGGTCTTTATCATCCATTTAAAACCGGCCACGTGACAGGCTGTCGACCAATAGCAATAGGTAAACCATCTTGGGTATTTATGAATGGTTATTTAATTGACATGATAGTAAATATTGTCTTGAATGTACTCATGTTAAAGGAAACACTCCCACACAAGCGTACAGAATGGAGAACAGGCATTGATGTGTGAATACAAGTGAAATTAATACACTTATTTTTGTAGGCTGTGGGAAGATGGATGGCGGGAGAGATACTACGAAAACAAATTTGATGTGCAGGCTGATGATCGAGAGTTCTGCCACAAAGTGGTAAGCTGGAGTAAATAGCATTTCTTGAGTGAATGGTACCAGGACACGAGCTTTGCATTACTGTTCTTCCCTTTGTCAAAAAGAAAAAACAAGCTAAAGGAAATGGAAGTAAAGAACAGAGTATAACTAACTGTAGACAGACATACAGACAGTGGTGTAAAAGAAGACATACAGCATGGACTTGGAGACAGAGACATGGATATTGTAGAGCACTGTCATGACTCAGACTCAGACTTGAGTCACGATGACAAATGATTCCGACTCGGGCTGACCGTGCGGGCTCGGACTTGGACTCGGACTCGACCTGCGTGACCTAGCACTAAACCAAAATTACCACAAATGACTTCTTTTTCCAACAATATTATTACAAATTATTTTGAAGACCATCCTTTTCTGATCAAGTGTTACAGACAGTGCGGTGCAGAAAAACGCATCTAAGTACTCTACATACAATATATGTTAGCAGATGCATTTTTGAGTGTTTTTGCAAATGATCTTATATGCATTTAATCTTTGTTTGAAAAAGACAGTTTTGAACTACTTTTTTGACGTTATTGTTTGTCTCCGTACCCTAGGCGGAGGCCTACATTCTTGGGATGTGCTGGGTACTGCGCTACTACTACCAAGGCTGCCCATCCTGGAACTGGTACTATCCGTATCACTATGCCCCGTTTGCGTCAGACTTCACTGGGGTGGCCAAGATGCCGCACGATTTCGAGATGGATACCAAACCAGTGAGTACTGCAGACTTGGTGATGCTTTCTTAATAGTAGTTCACACCCGGACTGAAAGGGAAATATGGATGCCGATTATTGATATCACACCAAGTATTCATGATAAAAATTCATCTCAGAACACATCTCAGCTGCGGTAAATTGTGCCGCACGTGTTTTATAATATCGAAATTTATTTTCAAATTGAATATCAAATCGCTACTAAAATTAGGAGCTCTGCAATAAATCAGCCATGAATATGCAATTGTTCCATGATAAACAGGTGTTAATAAAATGAAATAAGTTTAAAATTTTGAATTCGGAACATCCCCCTAATGTTGAGTTGACAATGTTTGTATTCATTTTTCAAAGTCTGTAAGAGTAATTGCTAAGAAATGCCCAAGATGAATTATTCTCATCAAGCATGAATATTGACAAAAATGGATTAAGAACACACCTTAAGCCAAAAATACATTTTGAGTTAAAAAGAAGCCCCAAGAAAACCTCAAAATTTGTATACTGACATGGATGGTAATAGTTCTTGCATGACAGTCATCTTGTAGATGCAGTGCTTTTGTTCTTTAGGAATATGCATGATTACGCGTGTTTATTCATTTTACTGAAAGTAAATTAAAGTTGCATTCCCGGTGTTCTTCAACAAATTCAATTTTTTCCTATTGATGTAACAGGGGAAAAGGAAACCTCCTTTTTTTTCATTTTTGAACGTCTGGAACCCCGCTGAAACAAGTTTTCTGTTTTGGGCTCAAACAGAGCAGATTTGCGAGCAGACTGGCTCCGGTCTGTACATTATCAATACTGATTGTGGGGCAGGAACTACACGCGAGAACGGAATTATTGGCTGATGGCCACTAATTCAAAATTGTAAAGTAATAATTCAAAACACCAGCTGAATGTGTTTGGTCGATGTGTCATTTAGAAGTGAATAACTTTTTTAATGTTAAAAAAAATAGCATTTTTGAAAAGGAATCTATTTTTCGGGATGAAACTGGAAAATAGCCCGGGATCCATCCACTGTATTTTGCCAGTTTTGATGAAACAATGCTTGAACTGTTTGCCAAATGTCCATTTTTTTCTCTGTCTTTCCATGCCCTGATTTAGTTCAAGCCCCTGGAGCAGTTGATGAGTGTCTTCCCTGAAGCCAGTGGCAACTTTCTGCCTCCATCATGGAGGGAACTCATGGGTGGCGTTGTAAGTAAGACCGTTTCATAATAATGGATACTTTTATAAAGATTCAAACTAAGATCAAAGCGCTTTACATTATAGCTACGCCCGATCATCGGGCCAATGAAACACTCCAAAGACAATCTCAGCTCCCTGGGGAGTATACAGCTCGATGCTGCCATTTCGGCGCAAAGCAGCTAAAATCAGTCACAGTAACCATTTTCCCCTCACAGGTACCCATTTACTCCTGGGCGGGGAGAAGCAATGAGTGACAAAGTGCCTTGCCTAAGGGCACACGCACCATAGCCGCAGGCTGGAATCGAACCCACAACCTGCAGAATTACCCGTAGATTATGAGTTCAATCATTCCATCATAAATAATGATAATAACTCTACAAAATCATAAGTCAGTATTCCATGGCCTCATGAAAAAAAATAAAATAGCCCACTCACTCTTACACTCTCCATATACTGGCTTGTGTCTTGTGACGTCAATCACAGGTCACAAATCAAATCACAGGCCACGAGTCAGGCCACCGGTAGACAAAGTTTACCGATTGGAGTAAGAATACTTTGGAGAGAAAGTTTATGGAGATTTTCTTGTTCCTTGTGTATATCCGTAACAGAGACGCTGCAGCCTAGCCAATTTGACTATATATGGGGCTCAGTGTCCCAATTTGTATTTAAAATTCAAAGAATGTTCTTGAGATAGCACTGTTCAAAAACTTTTGGAAACATCCTATATTTACAAGATTTGGAAAACTTTTGAGCAAAAAGTGGACCAAGGAGATTTCCCCTTGGAAAGGGCAATTCTGCCTCGAAGGAAATAGGGTTTTTGTCTTGGTTTCATGTGATCGCTACCTGAAGCCCGCCACCCCACGCTCACGCCATACCAACACCAAAGGTTACAATGTACATCACCCATAGTGCACGCCTGCACATCCACAAGTTCTAATTTTTTCCACAACTGTGGTAGAGTGGAATGCCCTGGACGATTCATTAGTCAACACAACGTCATTGATCTGTTTTAACCCTCCGAGCAGCTTATATAAAAAAAAATCACACCGTGGACCCACATGGAGAATTTTATCACCACATGTGTTTATAGGTCAATAACCCTGGCATGCCTGTACATGCACAAGATATAGGTCAGTCACATGGCCAGGGATTGTTTACAACCTGTCTGGGCTCCTGGGGTACGAGGGGTTGACACAAAGGGATCGGCGGCACTGAGGGATTGGCCACTAAGATCTCCCATTACTGCACAAAGGCATTGGGCGCCATCTTGGCTTCTGTCTTTCAACACTCCTTACTCTGGAGTGGGTAGGGTCTGGCCAATGGGAGTCTACAGGCTTGTGGTGTATAGCAGGGGTGAGGATTACATGGAAACTTGGCCTTATTGGCCCATTGAAAAAAAAATTATCCCCATATTTGGAAAATGTGGAGAATCAAATCACCACTTCGCTGCTCAGAGGGTTAATCAGCAACTCCAATAAATCCCCACACCTCCCCGCACAAGCCTGGCTATCACACTCATCATAGAGTCCAGCCAGTATAAGAACAGAAGCAGATTGTGAAATTTTCCACCAATAAATTAAAAAACTCAGTGGCCAGATTTCAGCGTCGGTGTTCACTCTGTACCGTTCTATTCTGTTTATTTGCAGGATTCACCCATCATTGATTTCTATCCGATCAACTTCCGCATTGATCTGAACGGCAAGAAGTATGCATGGCAAGGTAAGGTTTTGCCTTGTGTTCATTCATGTGCAGGACAAACGCACAAATATCCTCCTGTTTTGGTTCCCATGTCTGTGGTACAGTTGACTGTTAAACTAGTTCGCGCCGGAAGCCGTGATAACACGCACTGTCTGTTTTTGTGCACATTCACGGCTGACGGGTTAAGACGTCAATATTGCCTTGACTCGCCTCCGGTTGACGTCTAAACACGCTAATCCCTCGTTCTTTTTGTACACACACACAAAGTCTGTGTAGTCTGTGGAGGTGGACCGTGTCCTGACTGCTGTGTGAGCCGTTGTGCACAGCCTATTGTTGTACAATTTACGCTCCAGTGCACACCCCGGACTATTGAAACATATGAGGTTTCGACAAGAAATATCGTACAAATACTGTAAAAATGACTCTTGCGAATCAGTATTTGTGGCGTTAGGCTGTATATCAGAAGTTGGCTGGAAAATTTTGCCTTTTGAAAATTTCGAAAATTTTTGGGGGAAAAAAAATGGCGAGAAATGGTTAATATCCACAAGAAGTCCGTCCAGGCTGTGTACGAAGTACTTGATGATCGCTGACAATAACACGCACACTCCTGGGGTAGGGGGTTGAGGCGTTTCTATTGGGGCATTTGTTATTGCTGGCCCTAGCTGAGAGCAAGTTCGGGCGAGGATCAATGAGCTCCGTGCGCTACCAAAAGAGGGCGCCCTTTCACCTAACAACGACGTCCCATGGGCGGGACATTTCGCTGGTTGACGCGCACCGTTCCTTGTGTGTGACGCACGTACACCAGGGGATTGTACTATTTACACGCGCAATGGCCGCTCTTCGCGGCAAATGAATTGCAGTCAGGCAAGATGGCGTCGGTCGGTCACCCCCAACTAGTCAAATGATGGTCAAATGTCCTGGCTCCCCGTTGTGCTTTATGATGCGCTCAGCTATTGGTAACCAGTATAGAACCGTGCCCCGTGCTCCCGTTCCGAATAGTCGACTAGAGAAGTCCAATCATCCTTCGTTTGAGTGAAGTTAGTCAGACTCTGGTTAACTGTAGCTTTTTGCCTGAACTTCCTCCAAGTAATCTAGATGCAGCCGAAGCCTGTAGGATCTTTTGAATAGTTTCATCTTCCACTTGTCCATTGACAAACTGGAAGACAATTGTGATGTTTCGGGTTCAAGTCCCTCCCGAACAAGCTGGTTTTTTTTTGGGGGGGGGGGAAACATTTATGGGTCGTTCCATGCAGTTGAGATTGAAAGATTTTAACACATTTTGAGATTAGGTATAATGGATCACTCATTGTAACTAAACCTATTCTAACCAATAAGGGATGTCTCATAGTTTTTATACATTTCAGAGGAATAGATATTTGAAACCATTGTGCTCCAGTGTAAAATTGATTTCATGGACTCCTTAATTTTTGTGTGTGTACAGGTGTTGCCCTCTTACCCTTTGTGGATGAGAAACGGCTGCTGGAGACTCTCAAGGAAGTTTATCCCAACCTCACCGAAGCAGAGAGTAAGAACCACTTGCCTTAAAACAAATAGATTTCACCCTTAATAGTTCCATGCAAAAGTTCCATGACAAATGGCAGTTTGTGACCACTTTCACTAGCGCTTTTTATACTTTCATTCCACTCCACAGAGAAGAGAAACAGTCTTGGCCCGGATCGTCTGTACGTTCATAAGGACAACCCCTTGTTCTCATTCCTCAAAGAGCTGTATGACACTGATGCCCTTGATAAGGTAGGCTGGATATTTGTTATGCACTCCGTATATGAACAATAGATGGGGCTTCATTACCAGTCGTGAGATTTCCATGTGTTCGCATGAAACCCAATGTTTCTATGCATGATTGACATGTGTACGGTGGTAATGGTGTTTAAAAATCAGATAAAGGCTGTTTCATACTTCAGGCCAGTTTCAGTGCAAAGTGAATTTATTAACCCTAACCACCCCAACTCACTGATCTCTATATAAAGACTGGATAGCGAAATCCATACGCCATTCACACAGTAGACTTTGCATATTGACCAATTCGCCCCCCGGTCTCACGAAGATGGCTGCGTATAATACGAACGTTTTACGCGTATATACGCGCGCGTTGTATCAACAGTTGACGCGCATTTTGGTCACGTACACATAATGATGTTCTAAAAAGGACACATTTCCGTAGTGATTATTTCCAAAACGCCGAAAAAGTGAACTGCGGCATTAAAAAAGTAAAACCACAATGTTAGAAAAATTGTAAACCTTGGTCAGTGGTGGTGGTCAAACTATAAGTCAAGTGAGCCGCGAAGTTACAAAAGAAATCATGCTGTCTATAAAGACGGCAAGTTGTCCTTTGTAGATCACCAGCCGGTCCCACCAATATGGCGTCAAATTCATTCATTGTGCGGCTCTTTATCTGCTATCCAGTCTTTATATAGAGATCAGTGCCCCAACTCCATCAAAATCCATCCCCCCATTTGGGGGACTTGGTCCACAAGGCCTGGCGTGACTAAATATTGATGGAGTATGATGGACTTGGACCTAATGGCCTGAAGCAGTGCTAGGGGTATCCGATTGATTTTGCCTAGCTTCCTGTACTGCTATTGTGATAAAAGCCATGTGTAGCAAGTCCACGAATGTCGACCAGTGCGTCAGTGGTGGATTCCATTAAGTCATGTTTCACAAAAGTCTGGTGGCATCTTGTATACAATTGGCCGAAATTTTGGAGTTTGGTTTGGAGCCAATATGCCAGGTGTTGAATGCGCGCTGCATGCATTAGGCAAAACAGGTACGCACGCATGACACGACCGCCACAAGATTCCCAGACATTGATGTGATAGCAGTTTGTGTTGATAAACGCCCTCTTTGGGTGGGTGATCGTGTATCCAATATACAACAATATCGTCTTGATCCAAGATTACACAAGTGGGGAACAAGTATGTGATTTTGTGCACGTCCACATTCTGAAGTCCGACCCAAACAGTGCCGGTTGAAAATCTTACCCTCCCCTGCAAGTCTAACTGACAGCTGGAACTTTCTTCTTTCACATAGACAAACACCAACATTGATTTGGACCCATCCCTTGCCGATGGCATGAGAGCTACCATTGGTTATGATGAGTATGTCTGCTTCCCAGGAGGGTAAGTGTACATTGCTGAGTTGTGTTGATTACTCTTCATGGTTCAAACTTTGGATCTGAAATTTTTATGACACTTTTTATTAAGGAGATAGCGTGCATGACATCACTTACCATCCACAGTTTTGAAAAGATTGTTTGGGGCTTTTTCTCCCTCCGGAATGAAGGAATGAAGGAGGTGATTGTTGGGTACTGTTGGTGGGACATCACAAAATGACACGATCAATGTTCCGAGGAATATTATGAAATTTATTTTGATAGGAAATAAAGAGTGTACTCATTTACATTTTGGAAATAAATAGGCCTTAAAAACATACAAGCTTCTAAAGAATCAAGTCCTGTATATTTTACTTGCCAATGTTGTGGTCTGTAATTGGCATGATAATTAAATCTGAGTGATTGTATAAGGGCAATTCCACGGTTACTCACGTTACATTTTTGATGTACTTTTGAGTTTCCTTGGGCTGTAATTACCATACTGAAAAGGTTTAATAACTGTTATCCCCATGGTAGATAGAGTAGACCTAGACCTACCTAAGCACCAAAGATGACATCCAGAAAAATGTGTTATGTATGATAAACAAGACACACAAAATCGGTTACTCGCATCACGAAAATGTTACGTGACTAACCGTGGAATTGCCCATAAGTGCTTAAAGTACTGGCCTTGTATGGATTAATCAATATGTGTCTATCATTCAAGCGTTGGATGGATCCACCAAACACACAGTGTCAACACTGCCCAGGAGTGGGAGCATCACTACACTCCCATACCTGATAGTAAAAGAGAGATATTCATGGAGCCTCACGGTTATAAATAAACTTTTTGAAAATCCTGTCATTTCAGAACCAGGAAATGTCCAGTGCCGGGACTTGAAGACGTCCAAAAGAACAACGTTTTGAGGTGAGATAAAAATCTGTGGTGTTTGTTCATTGTTAGCGAGGCTCTTCAAAGCTGTTGAAGCAGTTCGTTGAATAGCACAACAGTTGCAAGTGGTGCGCACATGGCCGTACCAAAACTATTTATACTGCCTACACTGCTTGTTTGCCACTGAAGGGTACCAGTATTAACCCTAACCCCCTAGGCCCTTTTTGCTAGGAACCATCCTCAATCCTCCAAAATCATCCAAAATTTTGCACTCATGTTCAAATGAAGGATACCCACTGCATCAATCCTTCAAAATCCTCCAACAGTCCTGCCTCTTAAAATGCATTCATCTTCAATCCTCCAAAATCAACCGACACTGAATGTCCATGTGCCCTCAATCCTCCACAATCCTCCAAAATTGTATGTTGCATTCATCCTCAATCCTCCAAAACCAACCGGAGGACTTTGGAGGATTGAGAAAGGTTAGAGTTAAGGGGGAAAGAGAAAATTGTGTTATGAAAAAAAGTTGACAAAGTTCATTAAAGTTGGGTTCCCCGTTCTCAACAAAAAATCTGATTTTTTTTTTCTATTAATATATTTTCACTCTGTATATTTTATTCCAACCAAAAACCTTCTTTTTTTCCTTTTTTGGACGTCTGCAAACATCTGAAAAAAAAAAATTTTTGTTTTGGGCCCAGACTGTTTTGCCAGCAGACTGTCTCCTCGTCTGTACATTATTGATACTGATTGTGGGGTGGGAACCAGTCTATCCCGCGAGAATGGGACTTATTGTCCGGCAGCCAAGAATTCAAAATATTGTAAAGCAAAAATTCAATAACTAAACAGGGATCAATTTTTCTTTTTTTTGGTCAATGTCTCATTCAAAAGTAAATAGCTTTTGTGTTGCTAGAAAAATAGCAATTTAGAAAAAAAAATCTATATTTGAGGATGAAACTCGAAAAGCATGGGTAATACACATTTAGGTGACACTCTTTTGGCAAAATGTTTTTGGCCATCAAATTGAAAGAAGAAAAATTGAGTTGTTAATGCTGGTTTTTGCCCTTAACTGAAAAATATTCAAAAACTTAACTGGTTGGAAATCATATTATAATCGTGTTGGTTGAAGGTAAACTTAGAAAGTGAAATTCTATCCAAAAAAGTTAAGATTATTGAGATTTTAGAGAAGTTGCTGTTCATATCTACATCTGTATGTTTTGTTACGTTTTTCCCCGCAGCGTCAATTTCAAGGACCCACAATTCCCAACAGGTTTCCTGTTCCCAGCTAAGCAGTTACCCGGAGCCAAGTAAGCTACCTGTTTATATTTTCTCAATAGATGTTTCTACCCCCTGTATAATGTTTTGACCATTAGATGTGGCACCATGGTGCTTAGGGACTCAAGGGGCCCGAATTTAGGCCACTCTTGAAAATTGCTACCAACAGAGTTGAAGGGGTTTACATCATGTTATAGCATTTCTATGTTTATGAGGACAACGAAGGCTCTGCCACAAATGTTTGTACATGTGTCACCCTTGATATAATTAGAGTCAGTAATAAAGGGGAAGAGGACTCAACTTCTCAGTTCTGATGTGGTGATTTATTCTCACACTGAAAGATGAAAATACGGGAAAGGGAAGCTCAGTTTAGGACAAGGTGTTCCCTCGGCTCCGGTTAGCATTGGAATCCACTTAAAATATTTACAAAATTACAATCAATAGGAATCTTAAAAGTAAGCCAAATAATTAATATAGTAAATGATCAACAAGTCAGATTGGAAAGATGGCGGCAATTTCCCGCCAAAATCTACCTAACGGCTGCCATCTTGAAAATGTCATAAAATGTGAGCAAAAACATACGAAACTTAAGGAAATTAACGAACACAAGTCTTGAAACGACTGCTTTCAAGGTAATTAAGTAAATTCTTATAATATAAACATCCTAGGTCCTCTCAGATAAAGAGAAAACGAAATAGTGGCTTTATGGGGACATTCGTCTAAACGTCGTCCACATTATCGTCTAAACATGACAATATTTAAACCTTTAATCTTTAAGACGAAAAATACAACATGATTACATGAAGATTGAAAAGCAACCATGGAAAGTGAATAATATAATTAAATTAAATAATTACCTGAAAGATGAAAATACGGGAAAGGGAAGCTCAGTTTAGAACAAGGTGTTCCCTCGGCTCCAGTTAGCATTGGAATGGCGCTAACGCGGGCCGCGCCCCGTATTCCGAATCTCTATTGTGGTAACGGCGAAAGTGATTGGTCAATGAAAATGAATATTCAAGACGATACTTTGAATCAGAATAAAGGTTTGCGGGGTGAATCTAAAAAAGAATAAGGGGGATACTTTTTACGCCTGTGACACATGTGTGGAAGAAAGTCCAAATGTACTAGGATATCGGACCAGTTGTGAGTGCATTTGATCAATAGTTCCCTGATATATCTGGGTTCGGTACCATGTTTTACACATAAGGAAGCCCTTTGTGTGAATTTTTTTTTTTGCATTCAATAGGGGACATTGAACAATAGAGGACAATAGGGTCCCCAATTCCCGAAGGGTCCCCAGTTTGGCGATGTGTACAAAACATATGGGAGGTCTTCCTACAAAGTACCGTGTTTTACACATAAGGAAGCCCTTTGTGTGAGGGGTAATGAGTTTGTTTCTGCATTCAATAGGGGACGTTGAACAATAGAGGACAATAGGGTCCCCAATTCCCGAAGGTCCCCAATTTGCCGATGTGTACAAAACATATGGGAGGTCTTCCTAAAAAGGTAGTGAACAAACAAAAGAGGGACAATAGGGGGTCCCCGATTGCAGGTAAATACACACATGTGTGGGTGTGTGAGTTTGTTTCTGCATTCAGTAGGGGACATTGAACAATAGAGGACAATAGGGTCCCCAATTCCCGAAGGTCTCCAATCTCCGATCATGTACAAAACATATGGGAGGTCTTCTTAAAAAGTTAAAGTACAAACAAAAGAGGGACAATAGGGGTCCCTGATTGCAAGAAAATACACACTTGCGTGTGGAGGGTCTAACCCCCATCAACCCAAATGCATTCAAATATATGCAATATAATTGAATTTGTTCTTTATTTTTAGGCCCCCTGCTAAAGTGTTGAAGCCTGAAGATTTTGATCGGGTGAACAGGGGCGGAGGCCGGGGTGGACGCGGGGGTGGCGGCCGGTACAGACCCCAGCTTGGTTTCCAGCGAGACAGCGGTTACAGAGGGGGCAGCTTCTCCGGTGCCACGGCCCAACGCACTATAAGGTCAGTCCAAATTTGCCCATTTGAAATTTTGCTTTATGAAGTCTACTAGTTAGTCTCTTGCTCAGACATCTGTGGGGACGTTTGAAAGATAAAGCCTGAACATAGATTCCAGAGTTATAATCGAGTACCAATTAGTGAGTCACAAGTTAATCACGAGCGGTCTTGTCTCAAGAATGAGTCATGAGCTACTCAAATCATAGGGCTGTGCATCGGAACCGGGTACCCGAGTACCCGACCGCTGATGTCAGGAACCGGTTCCAGATTATGGGATCTGGTACCCGTGACCAACTTTACAAAATTACTTAGTTACTTCTCAGACAATCAAAAAGAAAGGTGTTGAATGCCATTTGTGGGGAATTTTCAAAATGAGAACCAGGCTACATAGAAAACCAAAACAGATTTCAAATTTATGTGCATTTTAGCGTGTGACAGACGACGCTCGCAAAAGTTGCAGTTTACACCGTAAGGCTAAAAAGTTCTTCAGACAGCTTACGGAATTTGAATTTTGGAGTTGGGATTCTTTTGCGGGTACATGGTTTTACTTCAATAGGGTACCTGGTTCCTGTACTACCCGCAATGCACACCACAATCAAACGAATCGGGACATTCCTTTGGCAATCTTTGGGTATTTCTTTGTCGTATGTCCATCCCCTGCTCATTTGCACCTTGGGTTGTTACCTGAATGGAGATTAGAGTTGTGATTAGCTTGTGATTAGCTTGTGATTAGCTTGTGATTAGCTTGTACACTCAACCAAAACTTTTTGTCTAACTCAAAATCTACACATGTACTGAGCACCTCTCGCTCAAATAACGACTAATCAGTACAGAAATTCCTTAGCAATCCAGCCATACTCTTTATTTGGCCCAAAACAGTGATAATGTGTATGAATGTATGCAGTTTATGACAAATGATACCGAAAACAGTTGCACTTTTGTATACGCGCAAGTTGTGGTTCACACTCACCTTGCACACATAGAAAAGTGCAACTTTTTTCCGGTACAATTTGTCATAAATTGCACAGTTTTGTGCACATTATCACTGTTTTGGGTCAAACGAAGAGTATGGATGGATTGCTAAGGATTTTCTGTACTGATCAGTTGTTATTTGAGCAAGATGTGCCAAGTAGATTTTAAGTTAGACAAAAAAGTATTAAGGGGGGACTTTCTTTTTTAGTTGAGTGTATTAGCTTGTGATTGGCCTGTGATTGGCTTGTGATTAGCTTGTGATTGGCTTGTGATTGGCCTGTGATTGGCCTGTGATTGGCTTGATTACAATTCTGGTAGATTCAAGTTCAGATCACAAGCCAGCATGGAACTACGATTTTTAATAGTATCCTCGTAAAATAATTCATTGTGTCTGAATTAAACAAAAAGTCTCAACCATATTCGGGTCCAAGATGGAACCGTGAGAAAATGTGGTGCCGCTATCCTTAAAAGCAAGACACTTACCATTGATCAGTCATGGATATGTACCTGTACGTGTGCTTGAGTCAGTGGAATAAGATGTCGTGTGACGTTGACTACAGCCAAAAGTGGCAAAGGAGTTAATTGAAATTCCTTGAGGCATTTAAAGCTTCCTTCTCGGGTGTCCATGCACTCCTGTGAGGAATCAGAGTAAAGTGTCTGGCCCGAGGACACAGGCATGTTAAATCAGACAACTGTGATTAGTTTAGTCTCAAGGAGTAACCATTCAGCCATGACACTTAACTTGAATGACCTAAAAAAAAAGCAAGACTATTTTTGACCCTGCGTGACAATTAATTATTTAATAGTTTAATTAAATGTAACTGTGGCTTTCTCTATTTTGAATTTAGGTTTTCTTCTTGATCTTGTTTTGGCTTCTCATTTTATTTTTCTGGTCAATAAGTTGCCTGTTTCTTTTGATACTTTGAGCCCTAGCCTTAATTTTCTGTTGAGTTCAGCTTGCATGCCGTTCAAAGTACAGCACATTAACAAATTCAACATTGTTTAATTTGCCATTTCATTCTAGCTATCTTGTTTGCTTTCTTGCTCACACAATGTACATTTGACGTCCTCCAAATGTTTGGTTTCCCAGTTCCTGTTTCGTTGTTTGTCTTTTTTTATTGTTTCATACGAAGCATGGCTATTGGCTATTGCCATTTTGTTCAACTAATGCTATTTACATGTAGCATGTTCAGTGTTATATTCTGTTCTGCTTAAACTAATTTATTGTATTTGCTGTTTGTTAAATGCATGTACTTAATTTTTTTCTCACTTAAACAAAAAGAAAACTGAACGCCTTTATTTTGAAGTTACACATCATTTTATACAATTGCTATGTACTTATTTTATTTTTTCCAGCGATAATAAGCTGTTTGAAAGAATTTGATTGAGTTTATCGATCAATGTGTATTTTCTTTCTTTTTGTCATTTTATTTTAGTGCCAGTATTTGAAATTATCCTTTTATGACCAGAACTTTAATTTTGTGCATGTTTTGGTTTTTTTTTTGCATTTTTATTCTGTACGCTTTATTTTTTACTCACAGATTAAGAATCTGGTTAGAATAGGTTCCGAGAATGAAATTATTCGGCCCTTCTTTATCAAGCTGTTGACATTAAAGGGAATACTTTATACAACATTTGCAAACATTGAAAAACAAAACTACCCTTTTTTTACGAAAAACCTTACTAGGATGTTGGTTAATGACAGTTTAAAGCATCCTGTAAAATTATGGCACCAGGTGTGAAGTCATTTTCAAGAAAATTGGTATTTTGTATAAATTTCCAACGGTGGTCGGCCGACCACTGTAGGAAAAACCTGACTATTTCTCAATTACTGCTCCAATTTACCATTTTTGTTCAGTCCAAAGTTTGTTTGCTATTGGTTACATATTCATGAACGGGTGCAGGCCAGCTAGAGTGGTTCCATTACCTTACAATTTTCTGGCATCTATAAATTGATCCATTTCATCTTTGGTGGAGTCCGGGAACCAGACTCCTCGAACATTTTTGTTTTTCTTAGTTTTTCCAGCATTTTCGAACACAAAACTTCAAACATGTCAGTGTAACAATATTTGATTTATTATACTAACCCCTCAAATAGTTCATTTCTGAAAATTACAACAATTGCCGATGATTTACATTCCCTTTAACTCATTTCTTTTTACGGAGTTGACTTTGCTGATGTTTGTGCATGTATTGCCAATGTGTCGGCAACAATGAGTGCGTTCAGGCGAGAACTATAGTTAACCACAGTTGACTATTACTTCACTCGAACGAGGGATGGTTGGACTAAGTAGTTGAGTATTTAGTCGGTTACCAATAGCCATGCGCACCATAAAGCACAGCGGGGAGCCGGGAGCAAGATAGTCTGCAATGACTCTTTGGCCAGAGTTTGACTAGATGTGTTTGTGCGTTGTTATTAGTGCGCAGGGTTCAGTTACGTCACAAATCAACCAATAGTCGACTAATGGTCTTCGCCTGAACTTGCTGAATGATAGCCATTATGTGTCAACAGCGCCCTCACGTGTTTAGCGCAGTACATTTCCTCACTTGTATGAAATAATGTGTCATGAATGCGAGTGGAAATATGACACTTTTAATTTCTCAACATCTGGAGAGAGAGATATTTGGAATTTTGTTCAAAGTTTTTTTACTCTTTTATATTTTATATAATATATATTTATAAATACTAAGTTTATAGTATTTTCCTCTATCTATACCACTGGGTATAGCCATCTGGTAACATTATCAAATTCTGTGTTTTCCCCTTTATTTTTGATAAATTTGGTCTGGTTTTCCACAGAACCAGTCGTCTCCCTACCGGTACACAATTAATATATAACATACCCAAATACATTTATCAAATATCCACTTCAATGAAATGTTTATTAATAATAATATAAATAAATAAAAGACTAAATATATCTAGCTATTCAAGGTACCCATATATATTTGTTTTTGCTTTTAATTATGTTTCAGTTATCGTAATAGTAATATTCTTGTATAAAGAATTTGGCTAATGCTATGTTTAACTGGCTCCCTGTCTTAGCGTAGGTTGCTACCATTGTGGTGGTACATGTATATAAAGGGAGCCAGTTCCCTCCATTTCATCCTCAATTTTAATTCATGAGATAACACATCTTTTCTTCATGTTTACTTTGACATTTATGTAGATTATCCATATTTCTATATATTTTTTATCTGAAAAGAAAAACAAGACAATTTACTTCTTATCCGGGTCTTACTAACTTCATACAGCTTATTAACGTTTAATGGATATTGAGATAACTTTCAATGAGACGATCATTTCACGCCAACTCAGATTACAACTTCGTGAACTCAAAAGTCAGTCTGCTTTTAATCCTTGCAATCCTCCAAAAATAGTAAGTTGGTAACCGCATTTTGGCAGCAAAGCTGTGAATAAAATGACCTGTCGCCATTTAAAAATTTGTTACAGTACAAGTAGCTTTAAGCACATTGGAAGTTTACAAAGTGTATATTTCAAGGCATGTAGGATCATTTGCATTTATCCCAAAAGTTACATACAAAATTATTATCAAAAAGCTTACTTGGTTGAAAGATCGCACTGGTGCCAAACACCGCATGAAATTATTCTGTCTGGCTTGCTGTCATTTTAGAAGAAATCGAGAAATGTAGGTGATTTCCAACGATCAGTCATTTGACTGAATTTTGGAAATAAAAAAGTGCTATGATGGACGAAATCGTGTTTCAAACATTGTGCGTGGTGTTTCACTGTTTTCTTGAAAAGTGTTACATCCACTGACATGACTGAGCTGAAAGTTCACTGGTAAGGTTTTGAACATTCTTTTTTTGGATTTCGAGTGGTGTTATACAAGCATGACAAGAAAAAAACAACGCAATCTGACACTTCCACTATTCAGAGACATACACTAAAGGATAGGAAATTTAGTTGGAAGGAAAATGATACCAAGAACTCCCGATTCGGTCCAGTAGTCTTGATGCCAGCACCATTTTTGTGAACCAATGTCGGGGGCTCCAATTAGGATTGTCACACACAGTAAACAAAAGGATTATCTTAACCCCGGACTTTGGTTCACAAAAATGGCGCTGGAATCAAAACTACCGAACCAATTCGGGAGCTCTTGGTATAAACATTTTTCTTCTAACAAAATTTCCCATCCATACATATCAATAGTGCAGGTCCCTAGATATTTGAAGTGTGAGGTTACGTTGATTTTTCTAGCACCCTGTATTGGAAACAAACAGAATGCGTGACAAAGCAAATGATCCAGTATGCCTTTACATTGGCTGAGTTGGTGTGAGACGTCTTTTTGTAAGAGTCACTGTTCTGCACCGCAAAGCCATCTTGCACCAGTAACTCATTGGTACAGCAATCAGATGTCTTCTGAGAGTTTGATGAGAGGGTGTTTTCCCAACAATGCAACAAGGAAATCACTCGCGCACAGTCAGTTCCCAAGTCTTAACTTGTTAAGTTATAAAGTTGTTCCAATCTCACAACAACAAAAAACATGAAAAACCCAAGCTAACCAAGTGGAGAAGTTTTCACTTTGAAATGTTTTGTTTTACGTTTCACTCAACACACTTCTAAAGACTGAATTGAGAAAAGATACAAACATGATCGTCTACACTGCTCTTTGGCACTGAGTGATGCCAAAACCCCAAAACAGAGATCTACTTTAAATGAGAAACATTGGAGATAAGGTCAATATGATTTACAGTATTCGTAGTGGTGATTTCTTTGGCATGCTTTGTTGGATAAACACCCGTTGTCGTTAACCAAGATTGCATTTTCAGCGGGCACGAAGACGTGGAGATGATGAAGTGGCAAGTAGGGAGCTGGTTGCCGCTGCTTGCCCCACTGCCTCCCCTGCACCCTCAAATCAGCCACGTCCTCCCCCCTTGGTGCAGGTATGATGAGGGCTGACCTACTGCACACTATTACCCTCGGACAGCTTCACAGATGAGGATAGTCACAAAGGACATGCCCGGGAAAGCTATTAACCCTCCTACTGTTTGAACAGTCACAGACAGTCAAAAAGTCCATCCACTTCCCCTGCCATGCCTTTTACACAAGCTAGTCACCAACAGTCGGATCATATATTAAGCAAGCATTCTGACTAGTAAAATTCAGTCAACAGACAAAAGCAGGCAACTGGTACGGTGGGAACAGCTGTGTTATCAATCACCTACAGTCAAAGCATAGCTGTATCAAGTTACAAAAACAGTCACAGCCACTCAGTCCTGCTTTATGTAGGCTGGGAGCTCTTAACTGTTGAAAACAGTCACTTGACTGATTTTGACGGTCAGGACAACTTGGCACAATGTATGTTTGCGTACCGGTAGGAGGGTTAATCTAAGCAAGGGCTTTACTATTTTGTGTCAGATTCTGTGGGTTTTTGTATTTTGAGGCCTTTTGACCCCCCCCCCCCCAAAAAAAACCCATATATTTTATTTCTCAACATTAAGTTTCTTTGTGACACTTTCTCATCTCTGAAATGTCGGACTGAAACTCTGGATTCTCAACTCAATACTGTGTGTAATCTTCTGTTTTGCTATGTTACATTTGTACAGTAATTTTTCCCATCATTTTGAAACCCCCAAAAAGTTTGCTGATTAAAATTTAAAAAAACTCTTTGCAGCTTTTTAAATTAATATATAGTCAACAGACATTATCAAAATACTTAAGGGAGATAGCTCTCTACTTAATAGATCATTAGATGCTGTTGCCTGTTTTGGACCATAACTGTCGCCCCAAATGTCGCTCAGTGTTTGTAAACAAATGGAAGGTCTCAAGTCTGTCTCAAATGTATTCCATTTAAATGCATCCGAAGTAATACATTACTCTCACATAATGTGCATTAGTGCCTTTTTGACTCACTGAGGATATCTTACAAAGCAAAAGACTTGACTTGAAAATGTTCTCGCTATAAAACCGATGCTTACTGTTTTGGTTGAGTGTATAAGAACTATGGACATACCTGTACTCTATGTGGTTTAAACGTCAGTAGCCGCTGTCTAATGTTATGAAACTAGTAAAATGGGGCCAAAAATAAAAAACTGGAATGCTAAAGTTCCTCTATTTATTCTCAAATTGCCCGAGAATGCAGAAGAAATCATCGTAACCCCGGACCCCTTTAGCAAGGCGTGTCTTCACCACCCCCTTCCCCACACTTTCATATGCCCCCCCCCCTTTTTTGTTTCTTGAAAGCTAGATATGCCCCTGAACATTTCTCTTTGTTGTGAGTAACCTGTGAAGGTCAGCTTGTGGTCTTTTTGCACTTATGTTAAATTATCGAAAGGCACTTTTCGCAGAGGTGTCTTTTGTTCAAAAGTACCAGCACAGAAACCTATTTTCGGCATTTTTGTTTACCACAAAAGACAGTTGAACTCATAACGTTCAGAAAGCGGGCACAATTGGTTAAAAAAAAAAGCAGTATTGAAAAGTCATGATCGTGATGAACAATAGGCTTGGAACCGTCCCGGGATGTTTCATTTCAAGCATCACTAGTTTAATCTATCAAGTGCCCGCAAGTGTCTAAATTACATTTTTTTTTTTACAATGTTCATGCGATTAAAATGTGCCTAACATTTCCAGGGTCCTTTTGTAATTGTGTGTAGAAAAGTACATGTAAGCATGCCCTTAATTCCTTACAAATTGTTGATGGTATTTAACCGCCAAGTTAAAATTGGCCACAAAAAAAGAGACCCTGAATAATTAAGCAGTTTGTAATTAGCGGCAATTCCTTTGGCCTACGCTGGTTCGAGCATGAGATGCAACAGCGCATAAAAGTAGGTAGTTATTGTTGAAAGAAGGGTAGTTAAATCTGAAGCACAATGTACTTTGTGTGAATTGCCTCTGGAAGGGCTCTTTTGCTTGGGTGAGTTGGAGCTGCTTGGTGTTGGAGATTTGCTGGTAATGACACTGATCATCGTTCAAAACAGTAATTACAGAGTTTTCACCTTTTTTTTCTGAATTTAAAAGAAAGTTAAGTTTAAACTTTGCTGGTGATTCAGGAAAACAAAATTGTTTGCAATGAAGTAGATGTACATGTACAGTACTTATGCTACTTTAAAGGTAGAATGGATCGTCATTTGTGCATTTTTTTATCTTTCGTCTGAAGCAACAAAAAGGGATTTCTCATTCAGCCGATTGTAATCACGTGACCTCACACACTGAACCAACAAATATTAGTACATGTAACTGCGTGCACATGTGCGTCATGTCAATGCTTGCACCCATTCACGATTTCGCCCAACTACAAATGGGAATTTCCAAAAATGTGTCACTTGACACATCTTTGGAAATGACCTTCTTTTATTGACTTCTTCAAAATGACAGCATTCCAGAAGGAATAATTTCACAGGGAGTTTAGTGTCATTACTGTCTTTAAACCAAATAAGCTTGTCGACAATTATTTTGACGATTATACTTTTTGGATAGCTGCAAATGATCTACTCTATCTTTCAGCACAATAAATATTGGGCTGTCATTTGTCTAAAGGATTTTTTGGAAGAATACACTTCTTTTTCTCCACTCTTAAACTGTCTTTCTCCAAACATAGCAATTCGACAAAGAACTCATTATGCCTGTGGTGTCTGTTTGTTCAGTTCGGTAATTTCCTTTTTTTTTACCACCAAAATTTAGTTCGAAGTTCTGTTCTGATTTTGTATTGCTCTTGTTAAAAACTGCTTTTCTTATATTTTCCCTGTTCTGTTCATGTTTTTAAAAATGTCACTGTGTGAGTTATTTAAGAAATTAAGACTTTTAGGTATTTTGCTGTAAACTTTGATGAATATTTGAATGTACAGTTGGAAACTTATTTCACCTTATAATTATTTTAGAATTTATCTAAGATTATTAAAATTTGACGCATAGGCCCCTATAATTTATAATGCGTATTTATTCAAAGCATGGTTGCCAGTTACATTTTACTTGACATTAATGTATTAAATCTCTTTGATCATTCATCACCCCCTCAAAATGGTTGCAAGTTGGGAACCCGCTCAGTTCATTTTAGGAGTTCTCCAACGATGTGTTTGGTTCTGTGTCTTTAGATTGTTGGCAAAAAGTAGACTCTGGTGATTCAGTATGTGCATAGCCTAAATACCCAGCACTAGTTATAGCCCTTTTTACAAAAATTAATTTGGGCTATGGCTATTATGTTTTTATGTTAATATTTGAAAAGTTCTTATCAGAATAACATTTCATAGAAAAGCACAGTGATGTTTTAAAGTTCATCAAAGTTTGCACTGTACAGGGTGAGTAAAAAAAAACCCGAAACCCAAATGTCAGGACCAATTTTTTATTGAAGTTCTGCGTGTAGCACTTTCAAAATGTAGTATATGAAAGCCCAATTCATGAGCTTTCTTTTAGTACAAGAATCATTCAAATCACTCATGTACTTTTCAAGTTACGGAATTTTAAACACAACCACCGTTTTAAGGTTCAGTCCGCAGATCACCAAAAAGGTGTGCGCTCTTTCAGCAAAACGAAAACAATTCACACACATCTCTATGTGATTTGTTTTCGTTTTGCTGAAAGAAAACTACTGAACTTTTATTGCGATCCGTGGACAGACCTTAAAACAGTTGTTGTGTTTAAAATTCCGTTACTTGAAAAGTACATGAGTGGTTTGAATGATTCTTGTACCGGTACTAAAAGAAAGCTTATGAATTGGACTTTCATATCCTAGATTTTGAAAATGCTACATGCAGAACTTCCCTAAAACAATGGTCCCAACATTTGGGTTTCGTTTTTTTTTACTTGCCCTGTATTCCGGGAATGTGACTGTTTTCATCGTGTATAATTTTTGTATAAGCATCTAAACATTGCCCCAAAAAAGTCCACACTCATTTGAATCTGATCATCTTATGACAATGTCATTTATATAGACCTTCGGGGAAGCTGTTAGCTACATTTTGATACCCTGTTTGCTACCAAAGACTGTTAATCGTCCAACACTGACAACAGTTTATGAACAATGATGCAGTTTGAAAAGTTGCAAATTTAAAGAGTACGCAAGTAAAGTGGAAATTGCTGCATGACAATGTGACACTGCCCGAAATGAGCGGCAGGGAATATCGATCGCACCGTGCTTGTATGCATGGGGACATGTGAAATTGAAATACCCGCGATTTGTTTGGGACACGTGTGTTGGCTCTTAGCAAGTTCTCAACTGTTCAAACTTTATCGTTTTTCATAAACCATAGTCAATCTTGGACGATTTACAGTCTTTGGTAGCAAACGGGGTATCAAAATGTAACTAAAAACATTCCCCAAAGGTCTATATAAATGGTATTATCATAAGACAAAATCAGATTCAACATTATGATCCCTCCAATTAGTGTGGACTTTCTATTTTTGCGGTGTTTATTTCCATGGACATGCTTTGTAGAAATTATATAATAGTTTTATGTAGTATACATCATTGTCCTATTTGAGTAGACTAACAAGTACATCATGAAGCAGCTTCGCTCGTGGAACAGTGGTCAACTAGTGGCTGATTTGTAACATACAAAATAGAGCTTACACCTTAAAGGGAAAATACAACATTTGCAAACATCAAAAAATAAAACTACCAAATCATTTCGAAATACCGTGCTGGACTGTTAGTAAATGACAGTGTAAAGCATCCTGTAAAATCATGGCACCTGGTATACTGTCATTTTCAAGAAAAGTGGTATTTTTGTATCAATTTCCAACGCTGATCGGCCAATCAGCGTTGGAAACAACTAGCTTTTTTTTCAAATACTGGCCCCAATTGACCATCGCACTTGTTTGCAATCGATTACAAACCTATGAACGGGTACGAGCCAGCTAGACTGGTTCCCTGACCTTACAATTCCCCAATGTATGTAAAGTGCTCTGTTTCTTCTTATATGGAGTCAGGGAACCAGACTACAGGAAAATGATCGTTTTTCTTGGTTTTTATAGCATTTTTCGAACCCAAAACCTCAAAAAAGTCAGTGTAACTATATTTGCTATATATTTCCAACCCCCCAATTCCATCCATTTCTGAAAATTACAGCAAAAGCAAATGATGTATATTCCCTTTAACACCAGTAGGAGTGAAAGAATGTCTCTAGTCACACAGTAGTCAATACGTCATCACGAAAACTTTTCGGTCCTGTCTCTCTGCTGCACGGACATTATGATGTGTGTGGCTGTCGTAAACCAGCGATTGAACGAACCACATGGGCAGGTCCTAAATAGCTGACTAAAAAAGTAGACTACGTGTACCGATTGTATGGGTTCTAGCGAAGATTGGTGAACTACTGTATGTTCAAGCATAGGTCTCACTTGCACTTGCTCAGACTTATGTGTAGTTTATTAGAGTGCATTCGTTTCAGTTTGTCAATGTCTTGAATGGGGCATTTATGGATCTTAGTATTTTGTGAAATGTTAGTATTTTGCTGACGCTAGTGAAAGTGATTGGAATCAAAATGGTTTTAAAATGTAAAAAAAATGTCACCTCAATTCAGCAGCTTGCAATTCAATAACTTTGTTCCAGGGGTGATATCACTGATATAGTTTGGCAATGACAGTCTTGTATAAGACCATATTTGCTTGCACATGGAACATGTGATCATTTTTATGGTAACTATATGCTTCTCTGAAAGTTTCATAAAATTTCAGTTTTCATAAATGTGAGGCGTTCTGGCAAAATGAGACGGAACTGGGCACAGGCCGTTGTGGAGAAAAATGCAAGAAAAAAGAATGGGGGGTATTTATTTTCTGATTTATTGATTTTTTTAACCTTTGATCTGTTGATATGTCTACTACACATATTTTATTGAAATAATAAAATATGAAAGCGTTTTGAAGGAAAAAACCAATTGGCATCTTCCAATTTCACGACAATGAAACTCGAAACTTTAAGGCCTTTTTCTAAGTATTTTACCTTTTTGGCATGTGCAACAAACAGTATTGAAGTGCAATAAACAGTATTGTGAGGAGAATTTTGTTCCCTTTCCTAATACATGCAAACCCTCGTTGTGACCTCTGCCCAGTTCGGTCTCATTTTGCAGGAACGCCTCACAAATTGTGTTCTTGCCCAGTACTTGTATATTGATGGCTAAATCTTAGACTTCAGTTTGGGTTTGTATCAATTACTGAATACCAAACAGAAGTGTTAACACAGTTCACTTCGTCGCTCTTCCACAATCACAGACATAACCTGCCTTACGCCAACATTCCACCACCCCAGTCGTCATCATCGTACGGAAGACAACAACAAGGGGGTTACGGTCAGCAGCGGCAACAGCAGCAGTATGGACATGGACAGGGAGGGGGCTACGGCCAGCACCAGCAACGTGGTTACGGCCAGCAGCAGCAGCAATATCCGCAGCAGCAAGCAGGTAAGAAACGAGTTGCCAATGTCTTTATCTGCACGTAAATTGTTGTCTTACCAACAGCTACGTTACCTAGGCCCAATTTCATGGCACTGCTGAACAGTTTGCAGAAAGTTGTTCAAACTACAGCAGAAAGTTGTGCACACTATTTCATGGTGTGGACGTGCGGCTTGGAGATTTATATTGTTTACATGTACATCACTGATTTAAGCAACTTTTTCCTCTTGTCGGATTTTGGTTAGTTGTTTTTACTTAATTAAAGGCAATAGTGAACATTTGCCATTACCTGAAAAAATCTTAACAAGAAAATTCTTTCGCTAAGTGACTGGTACCAAATACCCTGTGAAATTATTCCGCTTGAAATGGTATCATTCGGAAGAAAACAATCATTGAAGGCGGTTTAAGAAATAGTGCCCATTGGCACAGATCTGATACACCGTGCCCTCTGGAGACATGCACACAATTGGAAACAAAAGGTTGTTTACGTCTCCACAGGGCAATTTCTATAGATAAATACGTCTCCACAAGGTTTTCACGAAATAGATATATGGATTTACTCAAAAACTAAGAATTTCCATGGTACAATGTATGTAGATCTGTCGCAAATGGTAGAGTTTTAGAAAAGGGATATTAAGTCCGAATTTCAGCCAAGGAAATTAATTCTGGTTAAACTAAGAGCATTTTGAAACTGTACTTTCAAACTTAAAAACTTTAGTACACGAGAACAAAGAAATGTCTCCACAAGGATACAAATTTCAGTACTATTGTTTTTGTAAGTGTGTGAGTACAGCTGAAGAGAAACTTGAGAGGTTTGGATTTCTATTTCAACTTGAGTTAAAGAGTTAGACATTTTGTCACTTGTAATCAGGGAAGACAAAAACGTTGCTCTTGGGAAGGGTGTCTGACCTCCCTCAAGGTTCGTCAAAAGTTGTTCTGACCGGGCACTGTACTTCTTGGGCAAACTCCTGCTTGTCCTTCCATCAACGGAAGATTCTGAAGTCAAGTGTGTGCTCTGGCTGCACTCTTACCTGTCAGCTAACATGCCATTGCAATTTAGGGATCCCTCGCGGAATGGAGCGTTAATAGGTCCTAATCCTCTTCGCCAAACTCTCTTTCTTCTTCTCCCTCCTACGCTGTGCAAACCATAAAACTAAATTTACCCAGTAGTTAGTGCCCTGTGTTCTTTGAAGACTTTGCTGAAGTCTCCCTGGCATTTGTTTTAGCAAGTCATTGAGAGAGGGTACGGGAATAGACACGTAAACATTGTGACGACGTGTCGGACAGCATTGCTGAAACCTCTCTCCTGGCAAACAAAAAGTACCGTGGTGCTGAAGATTTGTTTAGGCAGATGATCTGTTGTGGATCCAGCGTAGCACCATTCATCAGAGAAAGAAGGTGGATTAGCTGGGCTAAATGGTCCGAGACCTGTGTCAACTTGTTACAAATACCCAGGACGATGCTGTGTTTGCTTGTCCTGTGTGCTAACATGCCAGTGTCCATTCCTCCCGGACTCCGGCTCTGAAGGGGGTTGTACTTTTCAAGACAATGGATGGATTCCAAAGCCTGTCTATCATGCTGTCTTCTTTCTTGACATTGCTGGGGAAGTGAAAGCTTTCTGGTCGCCCCACTTCCGTTTCCAGGCATCAGGATAGGTCTCCCGTAGTTCTTGCTGCCGACAAAACAAAATAATACGTGAAAAAAAGTCAACAGTATTGGGGAGGGAATGAACTTTAGAGTGACATGCATTGGGCATGTTGGTATTTACGCCCAGCGTTTGAGCTCACACTTAAAATTCTTTGAGTCTCAAAAACATTAAAGATGGAAGTACATGTGCTGGTATTTCTAGACCGACTGCTGATGATGGCTCATATGCTTGCACTGTGTGTGACCAAGATTTTGTGCTAGTAAGCCCATGTATTTTTCAGGCCAGTGGAAGACACAGTTTTAATACTGGTTTGTGTAGGCAAATGGTGTAGAGTGTCGCTGACCACTTTTGGTCTGAATGTGAACTAACTTTCAGCATCTTCGTTTGGGAAAGTCAATGTGACCGTGAGCACATAATGGAAAAAGTGTTACAATGGGGAAAGCAAGAGCATCTTGTGCATTTTGTTTTATGGCCTCAGGCAGAGATATATGGAAAGAAACATAGCCAGAATGACTGGGAGTGATCACATGAGGGCAAAATGTGCACTTAACCCTCCTGCTGTCTGAACAGTCACATACAGTCAACACCAATCCTCTTAACTTGCCATGCCTTTTACACAGGCTAGTCACCAACAGTCAGATCATAAGCAGGCATTGTGACCAGTCAAATTCAGTCAACAGACAAAAGCAGGCAAGCTGTATGCACAGCTGGCTTATCAATCACCTACATGTACAGTCAAAGCATAGCTGTATCAAGTTATATAAACAATCACAGCAAGTCAATCCTGTTTTACATAGGCTGGGAGCTCCAAATACTTGACTGATTTTGACTGAACATGCTGAATGGACAACATTGAACACAGTACATGTTTGCATAGGAGGGCTAAAGAGCAAGGAGTAACACAACAGTGTCCTGTACAGCCATATAGGAGGGCCTACTTTCCATGTTATGATGAGCTTTGGCAACCACTAGGTCACATTTTAATTTGTACAAACCATACAATGTTCAACAAAATGATTGGCTGTGAAGCCAGACTAGGCATTATAATCTGTTAGCATGACTTTGGGCAGGACTTGATAAAAAAAAACGCCACAAATTGTATACGCAAGCTTATATATATACTAGTTAAAACCAGTAAACACCATGTGACCATTTCTTTTTAGCCAATCAAGACGAAGAAGCAAGAGAATGTAGGCGTGTCATAAATGCACACATAAGTGTTTATTCCCAAAGCAGCATCCTGATCGATTTGTCAAAACAGCCGGTTCTTGCTTCCTTGACCATATTTCACTTAAATTGACTCAATAGACACTTGAAAAGTAAGCATAGCACAACATTTTTGTATATTCTGGAGGGGGCCATGAGAAACAGTAAATAAAAGAAGCATCTTTATTTAAATAAGCAAAGAAAAAAAAAAGCCTGATGAATCAAGAGAAATTGGCCGATGGGGCTTTTTTTTTACGAGTGCTCTGTTTGTTTAAGGTGAGAGCTCTTGAGAATGTTGCAGGTGTGGAGCCCCATTGTCTATCAAGCCTAGTGGCTGCACTCAGGCTACCTTGAGCCCGCCTCTCAGGAGTTGAAGCCCGCACCCAAACACTGCCCTCACTGGTCCTTGGTGTCCAGGTGGCGAAGTTGTTGCTCACTTGGCCTCAGTGGTTATGTTTTTCTCCTCTCTCATTAGGCCGTACAGAAACTGAATTCATTATGGGTTTGGGATAAAAATTCAAATATTGTTTTGAATAATAGTGTTATTATTATTTATTTATTTATTTTTGGTTCTGATATTTATTGAACATTGAATTTGTGAGGGCAGAGTTGGTTAATGTGAGAGGTTGAGTACAGCCAAGAGTGCCGAAATGGCTGCCTATGGCAGCCGTGTATGCTCCCCAGGGAGTTGAGAAGGTTTCAGGAGTGTTTGCCTGTTGAACATGGGTGATAATAATTGTAAAGCGCTTTGATACCCCGTTTAAATGGGCTATAAAAAAAGCCTGTTTTATTCATTTGTTTAAACTTTTTCTTTTGATTTTTTAAAATTAGCCATATACCTGTATGCATTATTTATATATCGCTGTTTAAACTACCAGTAGATGTCATTGTGTGCATTTTTACAATGTTAGTGTTACCATGAACTGAAAATATAGGGATTCCCCTTGTTGGAAAATCATGCAAAAGGCAAATACATTGTTTTGCAAGTGAACTTGTAAAATAAAAAAAACAATAAAAAACAGGGGGGGGGGGGAAACGCCGAAAATCACCAGTGTCTGGGTCTTAAGGCATGTTTATGGAAATCAAATACTGTGACTTCATTTCTATGTGACCCAATTCCATGTTGGTTGATCGTGGACAATCTTTCTAAAGCAAAAAGAAGAAAAAATTGGAACAAAGGAGTAATGAAGCATCCTGATTTTAGGTGTGCGTCTGTGTTTATCGGCATCCATGTACTTGAAACTTTTACAAGTGTTTAGCATTTGCCATCTGTAGCCTCCTTCAACTCAATAATCGCTGTGAAGGGCCCATTGTTCTCCAAGTAATTCTCACCATATGTCCTCCCTTTTCCTCTCACTTAACCACATGTGCCTGCACATCGAGGAGCAGTACGATGCTTTTTTTGTGTGTTTAAGGGCGAACTGTTGAGGGCGCTATTTATTGCATTCATGGCAGCTTAAAGGTGGGTTTATACTTCACCCAAGTTTCACTGCGAATCCAATTCGTTAGGTACATTGTGTGTAAACGTCACAATGAAACGTAAATTGTTGACGTCATGACATTCGTTTTCGCTTTCGTGTGAAGTATGAACCAGTCTAATGAGGGCGTTCAACATGTGTGGATTATTGAGCCATGTGTGTGTATGGCATCTTTTGTATTAAAGCAACTTGAGCATTACATGTTCGTGGGTAAGAATGCCATTCATCACCCACGAACAGTGCGCTTCCGAGTGTATTGACCTACTTAACACCCTCCAAGAATTCTTCATGATTGATTGAACGATTGCCGTTGTACATCTTCATTGTTGAATTATGTTTATTTATAAGAAAAGAACAATGATGTCACATCAATGTTATTATTTAGTCAATTAGTTACATTGAAAGCATTTGAGTGAACGGCAGTCGTCGAGCTGCCACAGTAGCCAAGTGGCTAACGAGATGAGCTACGGATTAAAAGTCCCTGGTTTGAATCCTGCTATGTCACCAACAGTCAGATCATATTTTAAGCAAGCACTGTGACTAGTCAAATTCAGTCAACAGACAAAAGCAGGCAAGTGGAAGGCACAACTGGCTTATCAATCACCTTTAATTAAAGTTGTATTAAGTTACATGTACATAAACAGTCACAGCCAGCCAGCCTGCTTGATGTAGGCTTG